ATCTGCAGAAAGCGGCAAAGAAGAAGTCCCAGGAAGAGAAAGAGGTGAAGAAGATGATGGGGCTCATTGCGGATTACGACATTGGTCCGAAGGAGATCGTCCAGGCCGTCAAAGAGAAAGACGTTCCCAAGCTTCGCGCCGGTTTGAACGTTATGCATATGGAAGAATCTGTCACTTGTACTTATTGCCTCTTGAACTTTGACAACAAAGAAGTCAAGTGAGGATCCGCGCACCACAAGTTGAAAATATAATGTCACCTACTTCATCTTTCACCATATTAGAATTTGCATTTTTATTCGTCTTCTTGTTCTTCATCTTCTTCTTCCACTGTCTCACTACATACCGTCCGCGGTGGAGCAGGCTAAAATACACTGTCTCACTACCTCCGGCAGGACGTCAGCTAAAAGCACAGAAATTCAGAATGGCGCAGGTTGTTCATCTTCGTGCTTCTGTGAAAAATCGCAGCCAAGTGAAGGCGGTGGCGGCTTATCTTTTTAGTACGGGTTTACTTTGTATCGCAGTAAAAAACTGTTTCACTGTGATGATTTTGCAAGATCTGCATCACAAGTTTGTTACACATGGCACAGAAAATTTGCCCTGCGCACTTCCCAAGCGAAAACACCGGAAAAATGATCCAACGTCTTGCATGTCGTGTAGCAAAACAAATAGTTTTGTGTTCCATTCCATGCATCACAAGTTCACAGTGAAACAGTTTTTTCGTGGGATACTTTGCTTGTTTTCATCCTTGGGCCACGACGTCCTCGGGTTGTACAACGTATTACCATATCAAATGTAAAAATGTCTGGGTCTGGAAGAGTGCAACTTGTCATGCTAAATCTGAAGCACGCAAAAATCTGTGTTACGTGATTACCAAAAGTCGCCCAGTTTTCACCAAGTCGGGAGAGAGTTTCTCATGGAGGATAGGCATGAGAGAGATCGCACAGAATCTGTCTTGCTAGGTCCTGCATTCCAGACCTCATTGGTCATGGAAAAGCAGCATGACAATTCGCGCATTCTTCCAGACCCAGACAGTTTTGCATTTGATACACCAGTCGCACAGGCATTGCAGCTGCGGGCTAGTGGTCCTCGGAATGTGTCTCTGTTAAGTTCAGCTGAAGATGCGGATGCAGATACTCCGCCCGCAGTAGGCGAAGTTGCGAGATCTTCGAACGACCTATCCTGCGCAAGTATTGTATTCGTATAAATGTTGCAAGACTTGCAAGACAAATCTTTTCCTTAAGGTAAGCATTGCTTATGCTGAGAAAATTTGTAATGCATTTATACGAGTGCGATACTTTTGCAGTTCATAGACGGCCTCCTTTGGGATGCAATCTGCAGCCAGAGCAGCAGAATTATATAACCAAGCTATTTGTATGATATTGGGCAGCACACGCGAAAAAGAAGTATTGAAGTGCCGATGAGAAAAAATGAGGGCCGCAGGCGTATAAGTATCTTGTTCATCTTGAAAGCCGTCTGCCAAAGGCAGAGTTGTGCGAATTAGAAAAAACAAAAATAACGCCGTTGGCACAACAAGGCACCTTATTCATGCTTAATCCAGGGAACTTATTCGTTGCCTAGATAAAAAAGAAAGAAGCAGCTCGTGTTAATGATGGAGAACCTGCACGAATTGTTGAGAGTTTAGCCCGGAGTTTTTGGAAAGCAAATTTTGAAGAAGTGCAAGCAGTTCCCCAGTTCGGCAGCAAGAAGGTCTACAAAGTGCAGAACTAGTTTTGGAAGCTAACGACTACAATTTTTTATGAAATTTATTTCTATAATTATATCGACTATGATTTTTGTTTTTCCTCGATGAACGTAAAACGCGGTGGTCGTGAAATAAAAGCTGACACTGCTTTTTCTTTTGTCTACAGGTCGACAGGGCGGTCGAAGTCTTCAAATAGTTTGAACATATTTGCTACATGCACTTTTACAAGCTGACGCAAATTTTGTGTATGTTCGAACTCTCCGGGCGTGTAGGTTAGCATCGGTCCGCGCGTAGCATTGCAAGCTAGCAAGGTTCTGCGCATCCGAGCGCCAGTATCTTTATCACCTACGCATCACCTTCAATGAAGATTTACGACCTAGCTCTATATGTAGTTGGCTATATGCTTTCCCCCCTTGCCGCTTTGAAACTGAAAAACTGCCCTAAAAACTACAAGCACTTAAGTACTATCTAACCGTTGTGTCGAGGCTCGTTGTGACGAGGATGCTGTCTCCTAATCTTTGGAAGACAAGTTTTCGTATTTGATTCCACGAAGGTTCAAATGTTTATGCCCTAGATATTACATTAGTAAGTCGCAAAGGCCGCGCATCGATCCGCATGGCCATCTTCGTTTCTGCAAGAGATATATAATGCCACAGCCACGTCTGGAGGCATTGGCAGCATGAAAATGGACTGCTTGGTATGCTTTTTGGTGAGTTTGGTGTTCTTGTTCTGATCGTGTGCCACTACTTGTGTTTTATACTTCCATCATGTGGCTTCATCGTGGCGTCCTCATGTCGGTTTTCTCGGTTATCATGTTCTTTTCTCTTTTGTGATGTTTCTCCTTGCAGTCGCCCGCTCGATTTTCTTTTTGTCTTCCTTTTTCTATGCAACATAGCATGATGAAGTTGAAGTTGTTTAGCATACAAGATTGGCGGTGATTTTTTGCCGCCTTCCTCGAGGCCGCTGTCTCTACCTCCTGTCTCTACCTGGTTTTGAGGCAACCGCCCTCGTTCAGGTACCGAAGTGGAGCTACTTAATGACCGAGGCGGGGAGGTTAGTTTAGTATTAGTTGTGCCAGTTTCTATTTCCAGCCCGTAGGCACGCGATTCGTCCTCGCATAGAAGTACTTATTTTATCTTCAATGTCCTCCTCGTCGAGCTCTTACAGCAGCTCGTCGTCAGCCGATGAAGGTGGCGCAAAAGAACAACGAGGCAGTTCTAAGCGACGACGCCGACGCAGTCGCCGTGTGAAAAGACGAGCTTCAGATGCAACTTCGTTTATGGTCTGGCCACCAAATAAAGCCTGGCACTCTCAACGAACTCATGTGTGGGCAGAGGGCATTCATTTGCCCGTATGATTTTTCATATTCGTCGGAAAAAGCATTCATGCGCCACTTTTTTTATAGAAAAATGCGTACAGTGACCTACCGAAACTTCTATTTTGAAGATTTTACATTGCAATATAGAAAAATGCGTACAAGAACTATCGTCCACATTGATCACAGTCCTGAAGTTTGACCCTTAGAGCGGGGTAACAAATTAAGACGATTTGTGGTCATCCCACTTTTCACCCGCCCGGCCGGGTGGGTGAAAAGTGGGACGGAACCGGATCCACGCGTACGCGAACGGAGAAAAGCAAGATCCGGCCAGTCGGCCCGGATCGTGGTTCTGTCCCACTTTCCACCTACCCGGCTGGGCGGGTGAAAATGAGGTTGCAGCTTTGCTTCGGCGTGCAATGAATGTCGTCGTCCTCACACTCGCTTTGTTGAGTGGGGTCAAGTGTTTATTTTTTGTCTTGGGATTGCAACCTATTCCAGCTCGAGCGGATCGGATTCCAGCACGAGAAGCAGTGCCTCAGGTTCGTACGTAGCTCCTCCTTCCGGTCGACAAGATCATCGACGCAAGGCGATGAAGGCAAAGAAACAAAATAAGAACTTGGCGGCGCAGCGACTACGAACAAGCGCACAAACAAAGCATGAGGGCAAAAGGACCAGCAGTGGCCGCGTCCCGCGTCGTGGCAGCGGTGTGTCTGCGTTCGGAAGTGCGGATGAAGTCCTCGGACCAAGAAGAATCGTATCACCCTTCACGCCCAACGTTGAAGGAACAGATCAGGCAAGACCACTACTCGGACACCCCGGGACACCACCAGCGGTGGTGCGAGCGCAAACTGGAAGACCACCATTTGCATTCTCGAAAAGTAGAGCAAGAGCAGGTGAAGCAGGTGCAGGACTTGTTGATACCGGTGGCCGCGGGGCACCAAGTTCACAGCAGAAGCGACCTTTAACCGGCTACATAAACAGCGACTCGGATGGCGGTCCAGACTACGCAGCGCTCAACATAAAAAAGCCTTCCGCAGCCTTCGTCACGGTATCACGCAAGCCACCTTCTCCTGGCCGAGCGGGCCTGCAGAGAACCCGACAAGAAACCCTGGAACGCTCGCGAGAAAGGGCCAGACGCTGCATCTTTGTTGTGCTGCTGCTAGTTGCTGCCGTAGTTTTATTCCTCGCGCTGCTGTCTTGGACAGGTAGAGGTAGTACAGGTTCTAACTCTTAGTTGGTTCTTTTCGCATCTTGCTGTTTCCCCGTATCTATATATATCTCCTTTTATTTAGAGTTTACGACTATCTAAAGTTCTTTGTTGAAAAGGCGGTTGCCCAAAAACACCCTGGTCGATATTAGGGCTGGAACAAAAGGAGAACATGAACTGTTGCCCTCGTCACATTCGGTCGAAATGACTTCGCGGGAGGTCTGTTTTATAGATCATGACTCGAACAACATAAAGTCAGATACGTTAATGGATCACAGACTGTGTGGTCCTCTGTGAGTGTGACATAAATTTGCTGCCCACTTGATGTAGCGAATGAATTTAAATGAAGGTAATAGCGGTAGTGCGGGGCCCCCCGGTTTTCCTGCACCTGCTGTCCATCTTACGAAAATGGGACGCAAGAAAGCGGCAAATAAGGCTAAGAAGAGGAGCACGTCACGAGATCACAATCAGAAAATCAAGAGTGGTCGAGTTTTGTTGACAACATGCAATTGCATTTGCGCTTTCCCACCAGCGACATTGACCACATGAAAACCCGTTTCTAAGTACGCGTATCGGTTACGTGAGAGGTCATGGACCACGTGGCTCACATCTTGTCCAATCTACTGATGAAAGTTTGTTCAGAGTGTACTTCAGGGACTTTGCCATTCACTTCTGATCGTGAAGGTGAACGTGATCAACCCACCGGGGACGCTTTTCTTGTAGTTTTCCTTTCCACAAAGCAGCCGGTGCCGGCATCGGCTTACCATGCAGGGGCAGTCGGAGCGGGTCCGGGCGGAGCACATGACTATTACGCCGGGGCGGTTGGACCCGCCACGCCTCCTGGTGGACCGGCGGCACCGGGGTTCCTGTCCGGCCCGGTCCCGGACCACCACTCTAGCTCTTCCAGCTGGGGAATCGCGGAAATGCTGCAGCGCTGGCTGCAGTCGCCTGCACTCGTCGCCGCATTGATTCTCGGAAGTCTTCTTGCTGTAGGAGGAGTCTTATGGTACCTAGGTGTTCTGGTCCTATAGTGATAAAACCTACGACAGAAGGTGGGAATAAGAAAAGTAGTAAAATAAATGACAGTCATTGTCATATTGTTCTTTATTTTTTATTTTTGATACTTACCATGCTTGAATATGAAAAAAGTAGTTCTTAAGTTTATGCGTGACGCCCATTTTATTTAAAATGGACGAGCAGCAGGCGCTTGTGCTGGTGCAGGTTTGTCCCGCCCGGGAGTTTACGAAAGTGAAATCCAGACATCGCTGCTAGCCAATAAGCAAAAAATCCTCTACTTAATCCAGCCTAAAAGCGGGCATATCTCTCTTCGCAGCGACGAAATACAGCTGCTTGTATCGTGGTACCAGCTGTACGACCTAACCTACCCTTCTAACATGATTCTGTGCCCCTTGGTGATACTAGGGAGGCTAAGGAAATACAACAAGACCCAGAGGAACTCCACGACGACAGCACCAGCGTATTCAGATATTAATTTTCGGTCGGCGGGGTGTTTGGTATTGCTGCGGTGTTTCGACTTGCTCTCTAGCTTTACTCGCACACCATAGAATGACGTCAGCATCGGACCATGCTCTACTTTTGCTAGCTGCTCATGAAGCATTTGAGTTGACCACGTACCGGGGCTAAAGCTGCAGGTACATCAGTGCAGTTTGCTTTTTTGTCTGCAGAAACTGATAAAAAGAACGCAGGACGAAAAAAAAAAAATAGAATTCCTGTCGACGGCATCAACTAGCGCTGCACCATTCCAATTTTCTTGAATGGTGTTCGTGCAGCTTCTGCACTTCCGCATCGGCAGAGGATTTTTCGAACCTTCCAGAGTACCTATCATCGCTTGCTTCATGGCGCCGATCTTCAACTTTGAATAATTTTGTATTCCCATTTCATTCATCTGAAGCGCTGCTCAGTATGAGAAAAATTGGTGGATCTATTTGTTTTATTTGTGTGTCTAAGTCTAAGACTTGTCACACACTGGTCTCTTTTTCTAGTATTGTGCCTGCAGTTCTTCTGATAATTGAAAAAATAGCAGTTGTGTCCTCTCTCGGGTCCTTTTCTTAAACACTGTGAATCGGAGTTATAGGCTTAAGTCGATTTTTGTTCTTTTTCTTTTGCTGGTATTAATGGTATTTGCGCTTTGTTCCCTCTTGCTCTTTCAACGAACAACATCGCGAAATTGGTCTCGTTGCGCAGCTGCAGCACACCTTTATATTCATTGGTTTCTTGCAGTTCCACGACCGTTTTACACGGGTCGAATAAATTGGATAGGTGAAGATGCCTATGATCGAAGGTACTGGCGCCTATGATATTGATCTTCATGAGTCAGAGTCAGTGGATCAAATAAATAAATAAATGAGTCAGAGTCCGAATAAAGTGCGAGGCACTCTTCTTCCTGAAGTCGTCGAAAGCCGTTTGCTAGTACTGGAAAAGCCCTCGCGCAGAAACAAGAATGTGAGGCACAGCTTCAGCAGGAGGTGGGATAGATGCTTCGTCACGTGACAGCGCAACATCGGTCATGATACATAAAAGGAGCGGTGGATTGGGATGGGGCACAGGCTCTGTTGCGGAGCAACCCAGACCGGCGCACTTTTTTCGCAGGAAGTACTCTAAAGATGTGACGTGTTCTCCTTCTCCAGTTCCGGGAGGAAACATTCCGCCAGGAGGATCATGGAGACAACATGAAAGAACCAACTTTAATATTTACAACTTCGGGCGACGAGAATTGCTGCTACAACGTGTCGTGCACGCGCGGAGATTGAAGCGGATGAGAACGCAAAGCGCTGGCGTTCTGTTGTGGACGGCCAGGTTGTTTCTTCTCTTGGTCTTCTCATTCTTCTATGTGTTTTTCGGCCATGTGGGAGAGCAAGTTGGTTGGCTACTGCTTCGCTTGATGATTGGCTACCAAGACGGTGCACCAGGTTGTGGAAATCGTTCGTCCCCGGTACTGGTGAATGCGCTTGAGAATCCCACGTGCGGCGGCCTCCCGGACTGGATGCGACTGCAAAAGCGCCTACTTTCCGCGATGAGTGGACAGTCCTCGATGCAGGACGTTGTGCAAGACTTTGCGCATCTACTTGACAACACAACCGGGGTGGAACTGTATCTTCGCGGGGAGGGGGGCTCTTCGGATTTTATCGACGGCAAAACATCTTCCGGAGATGACATCAGTGCACATTCGTTCGCTGGTGAAGAAGACCAACCGCAGGCTCAGGAGGAAATGAACGATTACAGCCGGCGCGGGGGGATGAACGCTTTGGGTTTACTTGTCCAACAGTCGAAATCGTCTTCACCACCTACGTGCGTACTCGGATATCTTGCTTTGCGACTACTGCTGCAGCTTGGTAGGGAAGATGGCTTCGCTCTGGAAACCTTACTGCTTCGTCGCGTGGGCTGGGACCGTATTGCGCGCAGCGGGTGGCCTATCTTTCGCCTCCTGCGATACCTGGAGTCGAGCGACAGCACGACCGGCAAGGTAGGGGGCGAACAAGACGCGTCTTGGACTCGGTCGTCGGAGGAGCGCATTACGTGTGGCATTCCGGAATCAGATCCGTCGGGTGCATATTATCGCAGTTTCTTGTTCGAGTACGTGGTCAAACATCGACAAAGGTTCGGGGACGGACTGGTGCCAGAAACCGCTGCCTATCTTGCCCAGCCCGAGAAACAGAACCCGTGCACGTTAGTATGAAATGCAGATATAATACGGAACGCAAAAATCGTTTCAAGAGGAGCAGCGAAACAGCACGACTGACTGTCACGATTGAGTAGCAAAAATTTGACGGAAATGGGTCTTCACGCGGCTTGTAGATACTCATGTGGTCCTGCTGCTGGAGTACTTGATGCCTGCTACTGCGTGCTACTTCTACTACGTTCATCCTCGTCGTGCATGTGTCAGCATCGGAATCGAAATGCAAAGCGTCTGCTATATCGTTGCATACTTCGCAGCGGCCTTTGTCGCGTTGGCCTGGTCCCGCATTCCGATTTACAATTCCGACACGGACGGATTGCTGCGGCGTGCTCAGCAAATTGTGGAAGAGCTCTCAGTCGCAGACCTGCTCCAGGACAAGCAGCATCCACTCCTAGCTCTTCTGGACGAGACAGCCAGCGCCTTTGAGGCTTTCCTCATCGACGGTGGTTACTTTTACTACGACGAGGACGAGCATGAGCAGACAGTAGACGAGTCTCCTCGCTCTTCTTCCGTAATACCAGCCGCAGACACGACTTCGGGTGCATCACGCCAGCCCACAACAGAAGCTGCGCCAAGTTCCACGAGTGTCGATTATACGAGTTAGATTTCTCCTACTTCTTGCTTACTGCTGCTCATCTTGTCTTCTTGAGATGCAACAACTTCTTCTCGGTCTCCGTCATGTCGTGGTAACAAGTGGCATGATTAACTAGCAGGTGCAAATGAAGTCATATAATGAGGACCACATGATCCATGGCATGACCAGGGTCATGTGGAACTAGAAGTCGAGTCCTGCACATCAGTGGGTCTTGGCCAGAGAAAATCACAAACCCAAACGCATGTACAGTCGTGCTGACTCCCCCGTCCTAACCTGGTGACGGGTGACGTTGTAGCTCGATGCCATGATGACCACAAGGTTCGCAATTCATTTATTTTCTTTCATAAGCAACACTCGTCACATGATGCCCCCTGGGGCCGCGACGAGACAGGAAAGCGACCCACGGGCGTGCGTTGTAGGGTTTGCGACTCGGAAAAAAGCCAAGGGAAATACGAGCGAGCCCCTTTGCGACCCGTACGCCGCGATTGCGCCTGACCTCGCACGTTGGCGCGCCTTCGGAGTCACGCAGAAAAAAGTGCACGCAGCCCTGAACCAGATTACAGACGCAAAAAATCTGCTATTTCGGTACATTCGGGAAGATTCGAAGCTGCTCCAAATTCTTCCCGATTTCTCGCATTTGAACCAGACCGCGCCTAAACCCGCGTTCGAAAAAGTAGGCAAAGGCGAGCAGCCTGTACCGCAGGGCGAAGAGCCGCCGGATGCTATCGAACCATCTTGCCTGGCTGACTTTTTGGTAGAAATTTTGCAGCAGAGTCCGAGTATTTCCTCGTTTGACCTGGTGCTGAATCACGGAGACATGCCGATTTTGAGGAAGAACGAGGGCACACCGCCCTTCTATAATCTGCTGGATCAGGAGGCCCGCGCTCCGCTTCCCCTCTTCTCCATCGCAAGCAATCAAGAGTTTTTTGATATCCTTTTCCCCAATGTCTGCCGACCACAGCTGGTAAACCTGACTGAGGTCGTTCTCCTGAAAAAGCGGGAGAGGCAGATGGAGGCAGTAGAAGCGGCACCAACTACTACCGCCCTGCTGCGTGTTGGAGAGGAGGAAGTACCATCGTCAAAGATCAAAAAAGCCTTCTGGAGAGGCACGGATCGAGGGGCAGTGAACTGGTCCCACGATTATCGCGAAATGTTGCAGCGAGGTTCACCCTATGCAATCATGCAAAAGTATCGCACTACTAGGTATAAATAGCATCACAAATAATTTTATTCGTAAAAAGAGAGTTGGGGTTTGTATATGAATAATGATATCTCAGGTCGGTAATGCGAACGGTATTTGATGTCATGGATGACTGCAAAAATTTATACGAGTGCTTTTGCACAGGATACATTCCGTCGTGAATTTCTCCGCCAGGCGGAAAAACGACCAGACCTGTTCGACGTAGCCTTTTTGGAGGACGACCTCTCAAACGTCACTGTAGTCAACAGTGATCCGAATTTCGTACCGCTAGACGAGCAGCAGGTATACTGGTTATAGTTTCTTTTAGTTTTTGCAGACGAGATAAGAAGAAACGAGGCGTCGTGGACCGTGAGAAAAAAAAATAAGCAATCGCTCAAGTAGCTGCAGGACGATAATTCATGAACCAACCACATCAACTCTGAGAACCACGTCTACTTGCTCATTAATATTGCATTGCTTCACCAGGATCGATGGGCATACGCGTTGGATTTACCCGGAAACGGGTACAGTGGCGGGCTAAAGCAGAAGCTGACCGGAAAAAGTTTGGTTTTACTGGCGACTGAGATCGGTAATCGCGGCCGGCCAGTGTACGAGCATTATCATCTAGGTCTAACCTACTACGAGCACCTCCTACCTATCACGCTCGAGGCAATGAGCGACCAGGTGGAGTTTGCGCGGGAACTGGATGCCGAGGCTATCTCGCAACTCATCTCAAACGCGAACCGGTACATGGAGCGATACGCACTTTTTTCGAGGTGTTATGTGTGGCTGCTGCTTAAAAAGTATTCTTCCTACCTGACCTACGCTCCTTCGGGGGAAGGATTAAGTGTGGAATTCCCAGGGACGCATCACCGGGAGCACGTCTTGCGTCGGGCCGCAGACCCTACAACCGTAACCGAGACGGGCGAGACTACTGCGTTCGAAGAAATGTGCCGCGCCGACATAGAGCGTTACACATGAATGTATAAAAGTAGATACGCTCTTCATTTTATGTCTCCGAACGCCATGAATGAAGACACACGAAGTACGAGTATAATAGTCATGCCGTGTAGTGATAGTGCACTACGGATGAAAAGAGTATAAGACTAAAACTCATTCCATTTCCAAGTCCTACATTGATAATGATAGCGCGCCCATTTTTACCTTTGGCTTGTAGATGTTTACTGTCTACGTGAACAGCTCAGGGGCTTATATCAAGATGAAACGTACATCCTCGATAGTAGCGGTTTGGAATCGTACCAAGACAAGTTGCAGTATGAACGGCACCGGCTGCATGATTACGACCTGACAGTGACCTGAGTGTGAGAGAATGAGAGAGCAGCTTTGATGTGAAGTTTGTGCTTTCCTCGTGAAAGTTAATCTGTTTTCAACGAGGTCGCTTGGCGCCCTTCGTATTTGCTTCTTGCAGACTAAAAATTCTTGTTCGTCAATACCTCTCAACAGGACCCACAGAATATCCTCGCTTTCTCTCGTAATATATGTTCATTCTTGCTCTATTTGGCTGTCGCGTCACACGTAGGGCGGAAACACAGGCAGAATGGATTCTGAATGTTTGTCGATCCTCTAGGATGAAAGTCACGTGTGTAGTCTCTTTTATGTCATCAAAATGTATTTTGCAACGAGCATCATCTTTTTCGGGATCTGATGATTGTAAGGAGCAGGCTCAAAATGCTAATGTACGGTCGGAAGTAGTCCAACTGCAAGATGCAATTTCTGCTGGCGTAAAAATCGTGCCTGCCTGTGCTGACTATTTATTGTTTGTGTTTATAATGTTTTCTTTTATTTCCGCAGATCTTCCACTTCGCTTCCAGTAAGATAATTATGCTTATGGTATAGAAACTTCATGGTCTTCGTCATGCTTTATGTTCGACCGTGGTCCCTGCAACCTGAGGTGTCGTAGACCTCGGATCCGTAGTTTTTCACTTCGCTTTCTGCTTTAGGCTAGGGGCGGAACTGGCTTCCAGCACGCGAAGATGACGGGATGGGAACGGAGCATGCGGACAACATGCCCGTAATTGCAGTCGTACTGGAGCTTGCCCGCGAGGGCCACCAGTAGCTGGAGCTTATTGCGCCCACGACATACTTTGAGAAGTTGTTTGGGAAGAAAGTAGCGACTCAGACGATCATCATGATGGGCACCAAAAAAGGAAGCGCGCCCTCGATATCCACCTACACAGGTGGAGGGGGGAAACAAAACTACGAAAAGACGGATTACGGAACGGTTCCGGGTGACCAAGAAAAGGGCAAGTATCGAAAACCTGACCACGATGGTGCGATAGTTGGCCACGCGCAAAACCACGAGCACGCAACTTATAACCGAGCAGTTGGAGGACGAGGAGGTCGAGATGGGTACCAGCAAAGCGAAAGCCAGCGTATGATCAGGGACAATTCTCCAGATTGATCAAAGAGAGGCTGCAATTCAGTAGAATCTGGCCCTGAGGTTGCCACGACACGTCAGCACCAGAAGATTGTGTTACGAGAAGGCGGAGCCGGAGCCACGGCTTTCTGTCGCAGCTGCAGCTTGTACGTGATCATGGGTGCACTTGCCCTTTTGTATATGCTTTTTTTTGCAGCTGTTTTGGTATTGTACAAAAAAAATGGTGAGATGGCTCCGCTCCTGGTTCGTCTTCGTCCTTGCATGTATATAGAAAATTGTCAGACACAGACATACAAATACTGCAGCGCAAATCTCCTTTTGACGAGTTTGGTAGGGTGGTTTTTTTTTTCTGATACCACACCACCCGGGGACGGGAGGACCATACTCAGGAGCCTCCTACGCGGGAGGTGCTACTTCGTCTTCGTCAACCTACAGGACCTCGTCGTCGGTTGTGGAGGTGAATGTGAAACTGAATACAACCAGCACTTCTGCACACGAAGACTTTTACGGGTCTTATCAATCGACGACCGTTCATCCAGAGGGAGATAGGGCTGCCGGGGGGCGCTCCGAAAAACCAGGCAAGCACTACCAGTACTACGGAAACAAGCAGGGACCTTCGGGGCCAGTGGGTGCTTCAGCGAGCGGCTTCGCCAAGAACAATGGTTCCGGACCGCAACCAGGTCAGCACTACACGCAACCGGGACGAGATACTGGTGCTGAAGTTTATGACTACAACGACCACAGCGACGTTGGCGTTAAGTACAGTAAGGGGCCGCAAGCGGGACAGTCGTGGCAGCACGACAAATCTGCTGACGATAGCCGGGCTTACGCGTCCTCCATAACCAGCAAAAACTACACACAAAAGGGCGCCAAGAATAAACCTTCTTTTTCTGCTGGTCCCGCAACAGGATACAATTCCTCAACCGCAACTACTACAACTGCTGGGGGAAAGGAAAGACTAAAAGGCTCGCAAGGGATTAGGGGCAACCGATCTACTGATGTTCCGCCCGGAAGCAGACCCTACGGGTACGAGACCAGCACTGCACATCACGACACGAACAGATCGAACAATTACGCTGCCTATGCTCCCGACATCGACGAAAGCCCGGACGCGTCGAAGTATCAGAGCAGCAACGCGTACTATGGAAAGGGTGTACACAGCGCATCAGGTCCAGCAGGAGAGCTGCAGGGGGGATCGTCGGCGCCGGGAGTTGTGCAAATGCAACACCAGGTCACTGCATCCGGGGCGGATGCTGGATGGCACTCGCATGTGAACGAGCGAACTAATTCCTCTTCCTCGACGTCCCCAGCAGACGATCGAATTTCGCGGGCTTACAACAACAAGGATCTTTCTTCGTGGAATGCTATCGAGCAGGATCCCTACTGGCGCTCGCCGGGGAGGCAGGTGTCTTCCGCAGTAAGTTCCACGAGCAAGAATTCCTCGACTGCACTGAACAACAATATCGGCCTCTCGTCGGCCTCGGCGCACCGAGACCAAGACCAGAATAATCACATGCATAGTGGTGCCTCCGCCTACCACAACTACAAGGCGTCTAGCACGGAACACGCGGGTGGTCAGCTGCAGCACCTCGGCGCAGCGGTACTAGCTCGGCATCAGGTCCAGGGCGCGCAGCACAACAACGCGGTTGCTTTTAAAGATCGATCGGTGAACAAGGGCAGCAGCAAGTACAGCACTGATGGTGCAGCTCGCACCTCCACCGCGTACGCCAGCACCAGTAGCCAACGTCAGACGCCAGGTCACTACGTAGAGAAGGTGGGGGCCTCGTCCAGTGGCAAAAATAAAAGCGAGACCGGGCATTTTTACCTTGGAGGTGGCGATGCTGGTCCGTTTGTGGACTACTCCGACAACCGAGCAAGGGGTCCACAGACCGTTCTTACGGGGGGTGCAGAGCGGAAAGGCAATTATGCTGATGCGCAGGAAGCGGCGTCTTTCTCGGCCCATGCGGGGTACTTTTGGGATACGACTTCGCAACGGAACAATGTTCACGACAATGACGGACATCCCGAGGACCAAGCTCATCCTCATCCCGGAGCGGGAGGAGGGAAGCAAAGGCCAAGCAGCAAAAGCAAAAGCTTCTCTAGCAGTAACAAACAGCAGCTGCAGCGGCCTGATGCCGCTCCTGCAAATTTTGGAACAATGACCAGTGCGGCCGCCGCGGCTCGTAGCGAAGGTATTCATGGGGAGCAGCAGGAGCTGCGCTGGAAGTGGAACGGCAACGAAGCGTACGATCACACGCCGCACCGCACGCCGTCCGAGGTCGGGTGGCAAGAGCTGGAATCCGCGTCAGGAACTAGCACCAAAAAGGGCAACGCAATATTTACATTCAAAGGCGGAGCGAAGTCGACCATCCATCAGTCCAGGGGCACGGAAAGGCAAGACAATAAAATGAATGGCAGCACCAGTACCAGGAAAGACGGCAATTCTGCAACTTCGCAAAAAGGCGGTAAAAAGATGAAGCAACAGTCGTCGAGGAATGCTAGTGCAGCAACGAGCGACGACGATGGCGCCTTGAGATCGAGTAGAGGCATGTTTGGTATTGTAGCTGCTCAGAAAGAGCACGACTCGCGTGTCGTCGTGCAAGAAACAAATGCATCTGGTCCTGCTTCTGCAAACGTCACGCTGCAGCAGGGAGAGGACGCAAGTGCCGCATTGAAGAGCAGCACCAAAGGCGACAATCCAGTGTCTTCCCGTCCTTCCGCGAAGGAGGGAGACGGCGGCGTTGAGAAGGTGCGGCTTTCTTCCACGGGGAAGCCGATACACGTTCCGCTGTGGCAGCGGAACAGTGCAGAGATCACCACCACGATCACAACAGAAAACGTTCGGGAGGTGCATGCCTTCGCCCGCGGAAGGCCGCCAATAGCCGACGCCGCCGCCGGAAGTAGTGGCGCTGCTCAAAAACAAGGCGTCGGCGTCGCTCCAACAGGAGGGCCCACGCTCGGGGCGAAAAAAGGTGGAAAGAAAACGAGTGAGCAGGCGGGTCGCGGCGCAGCCTCTTCAGCCACGAGGAGGAGCGTCGAAGAGCAAGTTTTTCTCCACACGCGAACGCGAACTGGCAGTGGCCGGGTCACACCTGCCGGTGCGGCTACTCAAGAAAGCGACGAAGACGCATATAATAAGTTGTATGGTTCGGCTTCGGCCGCGGGCAGCAACGGTCCACCTGCACGGGAGGACAACAAGCTCGATTCGGCTTTCCAGCCGCATGGGGATGCGTGGCGTCGCACTACCATCGGAGCCACGACCGGCAGCAGCAGCAGCAGCAGCTCTTTCAGCTACCGCGGGGGCGGGAGCAGGAAGGAAGGCCGGGTCCAAACTTTCACTGCCGGTGGACTTCGGCAACACAGTCACAAAAGCACTGCTAGCGGAGGTAGTGGCAGAGGCACAAGCGCTGCTAAAGGAGCAGCAGAACTTCCCGTGCAGCCGCTGTACAACACCACTGAAATGGAAATAGTGGCAGGTAACGTTGCAGATCCAACCAGGTCCTCGTGGGGCCTCTTCCCGACGACAGGCATGCAGCTGTCTGGTGCAGCTAGTACCTCTGCTGGTGTTGAGACAGCATCCTCACTGCTGCAGAACTCATTATATGACTTTCAGCAATCCTCTATTCCCTGGAAATGAACCATCCCAATCCAATTTGTAGCCATGCGAACCATGTAAATGTATAAAGGAGAGTCCGTCACTTGTCTTTGTCATGCAAAGAAAAATGGATGGGGATGATAAATTTTTAGGGAATATCCTCGGCGTCCCGGTCCACCTCGGAGAAACAGTATAACCACCTTCCCGTCCCCTACACCGCAGCGCACCCCTACCTCGCACAGCAACACATGCCAGGAGCGTCAGAAGCCCAACTCGATCAATGGACGGCATCGGCCGACTCGGCCGCAGCGCTTCCATTGGATCCTGCTTGGGGTAGCGCTAGCGACCTGAGACCCATGGCGCCCCCGGTTGTAGAACACTCGAGCAGTAGGAGCAACACCGCAACAAGCAAGCAATCTACCGCGTCTGCCACTCTCTTTCCAACGGCCGTCGGCGGGACAGATACCTCAGCGCTCCTCGTCGGGCATCTACCTCAGCAATCGCTGGGTTTACATGTTGGCCAGATGGAGCCGCCAACCGCACCGGCTGTGTTGGCCTCTGCTGTGGCCAAAAAACCTGAAGAAGTAGTCCACCAGCAGGAGAATAAAATGCCCACAACCGTGTCTCCACCCGCCCAGTCGCAGTCCAAGTCCTCATCTCCAGTGAAGGGAGCAGCGCAGAGCCAGAGGAAGCAGGCAGACCCGGCGGGAGAGGGCCAGAAACAGGACAGCGGAACCAGTGCCGCTGTAGCCACTGCGCTGCCGATCAAATCGCTAGAAGAGATGCAGCGAGAGCGCTATCCATTTGTGCAAGCGTTTCGCGGGGGACCGCTGGTTGCACCTCGACCAAACGTCGCAAACTCGCTGGTCGACTCGGCGTACCCTCCCAATATTCAAAGAATATACCGAGACGAGTCCTCTTTCGGAGACAGGAGCAGTGCGGTTGGAGAACAAGCGAATACTAGTACGATGACCCTCCAGCCTCCTGCATCGACGCTTTCCGCCGCAAAAGATGTTGTCGCACCAGATGGTGCAACTACGCATTTGTCTTCTTCAGCAACTCTCGTCCCCGGTGACGAACCGTCGATGCTAAAAAGAAGTGAGGACATCAACACCGCGAGCAGGACCAGCAATAGCAAAACGCTGAAGATCAATTTGGAAATAGCAGGAGAAGAACAACTGCTACGACGAGACCCACAGGAGGGTGGATTATCAATCATATCGCCGTCCAGTGCCCCCACGCCGACTGGCGTTCCGAAGTCCACTTCTTCCATTCCACACGGGCGCGTTGAGCACGGAAACGCAACTCCGATGCATCCACAGGGCTCCGATTTATTTCAAGATGGTCGCGATCGCAGTGTCTCTGCCCCCTTGCCTTTGCTGCTGCACAATGATCGCCGTTTCTCGGATGAAGCCGATCGCAGCCTGCTTAGCGGGGGCGGAGATCTTCAAATTGAGGAGGTGCACCACGACCACTTTGACGATGAGGACAATGCGCTGCTGGGATCTGCGGCGTCGTTTCATAGTCTGTCGGGTACGCTAGATGGGTTACGACCTGGAGAAGTGGCAAGCGAAAAAGAAAATGTCGACAATCCGAATGAAGATCCGGACTCGTTTCATGATGCTTGCAGCGATGTCGACTCCGCGGACCTCGGCCTCCAATCACCTTCGCACGAAAATAAGAGCCCCGCCAGCTCGCCTGGAAGGCAAGCAGATTCTTGCGAAGAGCCCGGAGGAAGCGAAGTGAATTTGCGCGGCCACGAGAAGAAGCGCCGCGCAGAGAGCGACACATCAACAAAAATGGTCAACAAGGGGACGGAGAATAAGTCATGCGAACACGACGACGGCAGCGGCACGACGAAAAATCAAAATCACGGCATGCTCAGTGTTTCGAAGACATCATCTACTTCGCACCATCTACCTGAGGCAAGCGCGCCCGAGGTTCAGGCTCTCATACAAAACGTCGTGGCGTCGAATCCGGTTGTTGATGGCGATGGGGGGCCTCTTTTATCGTCGGCTACAACATCAACCATATCTACCCAGAACAACTACCTGAACGAGGGCCCCCGGAAGACGGGCAATATTATCGGGCCCTCTACTGCCAAAACGCGGACAGGGACCGCATCAAGCAAAGTGCGGACGGCCGCAAGGAACCGGATCGACTATGCGGCCAGAGGCTTTGTCTATTCTCGTGATGGACTGCTTTCTTTCCGGGACGTCCTACTGTCTCAAAACCGTCTCCGCCTTTCCCAGCGGGAGCGGGATAACATGTGGTTTACTCTTCACCAGCAAATTCTAAACCGCGACTACCTGGCCCGCCCACATGGTATCTATGCTAAAAAGTCTACCGTCTGGCCCTCACGTGGTGGAGTCTATCACCCTAACGGTTTTGTTGGCCCTGGGGGAGGAGCGACTGGCTCCGGCGGCGCGAGCGGATCAGCAGCTGCAGACACTTCGCACAAAAACAATCGCATGGGGGATTTGAACGCGCCGGCGTCCGGCCGCGGTTCGTTCCCTGAGATGACGAGCTACACGCTGCAAGCCGAAAAAGGAGTAAGGAGTGGTCTCATTAGGGCTGATGGGACTTCTACGTCGAGCGGAGCAGACCACCTCTTAGCGCACCCGATAAATCGTCCCTCGTCCTCGATGGTATCAAGCCTCGCAGTACTCGGAACGGAACCCATCGACTCAATTCAGCGTCAGGTCACGGCTGTGTTGAACAAGCTTGCACCCGAGCGATTCAAGTACTCTTCCTCTTGCTCCTTATTTTGATGATTTCTGTCCTCGCACGAGCATATCTCCACAGTTTGTACTGGCTTCGCCTTCGTCCTTATTTGCAGGATAAGCATAGTAGGCAAGAAACGTGCGGCAGTGACTGCCGGGCAGTCGACACATGAACATGATAGAAACTAGACACCATGCGTGCTACTGCTATCAACTTCGACTCTTTTGGGTTTCTGGGGATGAGTATCTATACGTATGTGATGTTTATTCTTCGCCAGATTATCAAATACAGGAAGCTTTGCGAGACCATGGCCGCGCTTCCTATCAGGAGCGCAGCGGATCTCGACACCGTTGCTCGAGAGGTATTTGACAAGGCCGTGTCACAGCCAACCTACTGCGAGATGTACTCCGACATGTGTATGGTCCTACGGACTCGTATCCAGGAAAAAACACCCATCCCCCTCCATTTTTTGCATGACAAATAGTGGATTTTGTGCATGTTTTGCATGACAAATTGGATAGGGATGGGTGTTTTTTCCTGGATAACTCGTTACCCGGAATTTCCGCAAGACACAGCAGGAACAAGCACGGGCGGGGGCGCGAACAGCCCGGTTGCTGGTCGAGGAGGCAGTGTTGTCTCCACGCCCGCATCCACCGCAATGGGCACGGTCGTGTCAGGACCTAGCAGTTCTTTTGGCGGCGCCAGTGGGGGTGCTGGAAGCTCTACTTTTACCTTCACGAGAGCGCTCCTCAATCGTGCGCAACAAGAGTTTCACACTGCGTTCCAGGAACAGCAACAGAAGGCGGCTCTTGTTGCTAGTTCCTCCTCGATTTCCATTGCGAGTCGAACCTCGAGCCGCGGGGATAATGCCTCCAGTACCACGGAACTACAGAGCGCAGCTGCAACTATGGGGGGTGCTGGAGCTCATCTACAACTTCCAGATTCATCACAGCAGCAGCGAGTTTTTACCGTACAACAGGGCGGGCCACCGGCCGCCGGGGCACCAGCCTCAGGTAGTACAACAACTACGAGGACCTCCATCCTGCACGGCATGAGCGGGTTGACGAGCAGCAAGTCGGATGACCAAAAGAAAAAGGAAAGACTGCTGGGGAACATGAAGTTCATTGGCCAGCTGTTCCTGCGCAAGCTACTTTCGCAACGGATCGTGCGGTCGGTCGTCTCAGAGTTAATCTACCCGGTACGCGGGGATCCCGGGGAACTCAGCATCGAGTGCGTTTGCATGCTGCTGAAAAACGTGGGCAAGACGCTGGAGGCGAGCAGCTCAGGCAAGGAGTACCTGTCGACATTCATGGCACGATTGCGCGAGCTGCTTCGCATATTCTACAGAAAAATACGCCTACACTCATTCTCATACCAGCAAAGAAAATAATCATGGCAGCACGTGTCCTTTTTTTGTTTTTTTCTTCCACAGAAAGCTCTGTGATGCTCCTCCGCAAGAAAGCGAAATATCTGTCGTGTTAGATGGAGAATGTGAATGTGCTGCGGAGGCGGAGGACTAGCATGTTCACAAGGACCACGCCAATAAGAAAAAAAATTGTCTATTTATTTTCCTTCTGGACAGCACGACAAGTCTCTTTTTTTTCTGGTCTTTTTTTATGTGCGTACTTCTATTTTTTTGTAGAATAGCGTAAACAGCACTCGAAGCGCATCAAGTTCGCCATTCAGGACGTCTTGGACCTGGCGGACAATAAGTGGCTCGAAAGAATCGTGAGTCTCGGCAAAGGCGGTGCGGCGGGTGTGAAGACAAAAGTAGCGCTCGAGCAGGATGCACAGCGGGAACAGAAGTTGCTACAATCCGGAGTCCAGAACCCATACGCGCAAATCGTCGCCGCCGGAGGGCGGCCTGATTACTTTCCCGAAAACTTTTCTCTCATTGGTTCCAAGGACCCAGAAGAAACCAGTTACCATCTCGAGGAAGCCAAGAAAATCCTAGCGTACAACTCGACTTCTTTGTATTTCTCGTCACTCGATCGCCCACTTCTCCTTTTGCAGCTTCCTCGATGAATTAGTATCTGTACCATCTAAAAATGAAAGCGACCATTTGCAGGTATTACTGCGAGGATCGCAATCTAGAGGACGCGGTCGGGGCGTGGCGGAGCTGCATGGAAGACACGACGTCCAACGAGGAGCAGGGACTTCCTTTACAGTATCTGTTGGAGACCGGGTTCTCCGACTTCCGAAAGTCTGAGTCGGTGGCTTGCCTGCTGGTGGGACTGCTTAGTCCCCCTTCGCCGTGTGTAGAGATCAGACAGTTGTGCCGATGTCTCGAGCCATTTGTGGCCAATCTAGAAGACTTCCTCCTCGACTACCCCAAGGCCGACAAGTTCTATCACCTGCTAATCTCGTCGCTTCTCTGCGACAGAAAAACGGTACTAAATGGGGCTCACTTGAAACATTTTAATTCTATTTCTTTGCTTACAATAACAATTCGAATTAGAATTTCCCAAACTTTAGGCCCCAACCGCAACCAGTCGTTGTTTCTGTAAATGAAAGTAGTCCTCAGCCACGATTGATGATACTTGTGTTTTTCGGGGCGCAAATGTCACCACCAAGGGCGGAGGCTGCAGGTTGGAGAAGGTGTAAAAGAAAAATGAATGTACTACCTGTTGTTACTGTGGTGTTCTTCCAAAACATGATCCAACTCCAAAACCAAAACAAAGGTTCGGCTATTCACCAGCGATATTTTGCGAGGGTTTGACTTCCCGGAAACCCCGGGAACGCCGCTTAACGGCAGGGCCAATGGGCAGACAGGCACAGCAGTCGGGCTTGTTGAAGCTCCTCCGGGTGTATCAGTTGCCGTTCGCACTGGTGCGGACAATAAGACCGCAGTTGAAACAAGCGAGCCCTCTCCTAACTGTGCGGAACAACAGACACTGAACCCAGTACAACTGGGAGAAGCTGCAACTGCATCCGGAACAAATGCATCAACACTTGCGGGCACCCTATCCGAAGCCGGGAAGCAAGATTCTACAACTTCTCTGCCTAGCGCTGCGGACAACAGACCACTGGAAGGGTCGTTGGCAGCGGCCGGTGTTCAATTGGACGATGATGGCGAGCAACACGATGTGAAAGACCAGTCTGCGGGTAGCAGCACAGCGCATCAGACTTTGCACTCCTGCTTCTACGTGCAGTTGTGGTGCAACTGCCTGCGCGCCGTGCAGCGCCGCGCCGTATCGGAGTGCACAACCCACCCCGAAGAACCTCCTCATTTCTAAACGCAAAACATTATATATTTATACCCAATTATGGTGCACGCTCTGACAGACTGCTCTACGCGCTGCCTGCGTGGCAAATTTTGGAACCTCCAAGAGCAGCACGATAATCCGTTTGCAGTTGCAGATTAGTCATGGAGAAGCCACATGTCTTTGTGATTGTGTTGCAGCTGCTTGTTGCTTCTGCTCGTAGTGTTGCAGCTGTTCATGCGCTTCAGATGAGGGGCAGGGGAAGTAGTTGCGCACTCTCATACGCTGGGCTAGCAGGCCTGAAGACCGCAATCCAGGATACGAACCCGCAGGTTGCCGCCTTTTTCTTTGGCAGTCAGATTTTCCCCGACTATCGCCAGCTGCACGAACTGTACACGCGTGCGGGTCTGTTCCGCTATTTCGATCGAACGGAGCTTTTTGACGAGCTGTTTCAGCTGATGCATGCGAATGCGGACGTTGAAAGTAGCACTGCTGCAAGAACCGAGCATGGAGATGAGACGGCGCAACTAGTTGACGAAACGGACGAAAGCAAGCTCAGTGAGGAATGGATCTCGCTCATTCTCACCCGAACCACCCAAGAGGAGGTTCGTGAGGATGTTTTTTTGGCGAGGCTCGCGGATACCGCGTTTACTGCGTTTTACAAGCACAGAGACCTTTTGCAACTGCGTAACAAGCGCGGCGGCAGCACCAGCGCTGGCGCTGCTGATGACGGAGCGACTGCGGCAGCAGGTACATCGATACAACCTCCGGGCGACATTTTATGAGAGTGCACAACTCCACTTCCACCTCATTTTCCAGTGTAAAATTGCAACTAATCCACTTCCAGCTGTACTAGCATAGTTTGACATTTTAGGCTGCATCAGCATGCATGCGTGACAAACTGGAACCCAGACGGTAGCAGTACTACAGTCTGCAGGGAACCTGGACCTGTCATGCCTTTTTGTCTTATTTGGCTGGTACTGTGTATGCCTTGCATTTCTTTGGGTCGACGTGGGAGGGGCAGTTGTGCACTTTCATACATTGACTTCGCGGCTTCTCCTTTCTGGAACCTCCAGATGGCTTTTCTGGAGCATTTCTTTCAGCAGAAGAAGATCGCGCTGCTTCTTCCCGAGGCCAGCTCGCACCAGGAGGAGAAGGCGCGCCGCTGCATCGGTCGCATCTTGCTGGACGGGCTGATTTTTACCTGTCGCCGGGTCCCGGAACTCTCGTCGACCGAGTGCTGTTGGCTCCTGACAGCACTACTGCAGCGGAGTGCCACCTCCGCTTCCCAATCAGCAATGAAGGGTGCCGGGGCTAGCCCGCATGAGCAATTCACCGCGAGCAAAAACAGAAACTCGTCAGGAAGCCGCGTCGTGTCGCTCACCGAGCCTGTGCTGCGCTACTTGCGATCGCAGGCCGATGCTGATTCTCCGGAACGTCTCATTGTATTGCATGCCCTGGACGAACTGTTGAAGACGAAATAGAAAGAGTTCGGTTTTGTTTCAACGTTCATCTCAACATATTTACGACTTTCGGCTCTCGCAAGGATATGCGAGATCAACATCCATAGAAGTGGAGCGGCAGCGACACTTTTTTCAGAAAACGTCAATACAAACATACGCAATCCATCAACAGCGTGGTTTTGATCAAACCTAAGCAGCACGCATAGCCGTCTAGCACTTTTTGATGCGTCCTGTGTTTGTGATTTCCAAGCTACTCCTCGTCCTCGTTTGCGTATCCATATGTCGAGGACGCATTTTTTTGTGTCGCACCTGCAGCTGCTCCAGATTTACTTGTTGTAAGTGTAGTAGAGAAAGCGAAAGGCGACTAACATAAGCAAATCAATAGCTCTTTCACCACTTCGTTGACACAGGTTCTTGATTTTATCGGTGTGCGAGAGTTTTCTCACGTCCTCGTCTTTCTTTTTCATCGTCAAATCTGCTTACGTGCAAGGAGGAGCTTCGCTGACTCGTGAATAAAGCTACGAGGGTTTTAAAGAAGGATTCGAACGAATTCGTCGCCATTCTTTTTATCGTTGCGATTATCGTTAAAGAATCAACATACGTTCGATTTTAGCATTCGTTTTCCACCAGCTCAAAATCAAATCGATTTCGATTCGAAACATTCAGCGTAGCTATCTCTTCAATCCTTCCGAGTTTTGGTGCCACCTGGGGGTTTGTGAGGTCTGATCCTTTTCGTTTGTGGGAGTTCGTCGATAAAATCCGTGTAGTTCTTCGCTTTCGAGGAAGTAAGCAGGCGGGTATTCATTAGTGCAACCAAAGACAAAGTTGTGTTGCAGGCATGTAATCGGTGCATTCGCGTAAAGTGCATTTTGTCATCAACAACACTCGATCCTCGATCCAGCTAAGTACTAAACACGATCGCGCGCCATTGAAACATAGACCAAGAGCCCCATACGCCTGACTAAAAACTACCACCACAAAATAAAACGAGGATTGTTTACTACGCTTGTGGAAACTATGGCTTCTGGCACCCGGCGAGGGCGTCAAAAGGCGCGGACTGATGGGGAGTTGGACGCGCGCGTCCTGGCTGACCCGATGCTCCCGGTATTGGAGCAGATGGCCCGAGCGAACGCGGACCATGAAGCGTCCATTGAGCTCTTTAAGGAATGCTTTGTCGAAACTTCCTCCGGTATGGAGTTCTCAAGCGTTACGTTGACAGTTCGTTGTTGCATGAATTTGAATTTCTGATGCAACAAGAGTAGCAAAACTACTGAAAGGGGGGGGGTTGCGCGTGTCGCGTTACTAGATGAAACTCGGAACAACATTTCAGGTTGTTGCGCGTTTCGAGAAAAAGCTTGTTCGTCACCTCCGCGTGCTGGAGCCCACGCCTGGTCATGCGAAGTACCTTCCTCATCGTCATCCTCGCCCAGGCCCACCCCCCCGGAAAGGGGATCCTTGGCCTCTGGGGCTGCGTGCGGGTGATGTCTATTACATGATGATCATGACGGAGCCCCGCGGTAATTCTGCATGGCAAAATTAAAGAACGCAGGTCAAATCATGTAACAGCAAACAAGACCACGCTTGAGGGTTCCATATCCGGCGACATAGGGTTGCAGGTCCGAAACGGGCCCCTTTTTCGATGCCACTCCGCGGTGTTGAAACGTGTGCCGGGATTCCTGGATCAGGTTCGCGTTTGCTTTATTTTCTCTTCGACGACATAGTTTTTTTTCCGACCACGGCCGGCATCTAGACTTATGTCTGTGCGGTGCCTTTCTCTCTCATATGGTAGGTCTAGATCATCCTTGAAGATATTTTGCAATATTCTTACAACATACAGTCTGTTCCTGTTGTTTTTGATTTCGTATATCCCATATTGTCCTGGTTCTGCTGGACGAAACGACAAAAAGTAGACGAGCGCCTCTTTCTCCGGTATATCATGTGGCTCCACGGCACTCTCCAGGTACGGATATGCATGGCAAAAGTATTGCGCTCGTGCAATTCATTTATCTGACAAATCTTCTGCCCCCTTACCGAAATCAGTACTGAAAAGATGACTAAAGAACAAGTGCAACTTTACTACACTAGAACTATCTAGTGCCATACTTTTGCACTGCATAGAGGAACCTGAAGTCGCTCCCCATCTACGTAGAAAAAGATCCTGTGCCTGTGCGCGAGTGGATGACCAAGCGGAAGATGAACCGCTTAAAAGCCGACCTGGAATTTACGAGCTTTTCCGATGACCGCTCGACGGAACCCCAGCATGTCCCATACGAGATGGGATATTCCACTGCGCACCCACTGTTTGGGAAAATGGGTGCATTGCAAAGGCGCGACCCCTTGCGGTACGATATTTCATCATAATTTGTTAGACGCGAAGAGGATAGCGATCGCATCGATAGATAATAAGTACTGTAGCTAGATCGCGGTTTATTTCCACATCAGCAATTTAAACTTTAACTTTCAAAATTCACAGCCTCGCGGAGCGATACGAGATGGTGGAGCACGGCGAACGAGTAGTAGAAATCCTGCGGTATGTGTACCTTGGCCGCATAGATTACCTGTGGATGGAGCCACAGGGAGCGGAAGCCAAGAAGACGCTGATGGAGTATGAACTGCAAAAGTATCGTACTCGTATAAATGCATTACAAATTTTCTCAGCATGAGAGAGAAAATTTGTAATGCAGATTTCCCTTAAGATAAAGACTTGTATATGCAAGCCTTGCATTTATACGAGTGCGATACTTTTGCACAGGATATGGAGAACATGCTTGCGATGCTGTTCTGTGCCGCCAAGTTTGCGATGGACGACCTCTTCTACGTTCTAATCAAGGTATAGAGATTATATGGTCTATATCAATCTTCTTCATCTTCTTGAAGAACTCGTGGAGGCGGAAGACAAGAGCGCAGCATACGCATACAGAATATAGGTTTAGTTGATATTATTGTCCTTATTCGTTTCCTCGCGCTTGTTTTCATTTTCAAAGATCGCTGTACATGTCGTGACAAGGAGGCTGCGATCGTTCTAATCTCTCGGCTAAAACAAGTGCCAGCTTTCAAGCGGCCGGAAGAGTTTTTGAAGTACGCCCAAGCTACCCATCCTCTGACGGCTGTTCTTTATCTCGTCAAATAGTGAAACTGGTTTGAGCAGCAGCAGGGTGTTGAGTTTGCGTTCAATAGTCAACATACATCTTCATGGTTCTGGTTGTTTTTGACAGTACAACTGAAAAAATTGCAGTGGTTTCCGCTGAAGTGCCAGGTGGTGTGCGGCGACGACAACTTTACGGAGTCCTTTTACAAGATTGAGTACTACTTGCGAAACGCGGTGCAGGAGCCGTTGTTTCAGAAGGACATGCTGCACGCCCTGCTGCAGATGGGAAGCAGCCGCAACTACCTGATGTTGATCTCCTGGGACCAGCGCTGGAATTCGCTCGAATCGAGCTTCTTGTCCACCTTTCTGGACCAAGATGACCTGGCCATCGTGAACGAGGGAGAGTTGCTGCTCATCATCGAGCGCTGGAACGCCAACCGCGACAAGAGCACTCACGATGTTTTGCAGGTACGGCTAAGTTGTTGTAGGAGTGGCAGGGACTGACAAGGTGGACAAGTCAGCTCAAAACCCAACGAACGTGCTTTTCTATCAGAAAGCTTTTCTATCAGAAATGATAGAAAAGCACGTTCGTTGGGTTTTGGGTGTAAGTAGTCGATTCATTTTTTTATACTGTAGCGATCATCGCGATTCCGACCCCCTTCGCCATCTTTATCGTGGCTCGCCAACTTCAAGTGTATTCTGGCTGGCGATTTATTTCTTGAGGTTACTGCGCGATGACGATGTATGGATGTTGGTGTTCTTTATCTAAAGATAAAGTAAGGCCTTACAAGATCAAGAACGGTCGCGCAAGACGTGATGCTTTGTTCTCGTGTATCATCGGCATGGTGGTCAGGCAGCATCAACGGCCCGCCCAAACGGAGTTTGTAAATTTGTAGCTACACTTCACGGCAAAGTAAATCGATACCCGGAAGCGAATCGTGGACCACTTCCTTTCACTTCCAGGTGTGCCAATGTTACCGGCAAACAAGTCAAAACATTGATGCGCTGGTGCAGTTTCTGTTGGCGACCAGCATTGTGAAGGAAGAGACCGGCGTAAAGGTTGGCGACGCAACTTCCCGGGAACAACGCGCTCTGAAGCTCGTCTTCAAGGTGTTGAAGCCCAACAACAAACCTGTGCGACACTACAGAACCTCAAAGAAGGAGCAGAAGCAGCTGGACCAACGTATGACGGCAAAGGAAGTGAAAAAAAAGCAGGAGGAGTTGAAAAAACAACAGGAGCAACAGCAGCAAGACGACGAAGATCTCGGTACCAACATGCGCACCGTCATGATTTTCGGATTGATTTTGATGAGAGAAGAACAATCTATCAATGCGAAGAAGTTGTTCAAGTAGTAGTGCACGATTGTTTCCTGATGTTTTTGTTGAGTTCTGTGTGTCTGAGCTGGACCAGGAGTTGTAACATCAGAAGTGTCGCACGGTCAACGTAAACTTCTGTACTCGCATAGTAGAAAAAAAATGAATGTATAGATACGAAGAATATTAAATGTGGAAAAACCAATGAATATCTTATCAACTTCGGCTCTGCAGATCAATTCTTGCTAGTGCGGAAGGAGGACGAGGAGCACAGTTGGGTAATGAAAAAGGCTCTAGCTTTTTCTTTGAAGCCGTTTGACTCCTTGTTGCAGAAACGCACTATCCAGTGGCCGGGCAATTACCGTATGCGGATTGCCTTCACACAGAAGCTGCAGCACTTGTGGGAGCGGCACCACGAGGTGTACATCGGGATCTTGTATGGGCAGAATAAGTTTTTCGGGTACCTGTGTGGCGTGTCTCCCTTCCTCGGTGTGTACGAGATCCGGAACGTGTCCGGTGTCTGCCAGCGCCCGGAACAGGCGGCGTTTCTGACGGGTAGCGGCAACAAGCTCGAGCTGGACTTCGACGTTACCATCGGTATGCCGCTCGTCAACAAACTTCACACGACGCAGTGCCAAATCTGTGCTGCGCAAAACACCGTGATAGCGTGCGACGACGTGCAGTGGACTGCCGAGACGCTCGCGCAGGGCGTGCGGTTCCAGATTATCCCCATTGGGCTCGAAATCGGGGACGAAGTCGACTGCCGCATTACCTGGGTGGCAAACGGTTCGACGTCTGCGAAGGGGGAGGAACTGTGACCGGTGGAAAGCAGTTTCTTCTCGAGGAGTGATAGCATCGCTATTTTAAAATTGAAATCCACTTTTAGTTCTCTCTGAAAATCACATCCACTTTAATCTGAGTAAATGGACTCTGCAACCTCGTTGTGTTTGCATTTGCAGTTGATTTTCTCTATCAACTTCCGTGTTTGCTAGGATACTGATACACCTGTATGCACAACGGACAGGTTCAGGCCGCAACGCGTAGATTTGAATATGAACAATGGAAAACCTTGAGTTTCGTTTTTTGCGTTGTACTTAGAATATAATTTTTATGAATAAAACTATGTTGGCAGGAGCTGCAGGGCAGGACTCCGGGCTACAGCTGTTTCACTTGTATCAAAGTAGAAGTACTAAAAAGAAGCTTTGACTTGTTGAAGACTTGTTTGATTGGACATTGTACATAATTGATTCGCTCATTTGCGAGCGGAAAGCCACTGTATAATATATGAAAAATTGACCAGGACTGTAAAAAATTGACCTATTGACTCACCTGTAAATTAGTTTTTCGTGACGAGACTGAGGAAGCTGGCAAGCGAGGGTCGCCACCACTGCATCTCTGTATCGTCGTTTTGGCACTAGAACCTTTACCTGCACAACTTTTTTGTTTCGAGTATATTTATCGTGTAAAATTGAATCACTTCAGCTTCTTGCTGACGGTACGTAGCGCTCGAGGAGTGATGCGACGATGCACGACCGACCTCAGTTTTTTGTACGCAAAAAGACGAAGACTGGTCATCGTCATGCTCTGTTCCTGTTGCCGTCATGGTTTTTGCGAAGAAGCCCCACGCCGTTCTTGGAATAATTTTAAGCAGCTGCAGGAGCATCAAGCTCCTCCACCTCCTGCACCTGCTGCGCGAAAGGTTTCATGTGAGAAATCAAATGCTGGCGACAGGAGCTGTTTCTTCTTTTTCTTCTCAACGCTTTTTGTTTTGCTTTTCTGTTTCTTTTGTTCGAACGATCACGGAAGGAAAAGCAGTAGCTGCTCTTCATTGTTCTCTTAAGTGCCTACAATACACAAGCAAGAACTCGGCGTCGGCGACGCTCGCATTTCATTCATAGGGTGGGACATCGCATATGTGTTTGTCATCTTTTTTGAGTTTCTGAAGTTTGTATTTGCTCTTTGTCTTTTGCGAGGTGCAGTATTCAGAACAGTTCAAATAAGTATAACAGTGGCGTAAGAAGCCTGCGGACGTAAAAAGGTTGGCAACAGGACTATTACCTGTTGTTGGACTTGGAGCTGGTGGACGATCGATCTACTTCACAAGGCCGGCGCGGCAGCAACGAGGACCAAGAACTATGAGAATTATTAAGCGACAAAAGAATAAGTCGAAGCCGAGTCGTGTGGACGAGGCTCGGCATCTTTCTTGCGCAAGAAATATTTTAGCGCGACTCTTTCGGTCAACGTCCTGTCGTCCTGGCCCGACGTCCTGTCGTCCTGTCGTGCTGGCCGATTTTAGCATATCTTCAGAAGCAAATCGCACCAGCGTTGTGCTTATCCTCGCCAAGCAACCGCGAGAACTACAACTGGGGCTGCAGCAGCAAATAACTACTATGCTCCTGCTGATCTTTTTTACGTCTTGGCTTCTGGCAGCTCCACGACTTCTCGGCGGGTCGTCGTCGTTTACTATCCCGAGCGTCGAGGCCGCCGTTGCGTCCGGGACAACCGGGCTGTTCGTGCCACCGGAACTATGGGATTGTCAGGATGATCGAAATTGACATAAGTATATGCATGATAAAAGTAAAACGCAAAAATACCCAATAAATTATCTGTATTGGAAGGAGGGCGCGCAAGAAACGAGGGCAATTGTAACCCTGTTTGGTGGTTGGAGAGTGACCTGCTAAAGTAGCGCGACAAGGGACGCTAATTTTGCCAAAACAGCATCACAAACTGGATTCCGGAGCTCGTAAATCAATTTGTCATTCGCGGCCGCTTGGAAATTGGGCTTCCAACTGGCGTCGATTTCGTGTATCGCAAAGTTTTCACCTTTGTCGAGTTCGATCCTGGCGCTTCCATAGGAACAGCTGCTGACGACCGCCCCTGATAACTACCCTGTATATCAAATGCAAATACGTCTGGGTCATCGTCAACTGGAAAGTTGTGATACTCCTCCTGTTGGGAAGATATTGATCACCACGACGCTTCAGTATCAGTTGACACCTCAGCGCGACAAGTTTTCAAGCTACGAGACAGCATGAAAAACTCTGCATGTAGTTGACAAAACAAGGGGGCTTTGAGTAACCTGCATGACTGCGTTCTAGGCGAGCGGGTGGACATATCTTGCACTGTTCCACAAGGCCGCCCAGACAACATCTTTGCAATGCATACCGACGGTACCTGGGGCACGTGCGGACATCCAAACCCAGACCCGTGTCACCATAGCCTGCCGCTCGCACGCCTCGAGGGAGACACAAGTGCGCAGAAACCCGAGGGCGGAAATACGGTTTGCTACCACTGGAACCTAGACTCCTGGGCCGTGCAATTCCGAGACCGAAAGCCGAGGCACATCACTATGGGAGCGTCCTCAGGATCGAAATTGACAAACACAAGGTTAAAGTAGTCGAAAATAAATAAAATTGTCATGCATAAAATGGATACCAGTCGGAACCCACATCCAGTTTCTAACTGGCGCGTGACAAATTTTGGAAGCATAATTGCAATCCAATTTGTCATGCTGTGTGGGCACCGATGAAAACGGCTCCTGTCCTGTGCTACTTTCGCAGCTGCATCGCAAACCCCGAACAGGCTTACAATCGGCCACACTTGCCGCGGCCACCCCTGCAAGACAGGCGTATCATGCTATGAATGCATTTTATCTTTATGTGCATGAGAAATTACTTCAACTTTGTCAATTTCGATCCTGACGTTCCCATAGTCACTGGGTTTACCGTGTTCAAGCGGGACAACACTGACAACCACGGGTATCCTATCAAATGCAAATATGTAGTCTGGGTCTGGAGAGGTGCGCTTGTTTGTCATGCATCTTCTGTAACAGATAGATTGCCTGCAATGCATGCGCAGCATTACTACAAGCTTTGCGAAGGCTTTTCAGTGCCTACCCCGCATGAGAATTTTGCTATCTGTGTAGCAAGCAAGTATTGATTTGGCAGCATGATATATTTGGCAATCATAACTCATACAATTACAGATTTTTTGTCTGCTCGAGGATGAGCATCAAAAGTTTGAGGAACTCTTCCAGACCCAGAGATGTTTGCAATGCATATGGCCGATCGAGGGCGCCTCCATTTACTTGAACGACAGCCCGACGGCGGAGTCTACGAAGACTATGGAAGCGTCAGAATCCAAGTTGACAAAGTTGAAATAATTTGCAATGCATCAAATCGATACCCGTTTTTTAAGCACACAGCTTCTAGCAGGCGCATGACAAATTTTCCTAGCCTCTGAAGCAAATACGTCGCGCCGTTTAATAGCGCAAGAGGGCCTGCCTCTGTCATGCTAGTGGTCAGCAGCCCAACTAATGACCCTTGCCAGCACTACAATCTACCTCTCTTTCGTCCTCTGCAATAGAAGCATTCTTTGCGCTGCAGCATTTTATGCGTCACAAGTTTTATAATTTTCAACTTTCATCTCAAAGTCTAACAGGTTCCTGTTTTCATGCAAATTTCTTGCATGCAAAAACAAAAAAGATTTTGTTATTTTCAACTTTGTCGATTTCGTTCCTGACGCTTCCATAATGGCGCCGAGTTCAGTATCTGTAAGTGGCACTTTTGTCCCGATCAACAAGTCGGTCTGGAAAATAAAACTGGTCGCCGCCTATGCTATGCAACTTTGCGGCTTCTGGCTGTACGAGTCCTTGCCAGATAGTTCTGAACTCAGTGCGACGCGGTATGGCGCGGGCATCACTTATGTCGATCCGGCGTCGCTGACTGCTTCTGTGACAGGCGATAATCATATAGGCCAAGGGCCAACCGGTTCCAGACGCAACCCAATCGACACCCGGGCCGTTGGAGACACGACACCAAGAGACATCTACGACACTCCAAAATTCTGCTGGTACGGAGGTTCCAGCAGTGACGGCTGGACAGTGGAATTTTCGGACGCGCGCCAGCGGCATGTCGCGGGCTTTGTTATCTCCAACCGCGATGGAACGATTGGCTCCAATTGGGCCGATGTGAAACTGTACTTGGATGGTGCCTATGCTCTACAAAAGCATCGCACTATTAAAAATGATCGCGTGACAAGCAAAATTTCTTAGCATGAGAAATGAAATCTGTAACGCGGATGTACCTCAAGAAAAAGTTTGTAAATGCATGACTGCAAAAATTACTACGATGCTTTAACTTTTTCACAGGATAGCGCCACCGCCCCGAACCACCACGACACGTTCCCTACGGACGTTGGCGTCTGGGGCACCTGGGTTCCGGTGATATGGAATCGTCACGCTAAAAATTGACGAAGTTGAACACAAAATCAAAAAACGCGTCATGCATAAAATGCATACCAGTTGGAACCCAGTTGCTAAGCGGCGCATGACAAATTTTGGAAGCGTTATAATATCCAGCTCCAATTTCAATTTGTCATGCTGCTTGGGCAAAGAGGGCTGCTGCTGTCGTGCTACTTTAGCGGCTCTATCTCTATCCCTGAGCAGGCTTCTTACAATCGGCTCCACTTGATGCCATCCCTGCACGACAGGCACTTTGTTCCTTGGGTTTTATGTCTTGCAGAGTATTGGTTTGATTTCAACTTTGTCGATTTCGATCCTGACCCTTCCATAGGTGAACAAGCGGGCCTACAAGCTCCAAATTCTGGGCCGGCGGACGATCTGTGGGTTCTGGTTGTATGTGGCACAGATTGCCTTCGTGTGAGAGTGCACATCAACCCCCCCTCGTTCCCCGCATCTGTCATGCAAAATGATCCCCATTCCATCTGGTGCGGTGCCTTCTGTGGCGTGATTTGCATGACAAATTCCGAAGCCTGAGCAGTACTACGTACACTGAGCGCGTAAAAAGCTCGAAAGCTTCTGATGCGCAGGCTTCTCTTGTGTTGATGCTTGTATCAGCTGTTCATGCGATACAGAGGAGCGTGAAAGGGGGGGTCGTCCACGCTCATGCTTCGAAGTCGCGTCGGGTCCTCTAGGGACCGGGATAAGGCCGGTGGGCCAGCCGCTAGATATTGCCGGTTTTGTGTCCGGTCTTCAGGCTGGGTCTTACCCCGGTATTTTCCCTGGAAACGACGAAGGGCAATGCAATGCGCCCACGTGGGTGGTGTCCAACCCTGGCTACGGGCAGACGGATCAACAACAGAAAACCGGGCTCACTGCAAAAATAGAGGGCATCGACGGTTTGACCGGCCCGCACCCCTACATACAGCGGTGGTTCCAGGGCGCCTCGCCCAAAGCTTTCACGCGGATCGACATGTTCATGAACAACGAGTGTTGGGCGCAGAACTTTGGCGCCGAGGATTTCACAAGCTGCACCAGCAGCTTTCAAAGGAACGGCGTGCCCCTGCAAGTGGGCGTGACAAACGATTTGTGCACGCCCAGTGGCGGTTGTACCAATGTCAACGTGTGCAACGATTTCAGCTACAGCTGCGCAAACAACTGCGGCTCGGGCGCCATACCGGGCGGCATGTACCAATACAACACGAACTCGGGCACCCACCCGGCACATTACCCCGGAGATGGTACCAAAATTCCAAAATGGTGGAAGCGCATTCGGGCGGACTGCGCCGGGAAAGAGGGCCGCTCTTTCGTGATCTGGCGACCGCCCGCCTCCGGGAAGGCGTCCCGCTTGGGCGGCTTCGTGGTGGATTTCGAACAGCCCACGGAGGTCTCCTCCTGGTCCTCCTCCTCCTGGGCGTCCAACTCTTGGCGGATGAACTTTGGCGCCAGCGTCGCTCTCAGCGGCCTCGTGTTGCACGTGCGGCCCGCCCCTGATCCTGATCCTGATCCTGATACCGTCGACGATACTTCGTATGCCAACGTGGGGACCATGGCGATCGGCCTGGGCACGGCGTCCGATCAGCAACTGGTGCTGCACCCTGGCGACACGCTTGCCTCCCTGTCCGCGGTTACTGCAAGTGGCCGAGCCGCCGGGTACTCCGTCGCAATCCAGTTTAAACCGGCTCTCCATGTTGAGTCCGGTAATTACCTAGTCATTTGGCAGGTGAACAACCACAACGCGCTCTGTGCTGTCACGCCGTACGCGTGGTGGCTACGGCACCGCGCGCACACCCAGATTGCACCCAATCTCCTGACCGCTGCTCAGTCGAGCACGCAATCCGATTACGCAAGCCAGCTCCCGACGCTCCCGCTGACCTATGTGAGCGGGGAAAGTAAGTACGGCCTGGCCGGGCAAGTGCTGTCATAGTTGGCGGACCGGCGCAACCGCTACTACCCAGGTGGAGGCGGGGCTCAACTGGTGGCGGATCTCTTTCGCGGACCTGGCCCCGCACTCCACGCCCGCGGGGCCGCGGCACGTTTCGCTTCTCCACCTGTTTGCGCGGGAGGTGGGGGACGACGATCTGATTTACCGGATGAGGAAAAGCACCGTTTGGGTGGATCCCCCGATTACGGTCGACGAGGACGATGTTGCTAATTATGCCGCTATCCAGGCAGAGCTGTAAGCGCTGCTGGTCGGCGGAACCATGGCGGAGGGTGAGGACTACATTCAGCTCGGGGACGTAGGTCAGGGAACCGAGGGCGGCACCGAGATTCCGCTGGACCTGGGCAAGATGATAAAAAAACAGCCTATCAAACGCGTGTACGTGGTGCAACCCCTCGACAAAAGCCCCCGCAATCCGGGATACGGAAGTACTTATGCATACTCCGACGGCGGTGCCTATGATATCCAAGTTATTTGTGGGGCGCACCTGTACGAGCGTGCGTGGACCGATCCGCCCCACGCAACGGCCTGCGTCGATGACTCCATCTACGACCCGGACGCGACGTTCCAGACCCTGAGCAGCGCGCGGACTTCTCCCGTAGACCAGTGCGTCGAAGTATCCACAACAACAAAATAGCCATTGTTCCCATCCAATTTGTCATGCGAAACATGCATAAAATCCAGTTTTTGTCATGCAAAAGATGGATGGGGATGCTCGTGGTTTTTTTATGTATACGAAGAAGCGGGGATGGACTTTTCTGGCACCGATTTCCTCCTCTGGGTGAACTCCGATCAGGAAACGTTGCCGGGGATTGACTGGAGCTGGCCGGACTGTGCGCAGTGGTGCGCACAGGAGCCGCTTTGTGGCGGAGTCAGTTACGAGGTGAACAGCTGCTCGTACCCTAGCAAGCGCGGGGTGTGCCGCCCGCGGCAGGCGGCGAGCAGTCGTGCGGCGTCGGCTCGCATCGGACAAGTTGCCCTCGTGATGACGGACGCATGCCGTGCGCAACTGTACGTGGCGCCGCCGTCTGAGTTTCGGATTGACAAGCTGCGGCGCCCGGTGCCCCTCGCGCATCCGCTGCTGCGCGTCCCGATCGAGGAGTTAGACGCCTACGGCAGTTCTGCTCTCTCTGCCACTGCTCATGCGCGCCAGCCGCTGGAGCGCGCAGCGGACGATCTAACGTCGGTCTTAAACGGCATGCACCGCTGCTTTCATTCTAACCTGCAGTCGCCGCATGGTACGGTGGACGAGTGGTGGGAATTTAAGTTTAAGGATCGCATGCCTCACCGGGTGCGCGGGGTCGTGCTCTTCAAGCGGGATGACACGCACGGACACGCGGACAAGCTGAATGGCAGGGGCATTTACCTGAACGACAATACGGACGTGCCAGTGCTGTCGACGCCGGCCAGTATATCGAAGTCGGGCACCTGGATCCCGATCGACCGCGACATTTTCTCTCTTCGCATCACGTACAAGTGGTACGTGATTGTTTGTGGCGCGTGGATCTACGAAGATACCACCCTTCGGCAAGCTGCCCGCTTCTTGGTGCCCCGATGGATCACACCTTCCATGAGCTCTCTCTTGAGTGCAACCTCTGCAGGACCGCAAAACATGTTGCTGCGCGAATACGGGGATGTTACCACCCGTGGCACCACCGGGGGGCACACCTGCTTGCATACCGGGATCAACAATCAGAACGAATGGCTGCGCCTCGAGTTCCCTCGCGCTCTCGATATCGCGGGCCTCGTCATCTTTCGCCGGGAAACCGGTGGCAGCAACTCGGGTTACGACGACCACATCTCTGGTGCTGACATCAAACTGAACGGCTCGTCCACAGCCGAGTCGACGGTGCCCTTTCGTGTGCAAAACTCGGGCACCTGGGTTCCAATCGGGAAGCGCGTGACGCAAATCCAATTGGAGCGGCCCACGACCACGAGTGCAAGACCGAACAAGGGTCTGACGATGTGTGGTGTCTGGGTGTATGAGCGTTGTGTCGTGAGCGGAGGCGGGCACACCCCCGATGCGGCAAACCACTTCCAGTTTCACAAGCACGCACTGACGCCCAGGCGCCTGGAGTGCAGCGAAATGGTCGAGTTGGACTTTGCAGAAACGGACTACATTCCCTGGGTGAGCGCCGACGGGTCTGGGTTTCTGCCTGGGGACTGGCCATGGAGCGAGTGCGCGCAATGGTGCGCGCAGGAACCGAAGTGCGGGGGTGTCAGGTGGGAAATCGACGGCTGCACGTACTCCCCGCCGCGGGGGCTGTGCCGGCCCCGGCGAGCCGTGCCCTCCACCAGGGTGAGGGACCTCGTCCCGCGCGAGGCGCAGGTGGCGCTGCTCATGACCGACGCCTGCCGAGCCCGTCTGCTCCCCGCCCGCCCGCTCCGTTTTCAGAGCAAAACCCAACTGACCGCGTTTCTGGAGCAGAACCAGGGCGGCTACCATCTGACCAACACACCAAGCATCGACCGCTCCACCGCGTCTTCCGAACACGACGCCTGCAGGGCTGTCAGCTCCGGTCTGTATGACGCCGCGCCGGGCGACGCGCACTGGTGGCAACGGGGATTCTGCAACTACGATTACAACAATCACAACGAAGCCGTCAACGATGTCCTCCAGCTAGAGGTCCAACCCACGGATGCCGCTGGAAACGATGTCCGCGACCTGTTTGTCGCGGGGGTAGTCCTGCAACCGCGGGCGGCGCACACGCAAGGGGTGTCCCGGATCTACGTGCAGTACCTACCGAAAAGCAATCTGGCTATGGGTGCGTACGTGCCAGGATGCACGCGAAGCGATCCGATGGGCCGGGGCGTGTGCTTGCACGGCTTCCGGGAGGTGGATAAGGGCGCGTTTTTGGAAACCGGGATGGACTGCCGGTCCGATCCGGAGCAGGAGGCCCGTGTCGTCTATTTCGCGACGCCGGTGCTTGCCAGCTCGATTCGGATTATTGGCAAGACCCCGGGACACGCCCCGTGCTCCGGGTCCATTGCCTACCGCGCCGAGCTGATTCTGCGTGCGGGCGACGGGGAACGGCAGGTGGGGCGGCGATTGGAAGCGGGGGATGGCAATGTTCCCATTCAGCCTGGGGACGTGTCCTTCTTTCCCCCGGACTACGACGCCTGTCTGCAGTGGTGCGTGGACCACCCGGCCTGCGTGGCAATGTCCTTTTACGAACACCACAAGTGCCAGCCGTTCAAGGCCCTGGGCAAGTACCAGGGGCTCGAGACCCGTTTCAGCAGTGTCGTTACCTTCGTCTCCCACAAGTACCGTGCGGAGGCCAACCGAATGCGGCTCACCTACCACCTGGGGACGCCGGGGTACCCCATGTGTCCCCCGGAGCTGCTCGGGTTGCCGATCGCGGACGTGGATCATTGCGAAGAGGCGATACACTTTCTCCGCTACCTCCGGCTGGAGCTGCGTTCCGGCGTAGCCCGACTGCGCGACGTGCAGGGGCATCTCGCGTACCAGCAGCCGCTCGCGTCCAACCCGGCCGGCCCGGGGCCGACCGCCTCCTGCCGGGACGATGCCGGCGGTTGGGGAGAAGTTCCCTTCGGGTGCAGCATGTCCACCAGACCAAAAGACGCGGGGCGGCCACACTTCCGGGGTGGCACCCACTCGGGCGGTGCGCCCACCAACGAGATGTTTCTGGATCCACGGTGCCACCGCCTGCCGTTCCAGGTGTTGTGCGTGAAGCGCTTCCACCGTGATTACTCCCTGTACCATGCGCGAACCAAGGTGACCGCGGAGCCCGTCCGCTGTTACCGCGATGCGGAGCGAGAAGAGCGAATCACCAAAGTTGAGTGCAAGGAGGTGGGTTTGGGGATGGCGTTGACGGCGCCTCTCTTTTTGCCGTACCTGCGTGAACCTCATAGCAACGGCATCGGTGGGCGAGAGCATTTCAAATGGGGAACGACCATGGCCGTGGGAGACTCCTCTTCTAATAATTGCCAAACCGGGAGCACGGGCTGGTGCTTTGTTCCAGCTGGATGTTCCCTGTCGTCGACGAGTGGGCACGTGCACTGGAATGGCGCTAAGTTCGACGCGGCTTGTTGTGCACAGGGGTACAACTTGATTTGCGGCACGCGGCAAACGCCACCGCTGCCCCCGCCCCGGCAAATTCATCCGAAGTTTGAGCGCGACCGCTTGTTTTTTACGCGCGTCGAGGATGTGACGGACCCCACCCGGATTGCCGCGCAGCCCTACCGCATCCACGACTACCCTGCCATGAAGTGGTGGCTCCAGGTTGAGAGCCCTCCCCTGGAGCTGCGCGTGGACCTGGACTGGGAGGACCACGGCTACGGAAAACGCGCGGCGGGCATTCTGATCAAGTTGTTCTGCTCCCCCTTCGCAACACTCCAGGCCCAGCAATGGATCAAGCAGGTCCCGCGCAAACGGAAAACGGAGACCCTGCTCTTTTACTGGGACCGGGACGATATCGTCGCGCTCGCGAATCTATGCATTGCAAAACTATCGGTATCGCACTCGTACTTCTAATTGCAATACTGCGTGAAAGTAAAGATCCACTTTCTTACCCCAATCTGCATGAGAAGTTTTACGTTTCCTGTAAGATCATTTTTGCAAGAAAACAACTAATTCTAATACAACATAAAAACGGAGATCATTTTTGTAAGAACAAGAAGCCTATTAATACATAAACGGGTTTCGGGTTCTGGCTTGTTTTCAGGCCTAAGAGGCGACCGCACTGCTCCTTCCTAGTCGTGTGCCAGGTTGCGAAAAGATGTAAGCCCGCTCCTGTCTATCGAGGGACTGAGTAAGAGGCTCCGCCACTCACCACCTAACTCCCGCCCCGCCGTCCTTGGTCTCTACTTCAAAAACTTTAGATTTTTATTTGTAATGCAGTTTCTACTAGTGCGAGCCTTTTGCGATGCATAGAGTCCCTACAACAACGCCCGCGACAGCAAGCAGCGGCGGACGTGCTGGTACGAATTTTACGCGCAGATCGGAACATATGGGCGTGTCCGGATAAAATCGACAAAGATGAAATGCTCTGTGATGCAGCATAAGACGCGACGCAGAGAGTGACGCCGTTGCAGAGGACGCAAGGGAGGCAGATTATGTTGGTCCCGCTAAGGGTCCTCAAGAGTTGGGCTGCTGACCAGCATGACAGACGGAAGCTTTCTTGCACTAAACAGCATGACAGATGATCTGCTCGAGATGTCAGGAAGTTCAAACTCTGTCATGCGCCGACTAGAAACTGTTTATGTCATGCGCCGACTAGAAACTGTGGGTCCGACTGGTATCGTCCATTTGCATTTTATGCATTTACAAATCTTTTACTTTTCAATTTTGTCGACTTCAAGCCTGGCACTCGCATAGGGCAGAGCCCGGGCAGAAGTTGCTGCTGCACCACTTCTGGGTCACGGTTCGTTACACGCCCTCTGACCCGCGGACCCTGGCCACGCTGCGGACTCGGACCGGAAAGAAGCCGGTCCACCTGGAGCTTTGAAAGTGGAAGTGTTTGATAGAAGTTAGTAGAAGTATGCGCAGCTCCTACACTTGCACCTGTTCTGTTACGGTAAAGTCAGACTCAGAGTCAGTCACGGTGTCGGGTCCGGTTGTTAATACTGCCCAGAGAAGTATGATCTTTATGGCTAAAACAACTGCTGATGACAGAGCACGACAGCACTCTTCAAAAACACACTAGAATCACGAAGGGGGTATGCCTCGAATTTCATTTGATGATGAAAGAGCCAGTCGTACTACTAAAGTTGGCAATATATTGGAATGGCTACGAGTTAGTTGTGCTCGTCAATCTCCTCCCTAGTTCAGCAAGTGAGAGTGCTTTGCTGGAGGGTCGTGGTGCCCTGGTACAACAACCCTGCAATTGATTGGAAATAAAAGTATGCCGAGGTGAAGTAGCTGCCGAGAATTTCATATGTAGTGAGGTCACGAACGTTCTAATCTAGCGGCTTTTTTGCCAGGCAGGCCACAGGCAAAACGACCGACAGTTTTCAATCGGCCTGAAGTGTTTTTGGACATAAAAAATTCAATTTATCAATCGGGCGAGGCTTCGAAGTCAAAAAGAAAAAAGCTCGGGCGAATTCTATCGATTGCCGACTTATAAAAAGACGCAAGGGAGCCGGCAAAACCAAAAGTGACGCCCTTCTGAGGCGCCCAGCGCACCTATTTCCGCCGATTTGGGGCGCCCAAAAAGAGACGCGTAAAAATTTGCGGCGGGAAAAAGAAAGCGAAGCCGCATGGCATGGGCCTCATTTTGGCCCACATTTGAAGGCCCGCAAAGCCGGCCACCCAAGTCGGGCATTTGTAATGCGCGAGGCAAGCCAAAAAGATCGACTTTTGTTCTTCAACAAAAGAAATCGAAAAACGCGAATGCCGCCAAAGGCAGAAAGATAATCCGCATGCTATGGGCCCGATGTGGGGCGGTGAAGGGGCCGACCCTGGCGGAGGCCATGGCCCGCGGGAAAGGTTTTCGGGTTTTGAAAACAGAAAGATGGCGACTTATGGCCGTGATATCTACCGTCCCCGACACCATGTGGGGTAACGTTATACGCGATGGCACGCTCGCGGCAAAGAGCGCAGCTCTTTCGCTATCGGGGACGCGCGAAAGCAGTGCAGAAGTAAAGTTAGTGGGATCGGGCAGCCAAAGAATCCGCCTTGATCTCACTACCCCCGCGGACGCGGCTACTAGTTGCAATCACTAACATTACAAGCGCAAGAAACTCGTCGAAAAAAAAAGTGTCACGCTGTTGAGATGACGAAAGAATTTATTAGCGTTTACAAAATATTTTGTGGACGTCTTTGGTTTAATATTGCTCGCAATATCGATATCCCATAGATCGGTGTTGGATTTCGTTTTCGCAGGTCATGCGCATGCCGTGCGTTTCGTTGACTTGCAATAAATTTACGAACTATTCTTACATTACAGAAAGATGGGATGAAGAAGCGCCGTATTTCTTGGTTTTCGCACTTCCGTGATGGGGTCATATTTCTTCCTTGTCTTGCATCGCACGGATGCTTTATTCTGTACTTAATTGTATGCTGTTGATGTTGCATTTGAATTTCATCATCTGAGTCTATTTATATATGGATATGCTTTTTTTTCTAGCACTCGTAGATACCACCGAACTGCGAAAGGCGAGCCTGATGATAAAAGAAAAAACGACGCCTCGTAGGTAGCTGCAATTGCAAGCACTTGAAGGGGCAGTAATTTCGACGCTGTCTTGTTCTGGTTATCTTATCATGTAGCAGCCTCTTCAGGCGAAGATTCTTGAAGGATCCTCGTTGTATCTATGTCTTAATTTTTTGAGTGCATGATTCTGGTTTAATTCGTTCGTGGGTCAATTTATTGATAGTCGATTCAGAGTGTTATTTACAGAATTATTCTGTTTCTGACCGATACGAAATGGATTTGGTAGTACGTAGAGAGTGGCCATGTTTTTGTTTTCTTTTTTTCTACCTTGTGTTGGCGGCACGGCTCTCCAACGAACGTTCACATGATCACTACTTCTTTTGCCCAAGAGAAAGGTTTGCAAAAAATTTCGCACAGCGTTTTCCGTGCGTCGTTCCTTTTGTTTTCCAACCATCGACTGTTACAGTTACTGCTGGTGCTACTGCTACTTCGATGCATCTCAGCTGCTAAATGAAAATGAGGAGGTAGTTCTTGTACTTGCAGGACTGACACGAGCACGACAGAAGATTTGCAAACTTATTTTTACCCCGTCCCACTGGGGCACAAAATGTTGGTAAATAGATTTAGGGTCGTCACTGTGCAAGCACTTCCCACCGTAACGCCGCTCCGTTTCAAACAGTGCTCCGGTGGCCAATCACATCGAAGAGCTGATCCGTGTCGGACAACGGCCCGCGGACGAGGTGGCGGAGCCACAACGATAACCGCTTGTAGGGGAAGGCGTTGTATTCACACCACTAGCTGCTTCAGCTTGCTCGACCCAAATACCAAGAGTAAAGACGAGAAACGACGAGGAGGTCGGAACGAGCACGGGGCCCTCAAGCTGCAGCTCCGGGCTGAGCAAGTCTTATTTCCGGGTCGTCGAGCCATGGCGTCAATGACGGCACGGGCAAAGGAGCTGGTGGGTCTGACGACAGGTGGAACTTCTTCTGTTGGCGATGTGGCTCCTTCCGACGCTTTCGGGCCAGCGAATCTACCATACGGGGTCTTCAGCACCACCAGCGCGGAAGATGTTCGCGGTCGTGCCGTCAGCACCACACCGACCCGAATCGGCGTTGCCATTGGCAGCAAGGTGCTGGACTGCCAGTACTTGGCGCGCACCATTCTGCAAGCGCGCGGAGACGGGGCAGCGCCGCCGGGGCTGGCCACTCTGCTTAGCGAGGATTTACAGGCCTTCATGAGTGAGGGCAAGGCAGCTTGGGATGGGTTCCGAGCATTGCTGCAACAAGAAGTTTTTGGTGACGAAGAATTCCTTGCGAGCCACGCAGACAAGGGTCTGCTTATCGACCGCACTAGTGTCCAAATGCATCTGCCGTGCCGGATCGGTGATTACACTGACTTTTACGCCTCCCGTGACCACGCAACCAACGTAAGACAACGCAGACCTGCTACTTTATGTTGACAGGCCGCGGACAAGAACGCGGTCTTAACATCGATTCATCTTCATTTCTTTCTTGAAGAACTAGTCGTAGTCCACCCCTATCCCTATTCCTATGTTGTTTGAATTGTTTCAGATTCTCAGATTCAGTTGTTCCATAGGTTCGCGATGCATCTAGAAGACTGACACGACACTTGTACGAAGAAGTATCTATTCTTAACTCGCCAAGTTCGCTACAACGATGAGTCAGCAGCGCCTCCAGGACAAAAGCTCAAACTACGTCGCTGATACAGTCGAGAAAATCCATGGAATGCGATTTGAAAAAATGACTGTGATTACTCCTCTGCATTCACCTCAACTCCAGGTAGGGAAAATGTTTCGGGATCCGGAAAATGCGCTGCTGCCGAATTGGCTGCATCTGCCGGTAGGGTACCACGGACGGGCCTCTTCCGTGAAAATATCCGGGACGCCGGTGGTCCGGCCCTCTGGTCAGGTTCTACCGAAAGACGCTCCCCCCCACGGACCTCCGGAATGGGCACCCTCGAAGCTGATTGACTATGAGCTCGAGGTGGGTGCGTTTATCGGCGGAAAGCCTATGGCTCTAGGCGAGACTCTATCTCTTCAGGAAGCAGAGGAACGACTCTTCGGCCTGGTTCTGCTCAACGATTGGTCCGCGCGGGACCTGCAAAAGTGGGAGTATGTGCCTCTTGGACCCTTCCTGGCAAAAAACTTTGGCACCATTATTTCCCCCTGGATCGTTCCCATGGCTGCGCTTGAGCCCTATCGTGTCCCCACGTTATCGCATTGAATCAAACATCAAGATTTTTACAAAGCCGCCCATGTACAAAGTACAACAAGGATGTGCTGCTGATGTATTCATGGGTAGAAGCAGGTGGCCACTTCTTTTTGCGATTGTTTGGAATGAAAAGTAATTGCTACTGTGGCCGTCTCGGCTTTTCCTGCTGCGTGCTCCTACCGGCGCCGGCAGATACATGATATAGCAAAAAAGATCTTCGACTTCCAGAAATTTTAATTCACGCCATGGTAGCATGGTCGTGACGACTTGAAAATTATATTAATGTGATACACTCCACCGCAGACGGACCCTCTTCCCTTGCCCTATCTGCGACAACCAGAAGGCGCGCGGGGAAACTTTGACGTCAGATTGACGGCGGAGATTGCAGTGCCAACCACGGACGGAGGCCTTAGCGAAACAGTGGTTACTCGCACGAACCTCAAGTATATGTATTGGTCCCTCGCGCAGCAACTGACACACCATGCCTCGAATGGCTGCAACATGCAACCTATGCACTTTGAAACTAAAACGCACCTGCGCATACGTACAAATCGGGGATGTAGGGGGGCGGGGGCGGGCATGACAGAAATACAAAACATAAGTAGAGTACACACCACGCAATTCTGAAAACAGGATCAGCATAGAGCTAGCGTGAATTATCTCAATAACAATATGCCAACAAGAATCATAAAGTAGAAGAGGACAGAAGTAAGACAAGAACACACAGCAAAAGCAACAACACGCAAAGCCACAGCTTGTAAGTACGTATACGATGTCACCAAGGTGCTTTCACGTAGTATCATATCAGGCGACCTGATTGGTACAGGGACTATATCGGGTCCGGAAAAATCTGAGCGCGGGTGTCTTCTGGAACTCACCTGGGCGGGCCGTGACGAAGTAGCGCTCCAGAACGGTGATGTGCGAAAATTTCTCAAAGACCGAGACGCAGTCGTTTTGCGTGGCACCACCGCGGACGCTAAGGTGGGATTCGGCTCGTGTTCGTCGCAACTGTTGCCCGCTCGTGCTGGTTCGGGATGAGATGAAGATTGCGCTGGTAGTAAGTACTTCTTTCGCTTTAGCAGCGCGACTTTCACGGGTTCAACGTACCTGTTATATCTCCGCCAGCCTGTCAGTCGTCAGAACACGGTGGACCAGAAAACGGAAATAAAAAACGAGCAGAAAAATTTCAAAGCCGCCAGCTCGTCGTTCTATCTTTTCTGCAGCGATTCATCCAGGAACGCCGTCGGGCTAACGTCTTCAGCACTACAATAAAAAGAAAGCGGAGAACGAACGACATATGCTTCCTGCTTTCCGCTTCAGCTGGAGCTTCACCAGTTCGATGTTGTTGACCAGCATTGCTACGTAGTAGGATAAACTCCGCAAATAGGAAAGTGATCCGCCGAAAAGACACAGAGCCAAGAACAGATGCACGTAAACTAAGTATGGAGTAGCTCGGAGGATTCCAGTAGCTTCTATCTTTTTTTCATCGAATTCGAACCGCAGCAAGCTGACGCGGCCGTTGTGACACGATTGTGCGGGGGTCGTGCATGTCGCTATAACGAGAGCGCTGCTCCTTTCGTTGTAGTACTTCCTGCACGAGGACGAGGACCAGAAAGACAGAAACTGTTCCAATCTTTGGGCGGGTGGATCGCAGTCGCAGTCAAAGAAAGCCTGATATGCTACCGGAAGGGAACGACAAAGCCACTTGTTGACAAATACACGCAAGCTTGGAACGCGCACAGCTTCGTACTACGTTTTCGCGACAGGCAATGACCGATGGACGAGGGCGGGTTTGGGATAAGCTGTGTGTTGCGCTTTGCGTGTATCTTGTGGTGAGCAGAAAAAAAAAGGAAGTAGTCCGTCTCCGCCCCACTTTCAAGACGAAAACAGACAGTGTTGTACGTGCCGCGATTTTTATTCAGTACTTTACCATGTTTGATGCTGTCTTTTCCCTGAAAGAGAGACTCGCATCGACAACTTTAGGACTAGCACAGCTGATACAAAAAGCCGGCTACTGAAACAAAGCTGTGGGAAAAAAAAAGATCCAAATTTGTTCACGTCTTCTGTACTAAACTTCATTTTCACGAGATTCCATCCATCAGCATCAGAGCGTCGACAGCGAGAGTGTAATAGTAGGAGCCAGCAGATGGTGGCGCTAGTGCGTCGCTTTAATCCGCGAGTCAGCGTACTACACGGAAAAAGAACAAGACGCAGAGAGCTCCTTCCTGCCATGATGTAAATATATATGAAGTGTAGTAGTTCCGCCTCGCCTGTAACTTTAAATATTTTATTACCATCGCAGAACAAAATTGTTGAGCAGAAGGTACGCAATATCTATGTGGGGTCCCTGCACTACATACAGGCGACGTCAGATGAACATGAAAAGCAAAAATAAAGAGGGAAAATTCATGTGTGTGAGTCCGGGTTGCGCCAAACTGTCCATCGCCCGCCATTGATTCTTTTCATCTTGCTTCTTTTGAATTTACCAGCACCAGGGCGGCAACAGAGTGAAAGAAGGACGAGCGTATATTGGCGATTTGATACTAGCCATTCCTATTGCAAGTTCTTAACTCGTTGTGTGGTAGCTGTAAAAGGTGGGACAGGAAAAATATGATACGTAGGAACTTTTGCTTTTTACTATATTTGAAACACGATTCTGTTCCGTCGTATGAAGATCCGCTAAAATACAAACTACAATCGCAGTATGAGCATCATCTTCATCAAGATCGTGTGGCATTGTCTTGGCTCGCTAGCTTCTACACAAAGATTTTGTTGATGCTACGTTTGGTGGCAAGGGCAACTTTCTCAGCAGCCTTTTCGATCGATACGTCTCGTGTTTCGACTTGTTTGGCATTGAGACAGAAAGGAGGCGAAAAAGCAGTCGAAGGTATACCGAACGAGATGCCGACCAGAAAGAATAATTCGAAGGTCGACGTGGCTTTGCCTTGTAAAGGAAGCAAAACTCCGTGATGGAGACACAACTCAATAATCAACTTTTCACAAAAATTTTAGGGGTTTGGTGTGCGCGACGATATAAGGCGCCTTGATCTGCGACGCCTGATTATTGTTGAGAGCAGTACTGCTTAGTACTACACGAGAACTGTTGATGTGGTACAATCGCTTGAGCTACTTGTTCCTGCGAATTTACGATGAAGCGATACTCAACAACAACGTCTGCTACACTGCTCCACCGATTTTCCAGCAGTTGTGAGGGCGCGCGCACGCTGTTTCAGCACCAGCTGTAGCTCCTTTGCTGCGCCTTTCTGTGGGAAGAAGTAAAAAAAAGCTGTATGTTGTGACTTCGACGGACATACTACAAATCATCTTCACGACTAAGTGACTCGCGGCAGGATACAGTACCTTACGTGCGAAGTTGTGAAGCAAGCTGCGGAGGCAAGAACAAGAAGAACCAAAAGAACCACTCGGGGCCACAAGAGCTCGCTTCGCGTTGGAGCCGGGAAGAAAAAAAGGAACGCGTCCGCGACGCCGTCTGTCTAATAGCCGCAAGCCTCATCCACCTGAGCCTGTGATAATCAGTCCGGCTCGATCCTTTTGTCGGACCTACCCAGTACCTATCGAAAGAAAAAGCGTTTACGTTTACGGTTTATCGTTTTTTGGATAAAAATATTTTTCAGTGTGCATTCAGGGCATTTTTTAGAACTTGAAGTTGACCCCTTGACTCTGTTAGCTATTGCGGGACTCTGCAGTAGCTCACTGGGTTGGATCTAGCTAGTGCGCAAGGTATGGCGACACGGAATATCCCCCACCGGAGCCACCTGATTTTGTGCCTTTCCCTCAACGTCGGCTCTTGGACCCGGGTCAGGACAGTCCAGCCTCGAGGAGTGGCTGAGGCTCGGACTTGTCGGTCTAAGAGCTGGCTGCATTTGCGTGGCCTCGTCACCAATTCATCGCTGTGCGGCCAAAACTTCCATCTCGGACCTTTTGGAACTTCAAGCCAAATTTTCTCCATGACTGGAGAAAAAGTCGAACTTTTGAGGATGTGGGAAATTGGCAAATTTTGGGTACCAAAATGCATAAAATTTGCCGGCACCCCAAAAACCGTATAACGCCTTACCTAACCACAGCGGTATGGTCGACCCATCCCTCCGAAAACCTGTTGTTTTGTATAAAATCGACCCCAAAAACCGTAAACACCCTCTCTAGCCACCACGCTATGCTCGATTTCCCTGTCCAGAAAGTGTGCTCGCGTGCTTGCCCCAGTTTGATTGGGGGCAAATGGGTCATAGCGTGCTGTCTAGGTAAAGGTAAGGCGTTTACGGTTTTTCTGGGATTTGCAATTTTTGGCCTCGAAATGGTGCCAAAGTGATGCTTTTTTCCTCGGATTTCTCCACTACCCTCAAAAACCGTAAACGTCATCTCTAGACAGCATGCTATGATCCATTTCCCCTCACCCAAACAGGTCCCCCTCCGGGGTCGATGGTTGCGACGCCTTCGGGGGCGGATCTCATCACCAATGCCTGGGGCCCTGGGCCACCAGCCTACGGCCATCATTGCCCGGGAGCCCGGGCAGGGGCTGGGCTGCTAATCCAAAGTTTGAATGGGCGCAATATTATGGCGGCGCTGCATAGTTTTCGCATCCCGCGCGTTAGCTGCTTCCCCACAGTTTTACTACTTCAGAGCCCCGAAAGGGCAAAGGGGATGCCTGCGCGGCTGCAAGAAAAAAAAATCAAAATTTGTGGTGCTGAGTGGCCGCAAAAAAATTTTTTTCCAAAAAACTGAAAACCGTAAACGTAAACACTTTTTCTTGTTGTCCGGTTCGATCCTTTTGTCGGACCTACCCAGTACCCGCTCACCGTTGAGTAGTAACGCCTTCCGGATGCGGATATCGGTCCAGCTTTTACAACGTCATTGACACTTGTATCAAGTTGGAGAAAACTGCGCCACGTCTGTGCTTGCTGTTGATGTTGTGACTAGCGGAATGGGCATATGGATCTGTTGTCGTTACTGCTCGGGACCACTAGCTGAACAAGCATTTCTCTTTGCATGCCGGACGAAGTAAACAGCCAAAAGTCAAACCAAGCACAGAGATACGCGACCTTTCTTGTTTCATACTGTCGTGTGCTGTTAATACCATAATTCCCTACAACATTCATCACTTCACCTTCTTTCACCCGGGGAAGGAAGAGCAAATCCCTTCGGTCTGGTATTGGTATTGGAGCTTTTTGATAGACTTTATCTTTAGAAAGCCGATACTCATTGTTGTGTCCGGTTGAATTTTTCGACTGCGACTTACTTTGAAAAAGCTGCGACTAGCGACTTTTTACCTTCCTTTCAGCTCCAAACTACTGTTTCTTGTTTGCACTATCAAGCAGCATTCGTCTGGTGTCCGTTTGTCGCAGCGCAGAAACCTAAGCAGCCCACTGTTGTCCTTGCGCGGCCTTCCATGGAACTACTCATAGATATTTGATTTTCTCCTGCGCACTCACTTCTGAGTATGGTTGCGTAGATAGAAGTGCTACTGCTAGCGCCTTACCGCAAGCATACTCGTGGTATATTCAGTTTTTAAATTTTGAGTTTGCTGATTTTTTTCTTTTATTGATGCTGCGTGCCTCTGTCAACGTTTATTTTTTCTTTGCTGCCATAAATTTTTCGATTTGTTCTGAATAAATTGCGCATTGACTTCGACCGAACTTCTGTTGGCATTTTGTTTGTGTCAGCAGTGGTGAGCAGGTTGTAATTGTTATGCGCAACATATACTGAGCAAAATTGAATCTGAACATAGCACGGAGATAAAGTAACGCAGAGCCACTATTTGACGCTTCCCTCTCGTCCCTCGTCTGAAGAAATTCTAACTCTCGTAGATCGGTACCGGTACCGCAGCGCGTTGCGCCTGAAGAACCTTCTTCGAGCTCGAATAAAGCGAACAAAAACACAAGCGTTTGCGTTTTTATTTCAAACCACTTTTTCACCAAATTTCTTTTGTTCGATATTTATAGGCCATTCGTATTTTTCGACGCTTTGAATAAGATGTGCAGCAGCCAGCAGGAGCAGTACTGGCAGCGGACCAACCTGTGCCTATTGAACGTGCTTCCTGCAGAGGAAATAAAAAAAGAGTGTGACGGTTGCTGAGTAGTTGTAGATGTCTTGAGCTTCAGCTTGCGATTTCACACACTAATCATCCTGCTCTTTTACATCTGGAGGCGATTCGCGATAGCGGTAACATCGCTTAGCTTTCGCCATCCAGAACCTCTTTGGCTTCACTATTCTTTGTATAGACGTTGAAGTAGGGCAAGTTAGATAACTGTATCTGAAACAGAGAAAGTCAAAATCAATAACGAACGGAGTCGCGAGAACCAGTGGGCTCGAGTTTGCTACCCGATGTTAGCTTTCTTGCGTTCGACGCTGCAAGCAAACTCTATCGCTTTACAGTATTGACTTATGTAGTTTTTTTTCCTAATTATTTTGAGTTTTACTTTTACCCCTTTGCTGTTCACCGAACCTAGCAGAAGTATTCCGCTTGAGTATAATTGGCCGACGTAAAAAGTTTCCTTCTTCAACAAACAGCCCGCCCTTCAGGATTACTTAGAAGGGCCAGCACCTTTTTGACTGATGGGCGGAGACATCAAGTTTTTTCTTTAGATTTTAGACGCTTACCAGCCTTGTACATCAGTTTCTCTTTATTTCTATCAATTTTCTCGCCCTATGAATATTTATCCAAGCAAAACCTAGTCCGCGTAGTTGTTCTTGTCGACACTTTTGACTCTGATTGCATGATGTAATTTAGGAACACGCGGTAGAGACGATTGGGCGGCACAGCAAGAGCCAATTGGAGCCGGCTTTTGTTGTGCGTCTGTATCTCTCCACTCTCGGTTCACTAGAAAAACAATCATAGCAGCAAGAATGCCTGGAGCTAAATATTGAAAAAAGTTGCTCCTCGTTTTTCGGATTCAATTGAAATTATTAAAAAAGTGCCAAAGTCTTGCTCTTGTTATTCTAACCAGTTACGAATTTGATATCTTTTTGACCAGCCACCTCCTTTACATTTTTAGTTTCACTTTTACTCGTTCCACCTTTGGCTCTGGGTGATTGGCACCAGCAAACAAGCCGCTTGCAGTGGCTTGGAGTTGGAAGGGCACTTCAGCTCGAGCGGCTAAGAAGAAGGCACAGGAGAGCAGGACACACACGAAGATAATTACGAAGAAACGGCTGCACCAGCCAGCAGTCTACCAGGTCGTGTCGGGTACGCGAGACGCGTGCAACAACTGGAAAAGACTCGACATAGTAGAATTCGAGTCAGGGCCAGCGGACCAAAGGCCAGTGGACCACTATCCCGAGCGAAAACGTCCGCACTCCATCGTCAAAAACAAAATGAGATCTCGAAAATGCAGTGAGGATGATCACGCACGTAGGACAGCAGCGTTATGTATCGACGTGATCAGCAAGGAGCGCCGCCAAAGAAAAGTGCGATCTGCTTGTTCTGCGTGGAGCACCGTGACAAGTAGTTACCAGCACATATTATTGCTTAGAAAACGTACCTGGTCGTCCTTGTGCGAGGCCGCCTCAGAGACCTGACCTCGCACACATGCGAGATCTGCTGCTGCATGGCGACGTTGGGGGAGAGCGTGCTGTGGTTTGCTTGAAGAGAGCGTAGCAACTCGTGGGTGGGGACTTTTCGCTTTTGCATAGAACACACACAAGCAAATAACAAGCTATCGACATCAAGATTTTTGAGCCGCAGAGATGGAGCACAACGCCCAGCAGCAGCCGGTGACTAGCGTCGACAACCCGAATTCCGATAAAGAAGAGATTCCTGCTGTACAACTACGTACAGGTCAACATGTAGACTCACCTACTTCTACTCGTCTACCGGCTGCAACGAGTCCCGGGAGAGCGGACGGAGCGGCTCGTGCCCCGAAGTCTGGTGCTGGCGCTGAGATTGCGGAGGGCGTAGTAGACGACTCTCAAGGAGGTGAGCCGTCTCTTCTAGCTGCACAGCCACCTTTTGTTTCGCCTGTCAGGTATGTACTGTATCTGTATGTTGGTAGGCGTAGGCTGTAGTCTTCACATAAACTACTTCTACTACACACGTGCCTCATGCTCATACCACAGCCAAGGAGCACCAGATCCAGACGACCAAGAACAGAGGATTTCGTAGTTTTTACACCGCGAGCACAGCACTTCAGAGTCACGAGTTTCACAGAAATACGAAATAACAAGGCGCTGTGCATCGTTCTTGACCACTTTCACTTGCATATTCCAAGATTTATTTCTGTGCCCGCCTAGCACGCTGGAAAATAAGATGTGATATATGGGCGACAGCACATAGAACAAATATGAAAAACTACTCAGCACCAGGAGGCAGGACAAGGGGGAAGCTGGCGATGGGGGTTCTATCGTGTTGAAAAGCTGCGCCCCGCCCCTATCCCAGAACCAACTGCAAAGCGTCCCAACACGATGGGACTAATGCTCTGCGTGCGAAGTATACAAACGGCACCACCTTGTTTCTCCGGTGTAGACTAGCGAAAATGATCAGCGTTGCAAAATGAAAGCCCAAAATGAAGGGCAGCGCTTGTCATGAAGAGCCGCTTTGCGTGCCTCGTCCTCTCATCTGAAGCAAGCAAGAGCCCTCGTCCTTTCATGCGGGAGAAAATAGAGCCGTCGCTTTCGAGCTCTTTGCAACCCACCAAACTAGAACTAGTGCACGTCGAACTGGAATCTCCAGGAACCTCCGGGGGGAAGGCGCACTTTTCAGTTTGACAGGCACCCACGACGGATCGGCTGTGCACCGACGGGGCGCAACATCGAACAACACGACTGACAATCAAGAAGATATGAATATGATGCAGAAAATTACTAGCAGACAATTATTACTTTGATGTCCTGACCTCTACCGCGGAAGGAGAGACTCACGAGTGTGCTTGTGCAATGGCCTAGCATGTTGCTGGTCAGCACCGAGACCGACGAGAACAAACTTTTTCTTTTTCAAAGACATGCATCACACAGTGACGAAAACTACTTTCACAGACTGTACCTGCATCATGTCTACTCGTCGTCTCTGCGCGGCGATGCCATCACTGATTATACAAAAAGCTAGGCCTTTTTTCTGTTTGATACGTTGCGAGGATACGACGGAAAAAAGCAAGAGCCAGAAACTGCACCAGAATGTGACGGACAAGATTAATAGAGGAAAAAAAGGCAAGCAGCAGCACGTCCTTTATGTGCAAAACGTTCCGAAAAAGCATAGCGCGGGAACCGTCATGAACTTGCTCTTTGCGAACGACATTATCCTGAAAGTACGCGTTTTTTTGGTTGTGAGGATGATCTGTAGTCACAGTATTTGTTTTGTTTAAGTAAAGACTGCTTCTGCTAACCTGCTGAATGAAGCAGATCGAGATCATGCGCATGCCGCCCAACTAATAGAAGATTGATTGAGGCGGGTTCTGTAACTGTAAGACGAGGAGCACGACCCCTACCAGGAACTGTGAAAAAGATGACAAAGAATAAGAAGTAAAGAATTTCGCACAGTGAAATGGAAAGTCTAAGTCCGATGCTGCATCAGTAATGTGAGGTTCTTGCAACAAGATTTGCACCACGCCATTTTTAGGCCAGATCACGTTCAAAAAACTCTTTGGGCAGCCGAGGCCGACAGGGCAAATGCATAATCAGCTTCAATCTGACTCAGCGCCAAGACCACACGCCTCCACGGTGGCGACTGTCTTTAGCTTTTATTGAGCTACAGTATCCTCGTGGTCTGCCTCCGAGTCAAGGGCGTTACCTTGTCGGGGCGAAGGCACCTTTTGGTGCGCCGGCCTCGAACTTCCCACCATCTAGCCCTAGCCTCCTCGTTCTTCTGTGAGTGCGGTGGTATTCGTTCTTTTCATTTTTCGTTTTCACTTACGATCAATTTTTTGACAGGACGCTGAGTTTCTGCGCCTAAGTGAGGAGGCGCTGGAAACTGCCCACGAGAGCTACCGAGACCAAATTCCGTCATACAAGGATCCGCAAAAGGTGTTCGACGCTTGGGCCGATAGAATGCGGAAGAAGGTGCTGGACTTGCACAAGGAGAACGTCGCGCAAGCGGTGGCCAAGCAGAAGCGGAGGGCCCTTTGGAGCAGCAAAGTCCAACAGGGACAAAACCCAGCAACAGGAGGTGAAATGGGTGCGTTCGAATCTGACTCCTGGCGGGCTCGGCCGGCCGGTCTGCAAGCAGTTGCGGGTAATGCAGAGACGTCGGAAAAAAGTAGCCGAGGAGCGGCCGAGGAGAAGGAAAGAAACCAAGCCAAGAAAGACGTCTCACATGAACATGAGGTTGAGCACGACGATGTGCCACCCGACGGCCCGGCCTCGCAAAACGACCACCAGAAGGCTGGTGGAACTACGCGCATTGATATTAAGCCGGGCACCGAAGTCGAAGCGTCTCCCATTGTGTTGCCGATGGTACCTCACATTTTTGCTAAACAACCTGTTTCAGTTTGTTCTTATATTTTACTTTTTGGCGATAATTTATGACATCCCTTCATTCAAGCACGAACGAAGCAGAATGGGCAGAAAAGCCATAGTAGGCATTCCAAGAAAAGAAGTAGAAGGCGCTGAGTTGAGTCTAAACGAGTTTTTCTTATTTCGTGACTTCGTGGCGGAAAGCTGCGCGTTTGAGGAGAAGCCTCCTCCTGTCACTGGGTTTTTTAGTGCTCTGCTTAGCTTGTTCTGAGTCGCAACTTTGATGCAGCCGCTCCACAGGCAAGAATTCACGCTCTAGAAGATGCAAGTCAAACCAGATAAGTATTGAAACTGACAATAAACTGAGGGAGTTGCTAAATGTGAAAACTACAAAAAATACCACTTCAGGAGGAGCGCGTTTTGTTATGGAATTGAAAGAAATGCGCGGGATCGCGAGGTGAACGACCCACGGCCGTAGTATGCGCGCATGCACGGGACTGGTGATTTAAGGCAGAAAATACACAAATAGGAATTTGATGCGTTTCGGTTTCATCTCCTGTAGTGACACTGTAAACAGCATGCAGATCTTGGAGGCCATCAACAGACTAACTTAGTATGCATGTACTTCTGAGATAGTCCCAGCAAGCACGTGCGGGCGCGCTTTTCATTCTTGCCTTTCATAGAATTGCGACGCAGAGTACTTGGATCCAGAAGTGCTCGTATCCCCATGTAAAATCACCATCGACGACGTGGTCGTCATACTCATTTCATTTGTTTTCCATCCATGCGAATGCTCATAATAATCGTAAAGAGTCAACCTTGTTGGTTCTTCAGCTTAGATTGCTTCTAGCTCGGAGGCTGACGCATCAGAAGTTATCCAGTTCGAGACGCATGTATGCCATATCGAGGTCGGGCATGGCGATGCTGATTTTACATGGCATACCACGAGAATTTCGTTCCGGGACCTTAAGCTAGGAAGATCGAGAGTCAATCGGAGATAATCACTTCACCTTTCTCGTGTTGGAAAAACAGATGACTGCACTACACCTGCCCTGAATATTCATAAAATTAAAAGTTGTGGGCACTCAGCCAAAGGTTGAAAAGTCCGCGGCTCGCGATAGGCACAGCGTTGTATGTTGGAGACTTTGCTCTGGAATTTTGCAAAGCAATGCAAGTTGATCGGGAAACATTCTGTATTCCTTCTTGCTCATCAAGAACAAAATAAGACACATCATTCCTTGTCGCCGTGCTTCTACTTGTACTTCTAGTGCACACAGAAGCTGTTCGGGCCGCCTTTGAGTGATTTTGTATTGAACAAGAACCCGCAACCGCATCATACATAGCCTGTGACTCTTGGTTTTTCTTGGAAAGTTCTTGGCTCGTGGCAGCTCCGGACAAAGACAGCGGTGGAACATATGAAAGGTGATTTCTGGAGACATTTCCGCACATCTGCCGCGGAGCAACCATTTAGTGCTAGAAGTAGAGAGCTTTGCAGTCGCACGGGACGAGACACAGACTCACCCATGATGATGATGATGGTGAAGGACGTCTGTCTTTGCATAAACATTTTCATTTCACCTTATTGATTCTGGCCGATAGTGAAGGTGTCGTCCGTACAGTAACAACATTACCGGGTGCTGGGGTCAACCACCTCGAGTACGGCGCATGTTTGTGGGTAGCGGCAATGTCAATTTCGCGCGCCTTCATTTCTAGATTTAATAATACTGAATAGCTAATATAAATAAAAATATAGCTGAAGCGGACCACGAACAAAAAAAAATAAAACGCTTCTGAGTCACGCAGTCGGTGCGAAAATAAAACTCGTGCTCCGCAACTCCATAAAGTTCCGGACACCGCACCCTGCCAAGTCGTGTCCTCCTCACTTCACCCCATCATTTTCCGAGTGCTGAGCTTCTTCACTTTGCCATTATCGCGACAAAACACGAAGAATTTGGGGTACTGATTTAAGAAGTAGGTGATAGCAACGCACAGCGCTTCTCTCTTGTAGCCTGTACGCCTGTATTAGTACCTTATAATTGCCGTTGCTATTGAAAGAAAATGGAAGACACGCGTGAAAATCGTACCCTATGAAATCGAACTTACCGTATGCGTTGAATTTGAAATTTCTCTCAGGTATATCTTTGCGTGTTTCCGGACAAGCGCCCTGTGCAAACGGTTTCAAGAGCTCATGAAGGAGAAACGGCTTCGATGGAATTCGATAAAAAAACTTCAGGTATAACTTTTTTACTGGGTTTTGAATTTTTTGATACACATCAAAAATATCTGGAAGCCTCAGCCTTTTCTCTTCGAGGTGTTTGACACACTGACAAAGAACAGAGGTCGATAATTCCGCTGCATGCCAGGCGTTGATTTCATTTTGGTGATCATTATTGATATAGACATATGTCTAGCTGGCTCTAGTCTTGATGTTCGTTACGTCATTGGTGACGGGGGCTCGATCCACCTCCAAGCCCGAGCGAGCTTCTCCTTCACTAAGGAGAGCTTCTCCTCGATATCAGGCCGGACCCCGATATGAGCATGCGAGGCGAGATGCATTTGCATGCATGCGTCAGATATAGAAAATCGCCACTTGTTTCAGCAGTGCGTGGGGAATAAAAATGCAGCGTGCACCAGCGCACGCTTTTGCATGTGCTTTCAGCGATATTACTTAAGTTTCTGAAATATCCACTCAGGCCTCTCTAAATAAATCAAATTCAAAAAGCAAAAAATTTTCTTCCCGCCTGTCAGATTATGGATGCGCGAATGGAAGACTTGGAAGATCTGAGGGATTATTTCACGCAAGCAGACAACGACGAGAACGGACCGGACTACGCTCTATGCAATAGAAAAGCGCAAAGCTGGCTTCCTTTACCATATTTGTAGTTCTTCAACCGATCTTCACATGTTTGCATCCGAAGAGAAAACACCGAAGAAGATTTACGGGCTTCGCCTGTTTGTTTTTTTGCTCGAGTGCCACTAGCAGGCATGCAAGATAGAAAGCGGCCGCCATTCGCATTCCCAATCCTTGATGAGCTGATCTTCCGCACTTCTGCAGGAAAAGGAGACAAAGTAAGAACATACTAGAGGGATGTCCATGTTGACCATCCCCATCCGCCTCAGATAACTTACGCCCGACAGAAGATGTTCTTCAATCTCGTGTAATATGCTTATTCCTTTTCCACCTCGTGGTTCAAGACTTACTTGAATGAGAAAAAACGCATAAAATGAGAAGGTAGGCGATGCTTCGTCGCTCTTCTTTTGCATACAGGAGCAAGAAGTATCACAAATCGAATGTGTTTTGGTTTGATGAGGGACTCGAGGCGATCCAAGAACAGCTTGCTCGCTATAATGCCGCGTGGGAACGGCTGACCGAGGCGACCTTTGTATCGCAGAGAAAAATGGCTCCATCCCATGTTGTTCAGCGATGCAGGAGCTCGGGTTGCGTCTTCACTTTGCGCACGTGCTAGGGAGCTTGAGGTCCTCAGTTTACTACTGACGTTCTACAAGCCGATTATGCTGCGTTTCCATTTGAATTTGTTTCAATTTTTTGTATCCATGTTTAACAACAAGGTGAAAGATGAAGACCCACACTGTCATCGACAGTAGGAGTCGCAGAAATCACCTTCAGTTACAAGGAGAAGGGCTAATGAATCTCTCAGGCTGCTGTATCTGTGAAAGCAACATGATACATGCAAAATGAACGAAGTACATCAATATGACGTCCGATTCAGTATGGGTGTGCGTATTTTTCTTCTAGATAGCCTTGCATCGACAAGAAGAGCGGACAGCTTGTGGATAGTTTCGGCCGCGAGGGTCTTCCATTATTTCACAGTGCGGCCCATCGCGCCGCAGCTACCGTGTTTAATAAGGGAAAGGTATTGTCAGAAAAAATCCCCCTCATCCACGACACGCACACTCAATTTGGCTTTCGTGGTGCCGGAAGAGTTGCATACACGAACATGAAGGGGGCGCATGAGGAGCAATCGGAGGCATAATTCTACAGGCACAGTGCAAAGCGTTCCTTGCCGCCTACTTCAGCCTCGAAGTCAGAGACGTGTGCTATATATGCTCAGCATGTAGAGGACTCGTATACGCTCCCGTAGTACACACCAGTACGAGCTAAACCCACGTCGGCACCACGCCACAAGTTTCACCCTTCAGCAGAGGGAGCGGGGATTTTCGTTTTTCATAGAGGGGCAAAGGTCGACGCGGAGCGGGACGAGGTGGCCGATCTAAGCGTGATGGTCCAGAGTTCAATCCAAGATCCCGATGGTACCACAGTTTGTTGGATGCTTGATGACGGCGCCCACATCTGGCCTGGTTTTTATTTTTGCTTATCATGTACTATTTGCAGCAGAGGAACATCATCAAGTCGTTGCTCGTGCTTGAACTTGAAGGCTACAGCTAGAGATTTTTTGATGGTTTATTTCCTTGCAAATGCAAATGTTTGCTACACACGAACTGCTCTTGTGGTTTTCGAATCCTCGTCATGGAAGTAGACGAGCAAGGGAACAAAAAAGCGCGAATGCAATATGCTATTCCATGTGGTGTTGTTCTTGATGAAGCCGTGCGCGCGCAGCTGCACCTGCAGGTTTACTATCAGCATCGTCTATCTGTTTACTTGTCCTTTTTACCTTCTTTAGGTACAACAACAACGGTGAACCGCCTTCGTCCAGTGTATGGTTGGGAACCTAGTAAAGTGATCTCCCAGACTGCTGCTAGTAGTGGTAGCCCAAAAATAAAATCCTCTGCGACCACACTCGGAGTCGCCGACGCGAATTCGTTTTGTGATGCAAAACCACTTGCAATTGCATAGAGACGAGCTTGAGTGATTTCTGGCGTACTGGTACTTTGTGCATCACAAATAAAAAGCAAAACAAAAACATATGCAAATCTGCGGGGCAGACTGCGGCTTTTCATTTTCTTAGGGCTAGCAACAGCTCCCAAGACCTCTCCGTTCCCCTGCATATTGTTCCTCCGAACAGACGGGACTTTGGCCCCGGGGAAGCGGAAGATCCTCGATCCTCACGGCAGATGCAGAGGACGCGCGGATGAATGACGGCGGCGGCAACCAGGATAGCTGGGAGTACCGAAGTAATCCGAATTTCAACCGCAGCAGTGCCAGTGTGAAAGTAAATTTCAACCGCAGTGTCATGTTCGGAGGCAAGGACGGGGACGGCAACAAGAACGCAGCTACAGCCAAAAAAACAAGTAGCAACTCCAACTGGGGCTTGTCCTCTTCCTACAGCAATCACAAGAAAATGGAAAATAGCAACAAAGGAACTTTTACAGCAGGAGGGTCCGCCTCATCCACTGCCCCCGGGCCGGTCGCTAGTACTTCCAGCAGCCACTACGAGCAGTTTAACAGGTTCGAAAGTCCTGCGGCGCATCCGCATGCACAGCGGGAAGACCGCGAGCAACAGCTTTACAGGAACGAAAGCCCGCGCGGGCAAGATGCATTTCAGTTTCGGCTGCACGGAGAAGCTGCGACGAATAGGACGAATCACGCCAAAGCGGGCACAGAGCGAGGACCGCACGCGAACCCTCGTTCGAAAAGCAAGCGGCCGCATCTGGGGCAGGGGCTATTCGAGAACCAGGGGCACAAGAACTCCCAGCAGTACAACTCGTTCCAGAAGCATGCGGGAGGTGGACACGGAGAGCCACAATACCTGCACAACCATGGTCGCCGTGGCCACGATATCATGTGGAAAAATGTCGCCTCGTCTTCATCATTAAAATGAAGCCGCACAGCACGCTAAATTTTCGTACACCAACCAACCTGGTGCTAACGTCCTGCAAGAGGGCTGTGGCAGGACACTCGTGCGCCGGCTCATTCGTCGGCATTGCTGCATGTGCGTTTCTAGTACTACCAGCAGCGCCGGTAGCGACGTGCCTTCAGATAATTCTGTTGTCATACAACTGAACAGGCGAAGCGTTTCAGTGTGATGCAGGATCACAGTCTGCACCTTTTGTTTACTTCTGATTTGAAGCCAGGCCTCTGATATGATGGTGCCGCGACTCGCTTACAGAAATCATGCTATGGCTATGCATCAAGAGTCGTTTCTCTATATAAGGAAGCGGGTTATTTATTTTTTGTTTTTCCACTTTGATACGCGTGCGAATCTACGATGAAAGGGCTGTAAACTACCGTGACCGGGAGCGTGGGGGCGCGAACGCAAGTCCACCCTCAGGCGATCATCCGAGCGTGATTTGGACACGGGAACAGCACAGCTCTTACCCCTCATCCATCAACAGCCTCGCTTCTGACCCCAAGTCCAAGACCAAGACGCCCCGTGGCGGTACAATGCAGCACGATCAGGCACCGCCACAATGGGCGGCCCCGTCCTCGAGGCCACGAGCGCGAACCGGAAACGAGGATCGCACACTAAGGCAGCACGTGCTTGCCAGCCAGGGTCGAACAAGCAGATATTACAGTGAAAAATGCCCCCACGCCGGAATTTGCAGAAGTTTGTCATGCAAAGTTTCCAGATGAAAGCTTTTTGCCTTGCATAAAATGATTGCGAGCGTTTCTGATGCAGAATCTGGGTGCGCAAGGTGGCTTGATGTGCATAACAGATCCGGCTGCTGTTGGGCTACTTCGCAACACAAATTTGATCTAAGTATTCAGAATCAAAAACTTGTGATGCTGAGATATGCAAGACGGGGAATGTTTCTGTTGGAAAGGTTTGCAATACAAATGCTGCCAAGCTGGGGGTGGGGGCATTTTTCATTGTAATAGCAGACGGGGGTCGTCTCCTGGGCAGCATGAGGATCCAGACCAAGACGAGGACCCGAACTTTAAAGGGCTTCGGCCACCCGAGCTGCACGACGGTGATGCCTCGACCCCGTCTCGAAGACACGGAATTCCGCGAGGACCACCACTCGAAAGTGCTGTATCTGACCAGACTGCCTTGCGAAACCGCAATGGCAGCGCCTTCCGAGATCGAGATGTGCAAGACGTGGGGCGCCCGAAGCAGCACAGAGCAGCCTCATCGTCGTACGGCGTCCACCCGCAGTCGGTTGAGTCGAATCTTCCAAGATCAGGAACGACCCGGACCGAAGATACACGTGAAGACTGGGAGTACCGAACGTATTCTAGTAACCGAGGCGACTTTGTTGAACAAGACAGCTACGCATTATATCCCGGAACTGGTGCAGGACGAGCATCCACCGATGATCATAAACGGAGCCGTGGTGCTGGTCGAAACACGGATGGACCAAGCCGATGGCAGGGGCAATCTGTGGGATCTGGTACGACCACGAGCAGGCCGGACTACGCGGTGCGAGGATTCCTGATCGGTGCCTTATCCTCCGCATACGAACAGACGCAGTCACTACAGAAGGGACCTCCACAGGACAAGAACCAACATTCCGCCTTGAATAAGTTCGCTGGAGGAGGTTATACAACTAGTGCGGAACAAGGTGCTTCCAATTCGTCCGGGTATGTATCGTTGTATTCCTCTCGTGATGCCTTTTTTTTCGATACTGACTCGGTTCTTGTCGATACCAAAATCAAATTTTTGTTTGCTGGTGATAATGATATCCTCATCATGTTCATGTCCGCCTCGGCCTATCCCGATCACATGCATGATTTGACACGACGGCGCATTCCTTCCAGAAATGAAAAACGAGAACTCTGCTCCGGCGACGTTTCATTCCGCGGGAAGAATCGGCAGCATTTGCATCTGGTCAAGTGTAAGTAGAACACCTGAGCACCTGTACAATGAATATTAGTTGTTGATCTACTACATCATCATCATCATCATGCAGCTACAGTAGAGCATACGAACATTGTCCCGGGAGTCCTTGGGGTCGCGGACAGCAGGACTTTGTTTTTACACTTCCAAGGTGACAATTAAACTCAGTCGTGTCGGAGTTGCCGCATGCTCATGCATTAGTACGATACTTGGTCTAGTACCGTACTGTAGCTTGTGGGAAGGCCGATACAATGCTGGGTCGGCGGTCGGCCTAGTAGTCTTAGATGGGCACCACTTGCCGCGCTTCTCTCCCGCGTTGTGCACTAAACTACGCAGGAGCTCCAGCTTCTCTTGTTCCTTCGGTTCTGCATCCAAAATGAACCTAAACTACGTCTACGCACCAGACCTGTTTCATCTTCTACCTAAGAAACCACTTCTCATCATAGGTTCTTGAGTGGGGTTGCTACGGAGAGTGGGCCATCGCAACTGTACGAAGCTACCCAGTCGTCGTCAAAACGGAAACATCCACAGCACGGTGGGAAGGAGAATTATACGAAATTTCGTCCAGAGCCAGGACGTGGCGGCCATCCACACTCTAAATCGGGCCCGCGCGGCGACCATTATGACGACGATGGCCAGAAGGTACTTATGTCGTTGTATACATATATTATCGGATGTAGGTGGCACTAACTTTTCACTTTCAAGCCCCCGCGCCCCCATCGAATTCGTGCCATAATATCTGAGCGCGCGGCGCTCGCTCTGCTCGCGAGAAAATGAGCGAGGGCACAAAAATTGACAAACTCCGGGCACGATTTTCGCACCTCTGCGGATTCAGTGAGGGGCCTGGGGAGTCGTGGCGTCGCCTGTTTCTATAAGAGCGGGGTAACAAAATAAAAAAAGAGGTCCTCGGGGGACCTCTTGTCCCCCCGGCCGGGCGGACAAGAGGTCCCCCCGTTTTGCTGCCGGACCGTCCGGCACGCAGAGTTCCCCCCCCCCGTGTCGCCGCGTCGGATATTTCGGGTGAAACGGGGGGGACATCTTGCCCCCCCCGTTTCGCAGAGAAATCGGCTATGTGTTTGCTATACAGGACAAGAGGTCCCCACCGTTTGACCCGAAATAGCCGGCGCGGCGACGTGCGGGGGGGAACTCTGCGAGCCAGCCACCCTGGCAACAGAAGGGGGGACCTCTTGTCCACCCGGCCGGGGGGACAAGAGGTCCCCCGAGGACCTCTTTTTTTATTTTGTTACCCCGCTCTAATATTCGGCGGCGTCCGTGGCCGACGCCGGCCGATGCGACTGCGAGCGCTCTCGTAATTTTGCCACGTCGTGCCGTGCAGCCGCGCCGGACGGGTTTCGAGTGAGTTTCCAAAGTTACGCGCTGCATGCGCTGGGCATGGCTTACAACACGCTGAAGGGGTAGTTAGCAGCTTCTGAAGCTGTAGCCTTACCCTTATGCTACTGTCCTAGCTAGTATTGCCCATGCGACTCGTCAAGCAGAAGAAGTACTTAGTTGTAGCGGAGGTAAATAGTGGCGCAGGTGCACGACGAGTAACACTAACAAGCGTCCTCCACTCGAGAAGCCACGCGCGGTGCTTTCTTCTTCTTGCTGTTTCATCGATCACTGATTTGTATGCGAAGAAGAGCAAATAAAATTGAAATTGAAATTGTCGTACAAGTTGAAGATTTTTTATTTTTGTTGATCTTCGTCCCAGGCACACTGGCAGCCACGACGAGAATTCGCGAACGCGCAGGGACGGGACTGACGAGCAGGGCTGGTCGCCACCAGCGTCAGGACATGAGGGGCGAAGTCGCCGAACGGCACTATTTCGAAAAAATGATTGACAAGAGGACCACATAATAATGTAGCAAGGACCGCACCCGCAGCGCACTGGAACCTAGGAGTTCTTCGTGAATGTAAGTGTGATCATGCTGAGGCTCTTGTCCCGCAGTCACAGATGAAAGCGCTTACTCTTCATGGGGCAATCAATTCCATTTTCGACTTCCGAGTGGCTGCAAATACTTAATACTTCTATGACGTACTAGCTTGATAATTTATAAACCCGCTTAAACTGTTGAATAAACCTGAAGCAAAACTAAGCTCGCGATCGCCAGTGCTTTTTTGCATGTACACGAAGAACTCTTTATTTCTACGGTCTCTACTCACCTCTGTCAATCTAAGTCCAAACTTTTTCTGGCGGAAAATCGCGTTTCCAACAATAGTGGGGCGTCGGCTTGCTACTTTCACCGTGCGCAGGGAATAGAGGATGATGAATACAATCTGCAGCAGGCCTAATTCGCGTACATAGATCGGAATTTTAACGTGATCTACAACATATGTAGCAGTAGTAACTGCAGCGGTGATTCAACATCTTGGTGTCGTTCCTATGCAAGCCCACCACCACCAGGAGCTGCGTTCCTCTTGCGATTCTTAAGTACTAACAAACCGCCAGAAAAAGCAAAAGGCAACGTACTCGATCAGACATAGACATTTGTTTCCATTGTTGCTTGCGAGCTTCAAGAGATCTGCCTTGTTCACGCCTTGTGCCTATCAATCAGATGAGTAAGGCTTCCACCTGTATAATATGAATATCAGCTGTACGTCAAGCAGCCTCCGTGTCCTGTGGTTGTGCTCACCCGCACCGCGATCCGTTTTCCTCTCCGCAAGAACCCTCATGGTCGATCACACATCAAACAGTACGGTGCGGCTGAACGATTTTTTTTGAAACGATTTGAAAACTTTTCTTAGAAGCCTCCGGGCCATCCATCGTTCGGGAGGATCATTTGCCATGCAAAAAGAAAAAGGTGATGTCGAAAGTAGATGTTGAACAACTCATGTAACGAATCTAAACTAGCTACGCTAGCTTTGTAAGGAAAAAGCTGCAGCGTCTTGCGGATTTTTCATTGCGGATATGTGACAAATCCGCGATGGAACCGCTACGCGAAGCTCCTTTTTAGTTCCTTACAAATGCTATTGCTAGCTAGTAGTTTAAGTAGTTATCCTTTATTAGGCTAATAAATAAAAGAAGCATGCGAAATGTAGTTACCAAAATTTGTCATTGTCATGCAGAAGGGGGGTCCGGAGGCTTGGCTGAGGAACATTTTCAAATCACTTGCAAAAAATCGTTTTACCGGGCCATAAGCAATTCGCTTGGGATTGAGAGATGTATAAGCATCAGCAAGAGAAAACGAAAAGACTTTCGGTGGTCTCACGGGCAACGTAGTTTTGATTGTTTTCTCCGAGACGGAATATCTCTGACGTCACGAGAACCCACGATATCGATACTACGAAAGGAAAGTCCCCGAGAAGCAGGAGCAAGTGTAGGCTTGATATTTGTGATATTTATTCAGCGCTCGGCTCGCCCTCCCTCGCCGTGCCGCATGGGCTTGCACTCACTGATTGTCATTTGCAGACGACTTCTGACTTGTGTGCGCAAAGTGTGGAAGAGCAAAAAGAGTTGGAACAGAAGAAGATGTTTGTCTCTGCTTTTTACGCGTCCAGCAGCTTGCTACAGATTACACCCATTGCCGCTGGGAAATGTAAAACAAAACTACCGCCCGCACTTAGAAGAAGCGATCGAAAGAAAAAGTTGCGCCTTGCAGCTTGGCGGCCTCAAGATGTTCATGCGCACAGCACTACGGATGATTTGGATGTCACAGATTTACTACGCACCCGAATGAAGTAGATTGGCAAAGTTGAGCCTTTTGAACAGCAACACGAGAGAGAAGAAGATGCGCGTGTGTGTGTGTGTGAGAGCTTCACATTACACATTAGGCTACAACTGTATAGCTGACGCTCCTTCGACTTCATATTTATCTTCCGGATAGTAGTTTGCAAGTTCGCCTCGTGGATGTGGCGCGCTTCCGCAGAGTCGAGCGATGACTGACGTACGGCATTGCCATTGGCCATCATACCTGGAGGACTACGAACGAACAAGCACTATGGTTGTGAGGCAGATACCTACGTTACAATTGCTGAAGCAAGTCAATTCCGTACTATGCAGCGATACAAGTACTAGTTTATTCTTTACGAAATACAGATAAAAGCAGGGACGCGGGACGGTAGAAGAAGATGTCGAAGCCCGATAGTGTCAAAGTTTGCTCATTGAGCAGGTGGATCATGATGATAGATAGTACCAATTAAAAAGAAGGTGAAAACCGCTGAAGAAAAAAAGGCAAGGATATATCAGTAGTAAAAAGCTGCTGAAGAGAAGATCTATTTTTGATATAAATGCTCGTGCCTGTGCCGTAACAGCTCATGTGACTTGTATTGCAGCTGCTCGATGTGTATTTTTTCGTCTCTAGATCGAAACGATGATCAAAGGCGGTTAAGTCGTTCCGGTTCTCCTCGTTACTTATCTGACTGCGAGCAGTTGCAGAAGATATCGGAGCTAGCTTTCTTGATGCATGTAAAAACTACCTCCTGAGGTGAGTGGAGAACTCCTGCGTCCTCTCAAGCAGCCTCGTAAACGAAACCCTTTACCAACAACCCGAGTAACAGTTTTCAAACTTCTTTCGGATTTCGCGCCGTCGCTCCGATTAGGCGCAGCGCGTAGTAGTTACCAAAACAAAAACTTTAGAGAGCTAGATAAAGATATGTAAAGATGATAGTAGATGTATCCATATTTATCCGTAGTACAGACCTTGGGTAATATTGATGGCAATCGGGATCATCTCACAACGCATCAACTTTAGGCGATTTTACAAAGCAAGCAACTACCTAGTAAGTAGCACCTTGAGGTCGAGAGACCCTGATACATTTTTTGAAAATTAGTTTTCTGCGTATCTGTGTAAGCGGTAAGATGTTGAGCAGTCATAATTTACAACACCACCGAGACCAGAAAGTCATCTAGTCTTCGAGATCCATTAGATCTGCTCTATGTAGTTGCTGGTCTCACTGGACTAGAAGGTCTTCATCTGGTCACTTTCTTTAGGACAGCGGCGCATTCTTGTGATGCTTTGTTCGAGATTGATTAAGATTCAGCAGTACACGGTCCGTCGATGAATCCAAAATCTAAGAGAAGTTTTCACAGAAAATAAACTCGATGGCTTTGCCTTTGCCTGCAGGGGTGCAGTGGGAGAACCAACAGGGTTGAGTGTCGCTTTCCTTTTCCTAGGAACAGGGTTGAGCGTCTCGACCTAAAATATTCTTCTTCACGACTGGGCAACGCAACGGAACATAAACAAGCGGAGAAGAATAAGTATCCTTGTTCTCCAGTCAACATTGTCATCCTGTCCTACTCTTTCTGGTTTTACAGCAAAGAAGAACATCAAAACCCGGGCAGAGAGCAAAGAGGAACATCAAAACCCGCGCAGACGGGCGTAGCCGTCCACCTAGGGACCAGACTCGTGCAGGGAATCGAACATTTTTTGCCAGCTATTATTGTCCATTATCCGGGTCTTCACCGTGGTATCGACCGACCCTCGTCGCGCAAGTTGTGCAGGTATCATGCAAAAAAGACTTTAACTTTAATTTTACACAATGTGTTATTTGTTGCCGTCTTTGTAAAGGTCAGACTGTTTTAGCTTGTGCGCACATGAGCCATTCTCGTGCTACCAAGATATCTGCGTATGCCATGCGTTCCCGAAGATATTGGCCACAGCTGCTACACGTGGGAAGATAGCATTTTATGCTGGTGGTCCATCACCACCGCCATCATTCCACGCGCCAGCTCCTTTCTCTGCATCCGCAGACCGCAGTTACAAACATTATGTTTAAATTTATGTAGAAATGCGACACGCAACATTGAGATTGATCGTAAAACCGGTCGCGGTTCGTCGCATTGTTCGCATTGCTCGCAAATTATTAGCGCCCTCCAGCATTCAGGATCAGGCGCGTGGCAATAAAATGTCGACCACATCACCAACACCATTGCGATTCGCGAGCCTCCCGATAGAGAACTGGCCCGCAGATGCCGAGGCTTTTATGTTGGCCAGCCTCCGACTGCAGTGATGCTGGCCTCGCTTTCTTGAATTGGCAGCGGCGCTGACCACCGGCCAGGACTAGGACGGTTAGGATTAGGGGTATCTCGCTGAACTGTGGCCCTATTATAGTGGGCACTCGCGGACGAAGTCGCGAGGGGTAGTCGCAGAACCTGCGACAGATCCGCGCACTCGCATCTCGCACGACCTCGGGCGGTCCGTGTCGCATTGCTCGCGCTATTGCTTGCAAATCATTGCCGGAGAGTCCTTACACACTTAAATGCTTGCGCAGCTGGGCAACTACAGGAGGTGGATTGAAGAATCGACGCGAGCAAAAAATTATCGCCGCCTTGAATGAATGTGTGTCTGGATGGATTAGATTCAGGTGAGAACATTTAGACTGTCCGGCTTTCTTCTCGAAGTACATTTCGACCTCCTTCGAATGAAGGCAGCCGCCCGATGGACATCATTAGTTAGGTGAGTATTAGTATTATAATTTATACGGTGGGCATGTTCATGTTGGCCAATCGTGCTCATCCTAGTAATGCCAATGCGATGCCCAGCCAGAAGTCTATCATGGAGAATGAAGCTGAGACTGATCCTGATCGGCGCTGTAGTGCAACTCGGCCATAATTTCTACATCTTAGCAAAAACTAAAACCGTTCTACTTATTGTGTGGACTCGTGCTCGACCTCCACTAAGACGCACACCTACGTAGCTCGTTTTGTCCAGCTGCATACCGAGTAAAGCAGAATATAGAAATTAATATTTTATTTCCAGAAAGCAATACATCATAGGAACGAATTTCTCGCAGCTATCTGCCGGAGCAGGAGCACAGACACAAGCTCGATATAAGAAAGGGCCACGGGGGCGAGCCGGCCCTTCTTTCCAGAACCAAAACCAATCCGAACGGCTACGATACAGTTTTCTTCTTGATTTTCTTCTCGATCTGCACCATCGAGAACGGCAAAATAACTCATACCGGAGCGAGCGGCTAGTGTCGGTTTCGGTCGTTAACAAGACGCTTATCCGAGATTATCACTAGTAGTAGTATCCTCTGGAAGTTGACTCCAACTGCAACTTTCAGTTTCAGAGGAGACCGCCCACTGCTGCTGACGGCTCGAGTTTGATCATCGGAAGCTGCCAACATGTCATCGGACAACCGAGGTCGGCCGGACCCAGCTGCGATAGGAACAGCCAGCAGTATCCACGACGATTACATTTAGGTGGAGGCAAGTCGAGCTTCTTGGTATCCTGCGTGCGCGACGCTGGTTTGTCATTGTTTTGCATGCAGCGGAAAAGTCTGGCGCAGCGGTAGCACGCAAATGCAAAGCCAGGAATCGACCTCGTGTCGTCGTGTCCCGCGACGGATTGTTATGTACGTACACTAATGCTACATTAGTATCTCTTCGTCCTATCAATATAGTAAATAAAAGTACTTGATATTTGTCTCAACCCGAGCCGTCCTCCACGTCCACATATTATGATGTGCATACTTTGCATGAGCATGTTGCAGCTTGTTCTGCAGGTGCAGGCATACATTTTTAATTTTTTTGGAGCAGTTCGTGTTCGATTTCCATTTCTAAAAGATAGGACGTGCCGAAATGTGTTGCTTTTGTTCGCTGAAAACGCTGGCGCTGCGAAGACAGAGACGCTGTTGCTTTGTAGACTTGTCTCCACCTCGTGTTTGCTGAGTATAACGACGGCTGCCGCAGTACTTCTTTGCTTTCGTCTCTTGCTCTAGCATCTACGACTCGATAGCCATAACACGACGAAGACGAGGATCTAGTCAATGGGCGAAGTGGAAATGCTATTGCGTTCATTTGCAGTGTCGTTTTTGTCTTGCAACAAACACTAATCTACTTTCATCACAAAGCGAGGAATGATGCTGGACGCATCATATTCATATTTTTCCGTCGTCTTCATCATCAACGGCGTTCCTGCTATACGCGTATCAATGTCCGGTACGAGTGTCGTGCTCGTGATCGGTTGTAATGAAAATTGAAATTCACGAATAACAATAAACTTGAAGGTTGCCAGTGCTGCGTCGCGAATCCTGCGGGATCGTGATGCTACTTCGGGTCAAAATCAAGCTATGCAGCTGGCGGCACGAATTCAAGATCTGCCGGACGCGGACCAGGGTCAGGTCATTGCGGAGCTGCTCTCAGTGCTTCAAGAGCGCGGCAGACAAGAGAGCCAGTCGGGTGGACCTGGCGGTATGCACTGCAAAAGCATGATCATGGTCCGGTCTTGCAACATAGTAACAGAGATCGATAATGATAATCTTTGTCTTAATCTTTGTACGTCCGTCAGCGTCATGACGACTTCAACTTTCAAAAGGGCGATAATCTATTTTTCAGACTTACAAGCGGTGCCTAGTTGTGTGACATTTTTGCAATGCATAGGCGGTGCCCTCCAGCACCAGCAGCGAGCTCAAGCTCCAGCACCGGGGTCGTACCGGGAAGAAGTCCTCAACACCTCGGATCAGCGCCAACGGCACCGCCGGCGGGGTGACAGTTCCCCGGTTGAGGACCCCTTTTCCTACCGTGCAGATTTTCCGGCACGTAGTCCCGGCTGCACAAACATCGGCGCGGGTTTATGCTGTGCAAGCGAAGTACTAGCGTATTTTTTTACTCGTCTTACTACAGCGACTTTCAGTAGGTGCTGGATCGTTGTGGTGCATCAGCGTGGTGACAAAAAGGTAGAATACTTTTCCACCAAACTAATAGTTTTAGTGCTGCAACAGCAACATTATGCTAGGCCTCTACTTTTCATCTTTTTAGCAACTGCGTCTGTGACTACATGCACCAAGAGGCATGTAACTCGAGGACGGTGGTATTAGAAATTTCGTGGCACCATGATGCCGCTTTTTTTCGTCCTGCCGCGTGTCGTCGCAGTCGAAGGGGTGAAGTAGATGCACGTGTTTGCAGGGAATGCGTAGATGCAAGATCCTGGCCGCTGGGCTACTTCGGCGCCCCGAAATTACGAATCAGGCCCAATGTTTTGGCCTTCGCTTTGCCTCCTTTGTATAGCAAATTCGCGCGGCCCTTTCTGAGCGTGTCGCATAGCTGCCGAGCCTATCCCGAGAGCGGCCCTGTTTGGGAAGCGCGATTTTTTTTCCTGTTGCGGGGGCTTGTCGGTACTTTACGGCCACGCAAAACTTGGCACGGGCCAGCCGTTGGGGAACGCGCCGCCCGCCGCGGCCAGCGTGTCCTTTTGCCCCCCCTGTCTGGTGTGCTTCTGTAGTTTTTTCGTGGTGGTCGTGGACATTGGGAAGGGGGTGGCGCAGAGGTGTTTCGACTGCAGGCATTCTACCTGCCCAGCATCCGGGAGCCCGCAGAGAGGCGATGGCCTTTGGCGCCATACGGCGCCAAGTGTTTTGCTTCTTGGGGTCGCGGGGATCGGCAGGCCAATCCTGCAGAAAGCATGTCAAACAAGGGTGGGAGTTGTCTCCCCGCGGCACAATTTTCGTACTCAGGGGCGTTTTCCAGGGGAATGCGGCCGGGTATGGGGCCATCTTCCGGAGTTCATGGCCGCCGCCTCCATTTTCAAAAGTTCCGATCAAATTCCGATCAAGGTCCTCTCAGATGCCACTTTTTTTGCGCCGCCAAATCCATAGATTCTCGTCGGGGGAGAGGCCAGGAGAAGCGACAAAAAAAGTGTCCTCTCGACAGGATCTTGATCGGAACTTTATCGGATCTTGATCGGAACTTTTTAGGAACTTTTTTCTCGCCTCTGACGCTTTTGCCATACCGCCGTGATTGGAGACTTTGAACATTGGTCGGATCCTTGGTCGGATCCTTTGTTCGGGGTTGCAGAAGTGGCCTTTCTACCCTTGAAACCCGGGCTGTTTCTTTGATTTAACAAATTCAGCGGATTCGCTTTTGAATCAAAAAAAAAACTCGCTTTGGGGCTAGTGCGCCGTCTTTTGTTGGACCATTTCCGACCTGGTCTTGCCCTCGGGCTCGGGTATATCTGGCCCATGGAAGCGGGATGGACCCTGCGGACGGGGGCATGCAATTCCGTCCATTGCCGGGCCCCAGATTGTTCCGCGTCGCGCCAGGGCTTTTACAACCGCGCGACCACTCGCTCGCCCTTGTTGGGCGTGGGCATAAGCCTGCTGCTTTGTATAAAATCGACCCTAAAAACCGTAAACACCCTCTCTAGCCACCACGCTATACTCGATTTCCCTGTCCAGAAAGTGTGCTCGCGTGCTTGCCCCAGTTTGATTGGGGGCAAATGGATCATAGCGTGCTGTCTAGGTAAGGCGTTTACGGTTTTTCTGGGATTTGCAATTTTTGGCCTCGAAATGGTGCCAAAGTGATGTCTTTTTCCTCGGATTTCTCCACTACCCTCAAAAACCGTAAACGCCGTCTCTAGACAGCATGCTATGATCCATTTTCCCTCACCCAAACAGGTCCCCCTCCGGGGTCGATGGTTGCGACGCCCTTCGGGGGCGGATCTCATCACCAATGCCTGGGGCCCTGGGCCACCGGCCTACGGCCATCATTGCCCGGGAGCCCGGGCAGGGCTTGAGCAGCTCTTCCAAAGTTTGGAAGGAGGGGCGCAATATTATGGCGGCGCTGCATAGTTTTCGCATCCCGCGCGTTAGCTGCTTCCTAACAGTTTTACTACTTCAGAGCCCCGAAAGGGCAAAGGGGATGCCTGCGCGGCTGCAAGATCGACGCAGTCGAAGGGGTGAAGTAGATGCACGTGTTTGCAGGGAATGCGTGCCCTTTTGTGGACATATCTACCCCGGTAGATCATCATTTTCGAGGAGTGACTGGAGGGAGTATTCCCCGTTGATTGTTTGTATATGGGCTGGCAGATCCCTAGAAGCTAATGCCTGTGGTTGTTGGTCTTCCGCCCCTCTGAGTGGGGTCGTTGGAAGGAGCCAACGCAGACGCTGTCTGCCGTTTGTGTTTTGGGATTTCGGTCCGATTGTGAAGGATTCACTTCTTTTCCTAGCACAGGGCCAGTGAGGGCCTCCCCCAGCGGGGGGAAGTTTGCGGTAGTGTCGGGCCATTGAGGGCAATGCCAGTGAGGGCCTCTCCCAGCGGGGGGAAGTTTGCGTTGGTATATAGCCAGTGAGGGCAATGCCAGTGAGGGCCTCCCCCAGCGGGGGGAGGTTTGCGGTGTTCTATAGCCAGTGAGGGCAATGCCAGTGAGGGCCTCCCCCAGCGGGGGGAAGTTTGCGTTAGTATATAGCCAGTGAGGGCAATGCCAGTGAGTGCCTCCCCCGGCGGGGGGGAGTTCGCTGTATTTTTTAGCCAGTGAGGGCAATGCCAGTGAGGGCCTCCCCCAGTTGGGGGAAGTTTGCTGTATTTTTTTAGCCAGTGAGGGCTATGTCAGTGAGGGCGTCCCCGCGCGCCCTAGCGGGGGGAAGTTTGCGATAGTGAAGGGCCACTGAGGGCATTGTCGCTGAGGACCTCCCCCAGCGGGGGGAAGTTTCCGGTAGTAGATAGCCGGTGAGGGCATTGCTAGCTAGTTGGGGCCTCCCCCAACGGATGCGGGGGGGTTTTGGCGGTAGAGGAGGGCCAGCGGGGGCAATGCATGTGAGTGCCTTCTCCAGCGGGTAAAATTTTGCAGCACATGTTCCTCAGAGCAGCTACAGCACTAGCGGCAGCCTTTTTTCTCCCAAAAGGGATGTTGACTTCTTTCAGGGTTGCTCGTGTTTTGGCAACTTAGCCGGACGAGCACGAGGGGCGTTTTCCGTGCAGGGACTTCTAGGTGGAGAGTTGTTTGTGGCGTTGGGGCGCTGGTTATTTACAACCAGGAGCTGATCTGCTCTGGTGCTTTCTATTCTCAGAAGTTAAGTAGCTGCTGCTTCTTTCCGAGCTCTCCCTGGAGGTCGTGGCCCTAGAGGATCTAGGCGGATTTTCTCGCTGTTCGCGCCTCCATAGATTCACTTTCCACTTTGGGTTTGTAGGATAGTTAGAAAGGGCGTTTGCCTTGTGGCTGGAGGGTCTGGCGGATCACTGCCTGTTGCTTTAGTACGGCGCTTGATGTGTCTCAGGCTTTCCGGGAAGGGTCCCAACAGGGTACGGATCGTCAGCCTGAGGCTCGTTACCAGTTGCCACGTTGTGGGAGGTCGCGCTACATTTCCACTGGAAACGGCCTCCCTCGTCGCAGTCGAAGGGGTGAAGTAGATGCACGTGTTTGCAGGGAATGCGTACCCTTTTGTGATGATCCTCATCATGATCAACTTCATCATGATGATCAGCACATCATGGGAAAGCTCGTGCATTTTACCTAGTAGAACAACGCCTATATATAATACGATACGTTAACGTTTGCAAAAGTGCATAGGCTTCTGGTAAAAGCAACGAGGCATGGATGCCGGACGAACACCGGGCTCAAGGAGGAAAGCACCAGTATCAATCGCAGTCTCGCAGTATGTCAGCGTCGGACCGGACCATTTCATCAAACTCGAAGGCGAGTTTTTCTATCGTCGTCCAACAGAAAGAGATGAACTAAATCTCTGTACTTAAGTGTAAATTCAATGCACAACGTCTATCTGTACTATCAGAAGTTCAACATGGAGGTCGTGCATGGAAACACAAACACGAAAAAGCAGCACCATTTGGCATTCGCATGATTCCAGTCGGCGCACCAGTATAATGTCTGTGACGCCTCTCTCCAGTTCTGCTTTCTTCGCCTGACGCTGCTCTCCTGTAACGTATCGTGCCTTATTGCGATGGATCGAAAAAGAACTGTTTTTGCCACGCCTTTGGGCCTGGCGCCGGATGCGGATCATCATGTTGTTACCATTCAGTCGCTGTGTCCGCGTCGTGCTTCGTGTTGGAATAAAAATATCTTGACGCAACAGACGTGCTGCTTTTCTTACGAAGAAAAAAAGGCAGCTCATCATGTGGTACACATTGATTCTTGTAGTGTGAACAAGTCCGTAATGACGTCTGCATACACGACGCGTACGTTGGCACCGTCAACAACAACAGGGGAGATTCCGCCTCGACTCAGGGTCAGGGCGAGCGCGAGCAAAGCCAAAATATGTCTGGTGGAGGCAGAGGACCGTTTGGCGCGGCCGCCACTTATGCTTCCCAGCAACACCTGCGAGAGGACAAGGCACGCAAGGGCGCTTATTGCAAGGAAAAATCCCCCCTCCCCATATCAAAACGAAACTTCTGATGCTGGATTTGTGTACACAAATCAGCTTTGTACTGCAGAAAGGCATTGCGGCCAGATCCCCAGGATAGGCAGGGGCGTACGGGTCTAGTTGTTCAGCATGGCAAACGGCTCCCCTTAAGCCCGACAGCATGACAAATCACTTCCATAATGGGGCCGAAGCTTCTGCCCTTGCCGTCTCGCAAGACACATGTGATTTGTGACCTCAAATCAGCAACGCAAATTTTCGAAAACATAGCTTTTCAATATGGGGAGGGGGAATTTTTCATTTTGATAGCGCTAGACGCGGGGGAATTGGCAGCGCGCCCGGTAGTTCGATGGCGGAAACCACCGGCATATGAGATTGCGCAACGGCCCCTCCCCCTCAACATTTCCTTTGTCATGCAGAATACCAAATCCACCCTTTGCCCCTTGGCAAGGCTTGCGTGACAGGTTTCGGAAACCGAAAGAGTACTAGAATTGGTCGTGAATAATTTGTCCTAGTACAAAAGCTGCATCTTATTTCCCAGCGCTTGTGTTGCCGTGGATGCCAACATCCAAATGAGTGGATGAAGGGGGAGTTTTGCACTCTGATACGGCGGTAAATCGTACCAGAAAGGAAAAGCAAAAGGCTCGACGCACGGATTTTCTTCCAGCCGCGGTCCACAACATGTTGCTCCCCGAGGCGTGGCAACGGGAAACAAAGGCAGTACGGTTGGACCGCAGGACCACGCTGTGGGCGGCTACACCGCCGGGAGAGCCGACGACTCGCGGGAGTTCCGCGCTGCACGACAACGTGATTCTCGGCCGGATTCGACCTCGCGATCGCACGCGGGTCCGGGAGGTGGGAGCCGGAATATTAACCCCAGCCCGGCGGCGGGCTCCGCATACACGAAGGGATCGTGGACCACCGCGTCGCGCAACGTCCGGGGCGCGTCCTCTCCGTTTGGTTCCCAGCGCCCGGTGGACCACCCCGGTTCCGCCAGCAGCGAGCAGGAGTATGGGCGCCGCTTTGAAGCTCTGCGCCAGGAGCTCCTGTTGGATCATGAAGATGAGGAGGAGCTGTCTTCTGGGCCGCCATCCTACTCCGCCTTCCGGCAGGAGGTGGACCGCTATGCTGATACTTACCGCACGCAGAAGATGAAACTGCTTCACTGTAGTACTGGACTTGTGATGCAGCAGCAGACCCAACACAGAAGTCTTTCTAGTGGTCTTGCTACATCACATGACGCAGGACACTGGATTTTATTCATGTGTATTTTTTCTTACAGACGGTCTGTAAGAAAAAAATGCGAGGTCGGTAACAGACCTCGCATGCATAGCAACTTTTCACTGCCACGTAGAGAAACCATGTGAAGATGCAAAAAAAAAAGCATAAAGAAGAAGAGAGCTGTTGATGTACAGTGAGCCACTTTTTTCGTACGATGCCACAAATATTAACCGACAACAACAACATGGGCAAGACCGACGTGGAGTTGCAGGACCTTCCTCGGTCGACTACGATTCCTTTTCAAGTGCTGGAACAACTCACGCGACATCGAGCCGCAATAATATGCAGCAGGCGGGCCCAAGCTCCTCGACGTCCATGCTGGACCAGGAGCACGAGCAGGAACAACGGCTCCGCGAGCAATCCCGTGCCGCGGCGGCGGAGCGCGGACTAGTTGGGGAGTATACTTATCACAGCCGACCTTTTCCCAATCGAGGGGCTTACTCCGAGGAAGAACAGCGAAGAATCGCTGCGCGGCATGACAAGAATGCCCGAGCACAGTTGAGGGGCGCTGGCAGGAGCAACGCCTTGTACCCTGCAAGCACTTGGAAGGGCGGGAGCTACCAAGATCCAGACGCGCGGCGCTACGGGCAGCAAAGCCAAAGCCGCAGCCGCCCCCGCCGCGACGGTCGAGGACCGGCCGGGGCAACAGGGTACTTACTTTCCGCACAGTGCTGCTTGCTTTTACCAAATGCAAACATAAGTAAAACTCTTCTACTAGTACTACTACTCCAGCATCCGGCACCACGTCGTCTGCTTCGACTGAAAGAATGTAAAAAACTCATGTAGAAGATTCAGAAAGGGATTATATTTATACGTGTTATGTTACACTTACAAACTACGCTTACAATTACAAACGCCGCGGAATACTACGACAGCGAAGAGGATAGTGCAATACGCTGCACGAGATATGAAAGTGAAACAGCAGACTCAAATAATTCGCCACGGCCCACGATTTCGATTGACAGTCGTGACATGATAGAAGAGATTACAACGAGGACTTCAAGCCGACTTCCAAATCCGCCGACCCCAAATAGCCAGCACTGGTGCCCGCAGGCGGGCTATTCTAAGGGTGTCTTTAGCAACTATCAGTGCGATCATGCGCATGAACATCAAAACCGCTACAGGGCCGCGAGTCGTGCTAGGCCGAAGGCTATTGCAGATGATACACGGCGAACGGGTCGTGGTAGCGGTGACGATACGACATGGAACAAACTTTGAAAATTTTCCTGGGAATTGATTGAAGTGCCGTACTATGTATCATGCAAAATGAGGCCGGAAGTTACATTACTTTATTTCTTTGCTTGGATTTTTCAGCAAATCCCAGATCGGCTTGCTCCCAGCATCCAAGAAAGAGTTTGACGCGGATGCTACAGCCCCATAGCAAAACAAGTACACGAGCGCCAAGAGCTGGGATGTTGATGACTTGCAATGATAGAAGGGCAAACAATGAGCCGGAAACGTAAATAAACGAAGCGAATTTGACAGAAATGCACGTAAGTTCAATTTCATACTAGTGAAGTTTCTCTTTCTAGCGAAGCAGAAGAAATACGAATCTACAGAATTTCGATTTCGCAGAATGGAAAATTTTTATGCATTTTCCTTTCAGAGAGGATCAGCAGCAGCAGCAGGTGGGGGCGAGGGATGCTATCAGGCGGGAAATTGTGCTTCAGCGTGCGCGCTACTCTTTGTAGTCGCTGATGTTCGGCGTGCTGCTTCTATCTGTATAGCTTAAACTACCTGCTTGTCTGGACATGGACACTGCCACAATGACGTCGCGGCAGTTTTTATTTTGCGGTCGTCCCAAGCCCAACATACAGAGAAAAAAGAAAAACAGCGCCGGTTGATACGTGAGCGGTATGATGTCGATGCAGCCAATTCATACTTTTCTATTGTTTTCATGGAAATATGGTTTACAACCACGAGTAGCTCTTATTTTCTTGGCGAAAATGTAATTTTGCCGCGGATGACATACACGACAAAACAAGTGGTTGATATTGATTTTATGATTTTCATCATGAAATAGACGAGTATAGTGTTAATTTTTTCGCCTGAGGAAGCCATCACGGGACTGGAGGTTTTCATTTGCATGTATTGTTTGTTTTGCATGCTGTTCCCAGCACGCCAACTGTATTAATTTGTTGTTGATGCGGTAGAAGCGTACTTTCCCAAGTGATAGATTCGACGTTAACAGCGACACAGATTGAGCGGGCGTGTGTGCACATATTCGACCACTCGAGCCCGTCGGCGCAGCGTCGACTGTTTGAATTTGTTGTTGGCCTGGTGCAAACAGGTCCGCTAGAGGATGTACTCGCCATGAATCCCAGTGGACCTCTATCAGATTGAGAAAATATAACTACAACCAGCATGCCAAGGCCAACAAGAACATAGATACCTACACCAAGAAGAGCTGCTGATGCTGAACTGCATCCATCAAATTGTTGTGGAAGACCAGAAACGCAGAGAAGAGTGTTAAAAAGATTGTGTATCCGTAGCAGAGGGAGGTAGCATGACCTATAGCAACATAAAGTGACCACTTGCATCTTCATTGATTGGCTCGATTCTATTTCCACTCTGAGTCTGACTGGAAAAAAAATATTGGCTCAGATCGTAATATTTTCGTTGCATACACTGGCGTGCCGGGTGTGCAGCTTATGGGCCGCGATGATATCAACTCTGCGCCTGCGGGTCGCAAGAGCAAAGATGGGAGCATGTACCGTCGGAGCCGGTATAAACAATAACTTCAAGAACCGTCACTCAGGCATGGCTATACTACTCCTTCTCCTCATCTGCGGCACATGTTTATGGTTATGATTGCGTTGCTACTTACCTTCACCTTGCAATACTTGCTGCTGCTTTGTCTACCCGAAACCGACGCAGACCACTCATGGTCAACTTTGTTGTGTGGCCATATATTATACAGTAGCAACCTTTCGCCACCCTTCCAGAGAAATCGCAACTTCCAAAAGAAAACAAAACAGAAACTACTCCTCCGGTTCGTATTCAAATGGAGTGCGTATCCCGCGACTGCCGAAGATGTATGACCTAGAAAATCAATGAGTGAGTGGTGCATTACGTCGAACATCACTTCCAGCTCCAGATGGAGATGACAACTGGTCGTCGTGGTGGTGGTGGTGGTGGTGGTGGTGTTGAAAGAAAGTGCTACGATAAAAACGTGGGCGAATGACAGACCATGACCACGGCAGTACCAAAATAAAGAGGATGAACGCTCCAACGTGATAAATACCATCACAGTTTTTACGAATGCAAATAAAAGGAAAAAATGTTTCTGCGTTAACTGCTCACTGAGACTTAGTTCCTTGCATAAGACGACAGACTTTCCCGAAGATGGCGCATACCCAGGAACCAGTGTTATGCTGCGAAACATTCCGAACAGGTGAGCGTGAGGCGATGTAGTTTTGAGTTCTTGTTTACTACTTTCATCGATCTAGTTGGTCAGTGATGTTGGCGGCGACGATGAATAATCAAACTACATTGACTTATAGAATATAGTAACAGGGAACCTCGACGTGACCGGGGGGGTCACGTCCGTCCGTCCGGCCGGACGGACGGCACGTGACCGGGGGTAGTCCGGCCTCGGGGCGAGTTCGGCGCTGAATGCCGCAGCAACTTTGGCCCTCGGTAGCTAGAAGCCCCCGGCCGCGTCACCGACGGCGGACCAGGGGCAAGAGTCGTGCCTTTTTTTGTTTTTCCGTGAAAGACCGAACTCATGACCTTTTTTTTTTTAGTTGGGCGCCCGAGCTAGCTAACAGCCCCCGGCCGCGTGACCGGGGGCGGAGCGTGACGAAGAGAGGCAGTTGCAGTTCTTCAGTGAAGGACCGAGCTCATGACCTTTTTTTTTTTTTAGTTGCCCGGGCGCGCGGTCCACCGCGGCCACCACCTCCTAGCGCCACGACGGACCCCCGGTCACGTGCCGTCCGTCCGGCCGGCCGGACGGACGTGACCCCCCCGGTCACGTCTAGATTCCTTGTTACCTTATTCATACCTATTTCCAGGTTGACGCCGAATTTGTTGCTGAATCTCCTGTTTTCGAACAACACGGTGTACGCAATTGCCTGGGCGGAAGGTCATGGATGGCCAAGGAGCTCCTGGCCGTCATTTTTGCCCGGAGAGACAGGAAGTAAACGCTTGCTCGACCGGAAAGCGATGGCCAGGGGACTCCTGGCCCTCACTCTTGCCCGGCCGGAAAGTGATGGCCAAGGAGCTCGCAACCCTCACTTTTGCCCGAGTGAAAATTGGTGGCCAAGGGGCTCCTGGCCGCGCCGTCGCTTTTGGTTGCCCGAGCGAACGGAAATTGACGGCCAAGGGGCTCTCTGCCGTCAGTTATGCCCGACCGACGAGCGATGTCCAAAAGCGGCGCCCATCCAAGGAGCTCTTCTTGGCCCCCAATTTTGCCTGAGCGAGCGAAAAGTGATGGCCATGGAACTCTTGGCCAGCCATCACTTTTGCCCGATCGAGAAGTGATGGCCCAGGGGAGGCTTTTGGCCATCGCTTTGGCCCGGCCGGAAACGATGGCCCACCCAGGAGGCGCTCTTGGCCACCACTTTGGCCCGGCCGGAGCGAAAGTGACGGCCAAGGAGCCCGTGTCCCATGCCCGAGTAAAAAGCCGAGGAGCTTCTGGCCATCACTTTTGCCCGAACGAAAAGCAGGGGCAAAAAGTGATGGCCAAGGAGCTCCCGGCCATCACTTTTGCCCGAGCGAAGGCAAAGGGATGGCCGGGGAGCTCTTGGCCATCACTTTTGCCATGCCGGAAAGTGATGCCCGAGGAGTTGATCCCTGTTTTCGGGGGGGAAAACAGGGGCAGTCGGGCTTGTCGACGCTTTCTGTATCAAAATCACACTGAAGTTGATGCGCGGCTTTGTTCTGCTGCTCGCCAGGACGTGCAGCATAACACTCTCTCTGCCCGACGGTATGGCGTACAGATAACGGGAACGCGTTGAATCTGTTACACGAAGCTTCTAGACGAGACCTTCTAAGCACATTCGTTTAGAATTATTTTTCTAAGTGCCTCCTATAGATTATAGCAAAGGGGGAGGCTAAGTTCGTTTCACTATTATTATAATTATTTCCAGGTTGACGCCGAATTTGTTGCTGAATCTCCTGTTTTCGAACAACACGGTGTACGCAATTCAAAACACGTAGAGAAGCCCAAGCTGTTCTAGCCCGGAGAGATCCGTGGACGAAGGCGAAGGGCCACGCATCATGATTAGGAATGCTGTTCTTTATAGTTTCGCTCCAGCATTCATGATCTTTGATTTATAGCTGCATTTGAATCAGTCAGCTTTTATGATTGATGCTATATCTGCGTATGCATGTACAACTGGATCAACATGAGCAGCTCTAGAGGAGTTTGCAGCATATTCAGAGGAAAGGGCGGCCGCTAGAGCTACTTGCTTTGCTTGTTGCATATGCTTCTTACGTATGAGAGTGCGCAGCGTCCTTCTCCCCCCCCCTCATTTCGAGGGAGTCTATCGGTGTTCAGGAGCAGAGGCACTGGGAAAAATGCATCTCCTGCGGTACGAACACGATTCCAGACCCGGACCACAGTAGTTTTACATCATACATAGTGTTGCTCGGGCTTATTTCGGCATTTTACCGTAAGGCAAACGGAAAACTCATGGAGATGCATGCTGCTTAGAGAACGCTTGTAAAAGTGTCAGGTGGTAGGGTAGGGAAGTAGAAGTTGCACTCTGTATTGGACATGTTGACAAAGGAACGCACGAGGACGCGTCTTAGGGCAGGGGATAAGTAACTTTTGCACTCCCATATGACAGAGCCGGACTTTCACGACCTCATCCACGGAACTTCGCTCGTCGGCTGCTGGCAGCTCGAAGACGGGTACAACCCATTTTCTGTGCACATCATGGATACTTGTATAGATACTTTCTGTAGAAGTAGATGCAGATGGTTTATTGAACAAGCGGATCTATCCACCACAAGGAAGATACGAATCGTCCAACCAGATGCACCGCACTCCATCGATACGCGGTGGCGCAATATATGCTGCATATGCTCAATTATTTGTTGTAGCAAAAGGCCGTCGGCACAAGATTCAATGAAGGTCTTCGGGTGTCGGTGTGCTTGCAAGTGCAACAGCTTGCGGAACCAAAGGGCTTTGTTTTTAATGATAGTTTCTCGCGGCCTCGTGGACAACTAAATACAATGGAAACTACGGTGACTAGGGAACACGAACATCATCAAAAAACATACAATGGTGCACGACATCAACAACTACATCACAGGCCGATCGACAGTGATGAAAGTGAGCTGGAAAAAATGCCTCCCACGGAGCTGGCGCCGGAAGCAGATGACGACGAAGCTCGAGGTGTAGGTGAAGAATTGGCTGCTTTAGCATATCGAATGCAAAAATGTTTGGGTCTGGAAACTTGTGATGCAAGTCAGTCAATAACAAATGCACTGTAATTCGCCGCCAGGCATGACAAGTTGCTTTGTGCTTCTGTACTGCGTATTCCGCATGAGAAACTGCGTTTTATTTGCATGACAGGCGAGAGAGGCTGTTTGTGGCCACGCAATACAGATTTACTAAGGGCCATGCCAGATCAGCATGACAAATCTCGCAATCTTCCAGACCCAGACACTTTTGCATTTGATATAGTAGAAAGCGACCTACTGGACGTAGTGTTCGAAGACGAGGAGGAGGTGGAAGTGGAACTTAGCACGGGCAAGGACGTATCTCACATAGAATTATGACTGGCATGCATCATATTTGCGAAACATAGTAGAACGAAGACAGATAGGAATAAAATTGAAGTCACGACACGGTGTCATGTAGATGTGTTATGGCCGAAAGCTGCCAAAGCAAGAAAGGATGCAGTAAGAAAGGTTCTGGCGACAACACGCAAGAGCGACGGTGGCCGTCCCTTTGCATTTGGGCACTCTAGTTGCAAATGTGATCCGCTGACGTTATTTTTCTACCGGACAAAGGGGACAATCAGATTACGTCGGCACAAAGTTGGAGACGGCAAATGCGGCAGCCTCCTCCCCCTCTACTCCGCGTCTACCGGAGGAAAATGATTCTCCTGCGGCCTCATTTATCCGAAGGGAACAAAAGTGCAGCTGCTTAATTTTCCCGGTTTGACTTCCGGCTGTGGCTGGGCGGGAGTAGATTATTTGCATTTGATTTTATCTATATGTATAAATATGTAGTGATGATGAATGCTGCGAAAACGTGCCATTCATTTCCTAGAGATGTGCATGACGTCGACTTTGCCGGGCGAAAGCGTGTCCTCATGATCACGTCTGTGACTGTGTCTGTGAACACGATGATGGACGCGCTTCATCTTAAAAATATTGAGACATGGTGATGATTGACATACCACCTATGTAAACCTTCTCAACTAATCCCGTGAAGAAGGAACAAAGCGCACAGGAGCGGGACGTCGTGTGTAGTTTTTTTTTTTTTAGTACGCATGGACGAGTAAATTCAAATTTATTTGTATAATTTCCGAGTATAGAAGAGCTTTGCTTTATTTTTGCAACTGTAAAAAGAAAGTCGACAGTAACGGTATTATAAGCCAAGAACTGCATTGCATCTCAATATCTTCGCCAACATCTGCAGCTGGCGGAAAAAAAATTCTTGGAGCCTCGCCGACGGCGAAGTCGGGTTCTAAATCACTGAAGCAAGCGCGTGAGGTAATATTTTTACTTGATAGCGCCGTTGCCGTGTGATACAGTGCGACTAGCAGTGAGTTGATTTTGTTCGTGATGAAGCCAACAAGTTTAGAGCGGGGTAACAAATTCGGACGATTTGTGGTCATCCCACTTTTCACCCGCCCGGCCGGGTGGGTGAAAAGTGGGACAAAACCAGGATCCTGCCCCACTAGTCGGAGAATGCTCGTGCGCGCGCGCTGCGACACACGCAGCCGCAGAGCCCGCCGCAGCGCGTCACACGCAAGCGACAGACACACATCACAGCGGCACGCACGCATACGAGCGCGGCGAAGAAGCGAGCGGCACGAGAGCAGAGCTGCTTTAGGCGCGCGCGCGCAGCGGGCACGAAGCACAAGACGCGACGCGGAGCGCCGCGGAAGCGCGCGCACCGCCTCGCGCACGTGCGGCAGAGCGACACGCCCACGCGCAGAGCGCGAACCACACGAGAGCACACCGACACGAGCGCGGAGCCGGCGCGCGACGCCGCGTTCGCTCGTCGCGTGCTTCTCTCGTCGCGCTCTGCTCGTTCGCGTCGCGCCGGCTTGCTTGCGCGCGCCGCCAAGCGCACAGCAGCACGCGCGAGCGCGCCGGCTCGCTGCTACGCCGGTGCTCGCGCGCGTGCTCGCCCCTCGCGTCGTCGCCGGGCGCTCGCGCTCCTGCGCGTCGCGCGCACATCCGCGCGAGAGCGCGCGGCAGCCGCCAGCGGCGGCGCGCGCGCCGACGCAGGCTCCTCTTCGCGCTGGCGTGCTCGCTCTCGGCGCAGCGCGCGCGCACGACGCGCGCCACGCATGCGACGGCGCTTGCGTGCGTGCTGCTGCGTCGCCTCTGCGGCCCTTCGCGCGCGCGTCTGGCAACGCGACGCGAGCGCAGAGCCGCAGCGAGGGACAGCGGCAGAGAACGCGACATGCCGCCTTGCGGCGCCTCGCCGGTTTTGCCGCGCTGGCGGCTGTGCAGTGCTGCGTCCATCTTCGGCGTCGCGCTTCGCGCGTGCGTCTCTGCTCGTTCTGCGCCCGCGCGCCCGCGTCGTCGGCGCGTCGCGCTCGTGTGTGCCGCGCGCGCACGCGCAGCGCGAGGCGCACGCCCGCGCAGAGACGGCGACGCGACAGCGGCACAAGACACGGCGAGCGGCGTTGGTTCGCTCGCCTCGTCGCGGCGTTTCGCATCGCTGCGCGGCGCGTGCGTCTTCTGCCGTGTGCGCTGTTCGCGCGCTCGTGCGCGCGCACGCGCAGCGACGCGTGCGAGCCAGCGGCACGCAGGGCGCGGCGCACAACGAGAGAAGCACGCTCGTGCGTGCCATTCTGCGCCTTTGTGGCGCTCTCGCGCGCGCGCCGCTCGGATTTGTTCGCTCATGCGCCTCGTCTCGCGTCTCGCGCGCGCGACAAACCAGCGCTCGCGCTGCTGTGGCGCCACATGTGTGTGCCGTGCGCGTGTGAGTGTCTCGCCCGTCTGCGCTCGTCGCTTCCGCCTCCCGCCTTGCGCCTCGCAGCTGCTGCCGCGCGCGCGAGGGCGCGCGCGCACCACATCAGCGCGAAGCCGGACGAGACAGAGCACGACACGCGACACACAGCAGAGCTGTGCGCCTGCGCTCGCGTTCGTCGCGTTCGCGCTGCGCGGCGCGCGCGCAGACAGCCGCACGCGCGCACCCGCGGGACAGTTCGCGCGCTCCGCGCCGCGGGCCACATGCATCTGTCCCGCGGCTGCGCGCGCGCTCGCCTGCTCGCCTCCGGCGCTTGTGCTCTTCTGCGTGCGTGTGTGTCTTCGTGGCGGCGCTCGTCGCGGCTGCGCGAGCACGTGCTCTTCGCGCGTGTCTGCGATCGTGTCGTCGCTCGCGCGCGTGCCGCTCTCGCGTGTCGCCTTCGCCTTCATCGATTTCTGCTGCGCGTGGCATGCGCGCGTGCTGCTCGCGGCTGCTGCGTGGCTGCGTTTCTCGCTCGCTGTGCGTGCGCGCGCGCACGCATCCGAGAGCGCGAGAAGCGCGCGCCCCCGCGTTGCGTGCCGCGCGCCTGTGCGCGCGCGCGACAACAGGCTGCAGCAGACGCGACGAACGGCGGCGCGCTGGTGCGTCTCGCGCTCGTGCGTCTCGCGCTCGTGTCTCGTGCTCTTGCTTCGCGTCGCGTCTTCATGTTTCCGCTTCGCGCGTCTCGCGTCTCGGCGCGCGACGAGAGAGAGTGCGCGCGAAGGAGGCGCGGCGAGAGAGCAACAGCAGCAAGAGCGACCGACGCGGCCGTCGTCTGGCGTCTCGCTCCGCCCCTCTCTCTTCTCGTTGCTGCCTCTCGCTGCTTGCATGCTGTTCGTCTCGCGCGCGTGTGCGTGCGCTGCGCGTCTTGCATCGCGCGAGCCGCAACGCAGCGCAACACGAGCGCACGCGCACGAGCGACGCGCAGACGCGACGAGCTTGCTTGTCTGCTGTGTTGTGCCGCTTTGCGCGTGCGTTCGCGTGTGCGTCGCGGCGTGGCGAGCGCGAGAGCACGCGACAGAGCCGGCTGCGACGTCGTGTCGCGCGCCGCGTGCGCTCGGCTGTGCGCGCGTCGCCGCGACGCGAGCGAGCAGAGAGGGAGCACGAGCGCAGATCCGACCAGTGAGAGGACAGGATCCTGGTTTTGTCCCACTTTTCACCCACCCGGCCGGGCGGGTGAAAAGTGGGATGACCACAAATCGTCCGAATTTGTTACCCCGCTCTTATTCAATATTCCTCCAGCTGGGATGAAGATCGAAGAAATTCATTTCTTTGATATCAACAATACGACTGCAGCCCGCTAAAGGGCAGCACACTCCTGCCAACATCATTATCAACAACTCCAGATGAGTGCCTCTCCGTCCCCCACGAGCTTGAAGATGCCCGCTTCGGTGACCAAAAGTAGTAATACGAGCTCCAACATCTCTTCAATCCCGCAGCAGAATGCCCCGGAGGAGGCCAACACCAACAGCAGCAGTAGTAAAAGTCAATCGCAGTCAAACTCGAAGTCGTCCTCCTCTTCTTGGGAGGAGACGCCGAATCCGAAGACCCGAGCCGACTACGAACACCTGCGGGCGCTACATGAAATGGAACGAAAAAAGTTCAGTTATGGTGTTCTCAAACGTTACTGTTATATTCTCAACTGTTACATGAAATTTGTAATGCACGAATAGCAATAAAAGTGAAAGGGAAAAGGTTGCGCCTTTTGCATTACAGGTTTGAAGCAGAGTATGATGCTATTTGGCGCGTCGAAAACTTGTCATGCGAAGCAGCTTGGTCATCTAGATGCTGGTGCCAATTTTGCATGACAAATTCATGTAACAGTTGAGAATGTAACGTTTGAGAGTCCCATATCAGTTGGGACCAATTCAAGGAATCCTCGCGCGTCGACCCTGCATTTTTTGACCTGCGGAAGCCGGACCAGCCGTCAACATCCCCCACAAGCTCGTCCTCTGCGGTGGAGCAAGGTAAGGAAAACGATAACAAGTCAACATATTTTTATACAGAGTTTGAGTTGATGTCATTGTGTAGTACTCGTCGTGAGGTGACTTGCACGAAGACGGAGAAAACGTTGTATTTGACCTGCAACGGCCTCGACCTAGTTTTAGTTGTGAGTAGATGCATTTCATTATAAGACGAAAAAAGTGCTGACGAGTCATGGTATGCTAGAATGATCTTCGCTGTCGCAGTCGCAGTCGTGGTAATATTGGTGCTTGACAAGAACTTGCGTTGTACTTACTTTTGAATCTGGGCATTGACATTTCCTAGCACTAAGTGATGCTGTAGTTGGCACCGTCGTGAAAAAGAAAATGCGTGGTTATTTGACAGGTGATGAGACCAGCAGTACACACGTCCTGATTGGACCCTGGTCGAAGAACGGGAGTATCATTATTATGTAAAGGAATTCCGGAGGCAGTTCAAAGTAGAAGCAGGGACGTTCATCATACATTTCCGGGATGACAGGTTAGTGCCTGCAAATTATTATTTTTATGTGCGACATGTTGATTTCCTATTCGTATTTCTTCGGAAAAAATGAATCTATTTTTTCGAAGTATTGCTACAAGGTGTTGATGATGTGTTTCATCCCAATGGTGCCAATTTTTGGCGCATTTGGACTACTTGTAGAGATTGCCATGGCGTGTGAAGATGCAGGTAAAATGGAAAAGATATCATGAATAAGTTTCACGAACAAAGTCAGCATGACAATTTATTTTGAATTATTGCGCAAAAGCAAACTAAGAGGTATTTCGTATCGATCAGTCTTTTGCGCTGCCTCTGGGTTGTTTTGCCAGGACAGCGATGGCAACGTCGGAAGTATTAGATCCCGTGGTTGCTCAGTTCGTTGATTTTATGGACCTCCCACAAAACATCCGCGGAGTGAACCTCGGTTACGCGTTCCTGCATTTCCGGTCCAGAAAGATCGCCCGGAAATTTGTCGAGTTGATGAACGTATTAAATGCAAACATGTCTGGGCCTGCGTTCGCTAGAAGCCACGCTTTTCTGTCATGCAGAATCGCAGTTTGTTTTTGTCTTTTTCATGCAGATTGATTAGGCAGCATGACCTAGCTACACTTAGCAGCTCAAAAACTTGTCAGCAATCAGGAGGTGTCCCTGTGATTCGCCAAACAGCATATAAATGTTAATAAGAAATTTCCAGACCCATAGACATTTGCACTTGATAAAACGGAGTGCGATGTCCCGGGAAGAGCGAGAAGACGTTCGAGCTTGTCATCACCACCGCACGCCACATTCCTTATATGGACGGGATGCTGATGCAAAATTTGAAGCCCACCCGCACTATGTTTTGGTTTGACGAGGAATCCATGCCCACGATTCTCACCGCGGCCAAATTTGCTCTCCATAAGCAGGTGTAGCGACAGAGCGTATAAAATGTTGCGAAGATACGATGTGGATGTTGAGCGACACTTTACTTCTTGTTTTTAATACTTAATTCTGTCCTTCTTGCGGCCACTGTTAGAGCAAGATGGAAGAAAAAGCCCACCGCACTTCTCTTCGGGCATGTGCAAGGAGGATCGCTCTGATGAAGCGTATGTAGAATCGCACAGCCCGCTCAGCGCGGCACTTTGTGCTGCAGTCGCTCAAAACTGTTTGGAGCAAGAGCATCCGTGGAGATTGTACATGAAGTAACTAAGTATGCTGGATGTTGGTGATGAAGAAGTTCCAATTGATGTAGCTTTGCGCGTACAGGTTACCGCGGCGGCCATCATCAATGGGGCACGCTTCAAGCTGCTCACAAGCGCGGGGCTTACCGTCAGACCCTGCGCCCTATGCGGCAGCAAAGACAACAGCCCGGGCCACCTACTCGCGTGCATGCAGACCCGCTCCTGGGCGGAACTGCGTAGCCCGGCCGTGTCCGCCTCCTGGGTCGACCTACTCCTGCAGGAGGAAGCGGCGCAGGCCTGGCTCCGGCGGCCGCCGCCTGAAGAAGCCGCGCAAACCGGGCCCCAGTAGGGACCCCGCCCGGCCCGCCGACCGGCACGCGACCCTCCGCTGCCCGTCGGCCACAGAAAGACTCCCTCTTCCGAACGTGGAAGGGCCGTGGGGTGCACTCCGGTAACGTACTCCGCCCCACGGCCGGCGCGGATGATCGGCACCTGCGTCCGCATCCGCCCCGACAACCCGCCGGTGCATGGCACTGACCACGGCGGAAGGGCCATGAGGTGTACTCCGGTAACGCGTGACCGTACTCCGCTAACCGCCTCATGGCCCCGGGAGCATCGAGGCGCACAACCTGCACCCCGGCCACGGCGCGACCGCCTCGCACGCGCGAGGCACTGCCGGCACGCCGACACCTCGTGGCGCCCCCAAGAGAAGAATTGAGGGGCAGACCACTACAGCCGGGTCCGGGCCGCAGCGCGGGACCACAAAGGACCACCGCGGCAGGATCCGTACTCTTTTAGCAGTCGGCGGAGTACTGCGCAGACGCGCGAAATAGAGGTTACCAGGGAAGCAGAAGCTTGGCCTCCACGCGCACAAAGCAGCGCCCCCTCGTGTCCCCCGTGTTCCGACTACACTAACGCCAATTGATGTAGCTTCGCTCGGCGAAGAGAAACAGTGGCTGCGTCATGTTTCTAACAGGTGGTAGCATGTATGTGTACATTCAGCTCCTGCGAAGTACTCTTCGCGCAGTTCTACTATCAGAAGAATCCTATTAAAGTTGCATGGATATGTGTTCATGGAGAACAACATACTTCGGCCCGGAGCAATTTATTCTTCATGATCCAGGAGTTTCACATTCTTGGCGTATGGTATCTTTCAAAAAAAATAAAAAACAGCAACAAACTGGAGCGGCGCATGGAAGGATATGAATCTTGGATACTTGTGGCTTTGGATGCATGCGGCCAGAGCAGTGGAACAGTTTAGCGTGCCCTTTGTCTTACTAGCAGCTGCCGCATTTTTCGGCGATTCATTTTACAACAGTTTGAACGAAAGAAAAGGCGGGAAGAACTCTCGTCAAACCAGACTACCTACTACGTCTCCGGCGCTGATTTCTGTCATGGATGGTGCCAGTGATTATGAATAGCGCCAAAAGTAGATGAAACAACAACAAGTAATTAAACATGAAGAAAAACACAGCCTTCCGCACTTGACGGCGATACATCCCGCGATCAGTGCCTAGCCACACACGATAAGCGAACGACAACGACTGCTCCCGGTAGTGTTTTATCTGTGGGTCAGCTCCTGGCACGATGCGACCTGAAGGGACTGATGGGAGCTACCATCGGCCGCAGCTACAACAAGTCCACAGTATTGAAAGATGCATAGCAAAACCGTCGCGCACAATATTCGGCGGCGTCGAATGTCGGCGGGGCGAACAACTCCTGGCGCTGAAATGTATCGTGAAAGACATGCACCACCGCTATCAGATTCAGATGTAGTTACCCGAAGAACCCGAAGTGAGCAGTACCAGTAGCATTTCATACATGGAGCTGCGTGCAGCATCTTTCGCTTTCTTTGTATTGCATGCATTTTTGATTTTGTGTTTCTGCTTTGCTCCCACTTCCTCGGAGCGGGGTAACAAAATAAAAAAAGAGGTCCTCGGGGGACCTCTTGTCCCCCCGGCAGGACGGACAAGAGGTCCCCCCCTTCTGTTGCCAGAGCCGCGGCCGGCTCGCAGAGTTCGCCCCCGTGTCGCCGCGCCGGCTATTTCGGGTCAAACGCTGGGGACCTCTTGTCCTGTATACCAAATACATAGCCGATTTCTCTGCGAAACGGGGGGGCAAGAGGTCCCCTCCCGTTTCGCCCGAAATATCCGACGCGGCGACACGACGGGGGGGGAACTCTGCGTGGCGGACGCTCCGGCAGCAAAACGGGGGGACCTCTTGTCCGCCCAGCCGGGGGGACAAGAGGTCCCCCGAGGACCTCTTTTTTAATTTTGTTACCCCGCTCTCGCTTTCTCCTTCAACCTCTGAAGTTGGAGCATTGCGGCGCCGAGATGACCTGAAGCGATTTTATGTTGTGCGGCCGTGAATTTTGTTTGAACGTGACACGCTGGTAAATATGTTGGTTGTCTTTCCCATGCGAAATCTCCATGATAGAACTGAATCTGGTAACGAGGATGCTAGCCTTTTCTTGATGGCGCGCCGCAGGCTGCGACTTTCTACTCCCTGGATTTCATCTATTCCAGCATTTGTCAATACTTACAGCTCTCATTTGCCCGTACATTTTTTTTCGTACATTTCCCCATCTACTTTTTTCATAATATTACCTGGCGCCTCAGTAGAGTTCGTCATGGTTTGAACGAATCAAGTAGAGTCTTCGTAGTGACGGTATTTCACCCGATTGGTAAATCTTCAGGATATCCCTCCTCCATTTTCACATAGCAATTTATGATCTTTGTCAATGGATTTAGACTATCGCTTTTGCTCCAGCACTCTCTCGATTTCTTTGTTGGGCTCCGTTTTCCTATTTTGGTTTACTACTCTGAGACGTGAGCGATTGACTCTTGGTTTTATTTCTAATTTATTTTTATTATTTATTATTATTTTTATTTGATAGCTGTCCTTTTTGCTTCTATAAATACGCACAACCAGCAGGGCTAGTCTTTGGCAACATTTTCCAAGCCGAGACTCGAGCCCTACAACATGTTGCCCTGATGTGGCTCGCTTTGCAGCTGCGCTTGGCTGTAAATAGACCTCAAATTATCTCGCCCAGAAACCCCTTAGTTCCTTCACTGGAGTGGACCACTGAAAACAACGAGGCTACACGCAAAGAAAAAAGCGAAAGTCGCAGGCGCCGCGCGTGCCGTAATGTCGTTCACAGCGTAGAAGCAGTCCTCTAGTAGCAGTACAACTAATTCGGCCTTTAAGTAGGCAACAAAACGCAAAAATTAAAATGACACCTCGATGCGCGGCTTGGGGTTCGTTACTCAACCTTCATGCAGTGACAGCTCGAATAAAGAAAAGTTCCAGATTGATGACGACAGCCGCGACGCCGATGCCTTTACCTTATCCCTTATACCTACCTCTATTTAGAGTTTGATTCTTTTTAGTTATATCAGCGCTTGCTCCTACTTCAGCTTCACCTGCACCAGAAGCAAAACGAATTCAGCTCCTGCAGCCCGAAGGCGGACGATCGGGATTTGCCACCGCGCATATAGCTTTGGTTTTACTGCAATGTAGAGCAAGGAGTTTGACTCATTTTCTTGCTCCTTGTTCTCATCAGCGGTTTCTCATAGAAAAAGGATGACAAGATAAAGAACAAGCACTTCATGCACTACGTCAACCGCGTCATCCATTTACTTTCTTCGATATACAGATACACCCCCTGCCTCCAGCTAGCCGCTTGCGGCTAATTGGGAGAATGGAGCGAAGATGTTGCCATGACCTGCTGCACAAGTAGCAGAGGTTGTGCCACCTCATGTTCCCCTTGGTATACAAATACACAATGGAACACGCCCGGTAGTAGGTACTCCGTCCTTGTATTTTTACAAACAAGCAGCCCGCAAACAAGCAGCTGCAGTTATTTTGATTTCTCCTGTGATTCGGCCATCGGCCGGGTCAAATTGAGATTGAGAAATAAACCTGGCAGGAAATCCTCGAAATAATTCGTCATGCCCTCAGCTCTGAAATACATCAAGCCTGCGACCCATAGAAGAGAATAGAAAATGATTATCATATGAATCATCTCGAATAAAAAAAAATCGCACATCTTGATATTACAAATGGAAGTCTATCTCTCCCTGTTTATGTTTGTCGGATTTTTGAGGAAGTTTTAATTCATGTGTGAGCAGCGTAGAAATCGTGACCAAAGCTACTACTTGTTGCGAATAGCAGAAGGCAAAGCTTTTGCAAATTTCCGCGCTGTTGTTATGCTTATGCAAGATTGGCAAATAAGTATAAGTGGCCAAATTCTCACAGGCGGCTTCAGTCGATACTTTTGCGATTTTCATTTTCTACTTATTTAAAATTGAATTGAAAATCTTACTAGTACGTAGTACACGACTACAGTGATTCGATATGTCGTGGAGTGTGTTTTTGTCTTCAGCGATGATAATTTGAGCAGTATGCGCAAGTCGGATTCAAGTCGAGCTCTTGCAGCTTCTTGTGACTACCTGCGGAAGATGGTGCAGCTCCTTGAAGATGCTCGACGAGGCATCTGTCTGATAGGAGCTGCGTCAGAATTCGTCGGTAAATTATACCTGCAGTAGACCACGTGGCCCTTCCTGAGGTGCTGCTCGATCGTTCGCTTTGTTAGTTATAAGATTTTTTTTTATTGCTTTCCTGAGGGAAAAGCAAAAAAATAAGAATTGTGTTTCAATTATTCTGTTGCTCAGGAAGGCGAAGGAAGATAAACATAAAAAAAGTCGATTAGGTAAGTGTTGGAGCACACGACCACGATTTTCTCTCCACACGACAAGAAAAAACGTGATCGAGGTCGTGGATAAGACACGAGAAAGCATCTACTATGGCATATTGTTATTCTTGATGACCACAGAAACCGCTAGCAGCATCATGGCTGGGTTTTCTGTACGAGGAGCACAGTAGAGAACATGAACAGCTGCAAGACGAGAGAGACATACGGAGCTGCCCGCGTCAAGAACGATAGGTGGATAGGATTATGATCTGGCCCAGCGATTATTGTATAAGTGCTCAAGTTCGGAGTTATTCGCCCTTGTCGGTATTTTCACATTGTAATGCGTTGATGCTCGGGGCATAATTAACGTTAAGCACTCTGAGCTAATTCTACAAAGCAATATATGATGAACAGATAGGGGCTTGGTGCTTCTGTGCGGTCGGGCAGATGAGAATTCCTACTCTTTCGACCGTTGTCGGGTAACAAGTGTGCGTTAGCAGGTGGGCAAAAAATAGCAGCACCTGTCATTGTAGTTCGAGTTTCTATCTCTTCGTCCTTCTCCTTCTTGTCGCGTGTGACGCAGGTCCTAGCGCTGCTGGCTCACCCACAGCTTCTTCTCGAAAGTTGTGCACATTATAAATGCGCCGACAGATGATGAAACGGTCCGAGCATAATTCTTATACTTATTTTACTGTTTTTTTTTCTGACGATGATTAATATTGCAAAAGGGAAAAGGCGTGGGGGGCTGCCGCTGCATTTAAGTAAGTATTTAAACAACTTACAAGGAGCTTAATGCTGCCCTACCTCCACCGCGCGAGCGCGCTGCCTGCCCTTGTGAGACTCATCACAGGCTCCCAGTGCCGCGCCCGTGGTCTTCAATACGTCTATCCATACAAATAAGCTCATGAAGTGCTTATTTGTTTATCGATAATTATCTTCGTAGTTCGCATTTTTCAATTTTTCTTTTATTTTTCTCCGCACGATAAAGAAACCGGCCTTCCTCGTATTCCTTTCCGTCGCGCAATGATGCAACCCCACAAGTGGAAGAGAGCGGAGCAAAACTCGTCCCGTTTTTACCATTCGGCAGGGGAGCAATAAAAAAATATGAAGACATTATGACGATGCTGACGGGTCACTAACACTATGCACCTGGGACCGGGAATAAAGCATCAGTTTAGCTGCTTGCCCCGTACAACCAGTGCAGCGCGCTCCTCGTTTTAGTTCCATTGCCTTTCATTCTGCTCTTCGTATAGGATGAATAATCTAGATTTATACAACTTGTTGAGCCCGCTATCGTCTTTTTCTTTTTGTTTTTTGCGTATTGGTATTTGTTAGCGACGCGCTGTTTCATCGTTGTCAGGGCCGGGCTTTGCATCAAGTTCGCGGTCTGATTCTGAATGTCGATGTCCACCATCAAATAAATTACGGGCGATTATAGGAGATCTCTGCTTCCAAGGAGCAGCAGAATCCGAACACGCAGCACAAAGCTATTATTTCTCGTGCATTTTTTGAGAATCAGCGAGCAGATTAAAAGAAAAAGACATAGATCGATATGCAAATGCATTTTCCTTGCGGAGCCAAAAAATAATTCGTGCGACGGCTACTAGTACTAACTCCTTCTTGACATAATTTATACCGCTGGCCCAGGAGGATGGGATTTTCGCGAAGGGGCCTGGACGGAACAGACGTAATTTATGACGAACAATAAATGCCTTGCCTTCTATATTTGGCGCCGCAGCCCTGTAGAGTAAACCTGAAGTACTTTTTTCGGCTTACTTCCTTTGCTGTTGATGTATTTTCAGTCCGTCTGGTGCTCATATCGAAGGATGGCCATGCTGATGGTCATGGTCTTCTGCTACCTGATTTGATCGCCAAATGATATATAGATGCAGTTTGATCGTTGGGCACTACAACTGGGCTGTGTCAACTATCCTCGTCCGTGGAATTTTATGCCCCTGCCCGTCTCTCTTTGTCTTTGCATGTGACGCAAGCATCGAACGTGTTGTTGTCGTCTGCCTGGTGCTATGTATGATGGAACGCTGTCTCTATCTCGAACTCGATTTGATTTTTTCCCGAGGGGAAACAGCTTGTTGACTCTGGTTCCATATGAAAACAGTCGGAGATGTTTCGTGTTCCTGCTTGACAACGTACGCAAACCAAGCACGTGGCAACCCGCATCGTACCCATACCCATACGACGACCGCATGCGTGTCGTGCAGATGCTTGCTAAGTTGTATGTAGTGAGGTCACCGAATATGCAGGCTGGGGCATAATTTTTACTCGTGATAGGAACAGGAAGACAACTGATGTAGTTGTTTTTTGATTGCTGGAAAGCCAAGGTAGAGATGAAGGCTGGTAGATTGGCGTCTGAGGAGAAGAAGAAGGTTTTGAGCTAGCCGATTGAAATGCGTGCCTTGCCGGTTCCCATATTGATTTTGTAGTTTTGCGTCGGTCATGAAGATGGAATAAACGTCAGCAATTTATTAAGATTGCATCATCGCGGGTTGGAGATGTTTTTATGTCGAGTGTCAAACTAAAATGCGCTCTTGGCGCAAACAGAATTCCCATTGGCTATATTTTCAACATAGTTTGCGAATGCTGAAAATAAAAGCAGAATGATTGATGACAACTATCAAAAATGGGGACTGGCGGGTACATTTTTCCACACCATAGCTTACTAAGTAGTCTTATACCGTCTCATTTCATATTTTTTTCCGTGATCGCGGAATAGACTAGCGCTTCGCCTCTCTGTATCAGAGGGAAAAATCTTAACACGCCCCCTCATGCCCGTCAAAGGAAATTTCTTTTGTCAGGTTCGCATACTTGATGATCGCAAATTTTGCAGCAAAAAAAACAAGGCTAGTTTTTGTTTTAGGGAGCACGGCCGAGAAACTGCTCCTGGGGTAGCTGCTTATTCGCAGACCATTTGCATTTGTCATGGTGCTACTTCTACCTTGTCGCATTTCTCTCTCCAGTCTGGGCAGCACAAACGCAAATCTATCCCTCGGCTGGGCCATCTCTTTGTCTTGCCATCATGATGGCGAAGCCGATGCTGGGGATGGCAATGCCAAAGTGCTGGTCTGGTTTCTCCTTCTGGCCAAGACCTAAGTAAAGACATAGCAATGTGGGTGCAAAAGCCTCTTTTTCATACTCATACAAAAATGGAAATTTCCTTTGCTTCCTGGGGAGTGGGCCGCGTTTTTTCACATGGATACTCCTTGGTGTCTCTTCAACATCGAAACTTACAACTGCGAGCAAGTCGGCTGTTCAAAAATATAAAACTTTGACTTTCTGTATTTTCTTATTGAGTTTTAATCAAACAAGAAGTAGAGCGAGAATCTGAATCTGAATCATAAAGGGCTGTTTTTATGATGCCCAAGTCGGAGTTCGCCTTTGCGAACAATGAAATGGCAACCCAACTACAAGCGGCGCGCTCGTAGTTGTGAAGCAAAAACGCGTTGTTCTGCGACTTTGAAAAGGACCACTCCCCAGCACGACAAGGCTTAATTCAAATTAATATCGCTGGGTGGTCCAGCTGCACCAGCTTGCAGCTAAGCTATATGACCAATAGTACATCGAGAGTAGTAGGAGGCGAGAGTTAATAGGAAGGCCACACTGTACCAATAGATCAGGAGCTGGAGCAGTAGCTCAACTTGTTACAGCTCCAGTTCCAGCCACAGACTCGGTGTTGGTTGAGTTGTTGCAACGCGAAAAAGCAAACGAGAGCGCATAGATGGAGTATAAATATAATTTTTTTAATGTTCTTCTTGCAGTAGTTGGCGTCAATCCGGACAAGTTGAAAAGTATTCCATGCTGCAGCGTCTGCTCCCGCCAGTCAGAAGAGAGCTGCCTATCCTTTCTGCTACGGGGATCGAAGTAAGTAGGAAGTAGAGATATTCGCACAAGACGCAAAGCAAGCACAAGATAAAATACAATGAAAAAGCAACAAGTGCCGATTACTTATTCGGTGTGGGATCTTGGTGTGGATCGATGCTGATGCTCCAAAGTCCTTTAAATAGTACTAGTAGCAGCTTTTGACTCTACCGGAGCCTGCTGGAAGCCCTCGCATCGAGATTGATACCACTGCACAAAGACGAAACAGAAGCGGGTTAAGCTTCAGAATGTTTCGTCGCAAACGCGTGGAGCACTACTTGCGGGAGCATCAGGAAGACTCGCGTATGCCGGTGTCAGTTGGGTTTCAGGTTCAATGGACAAAGGCAGACGGAATCATTTTCGCGCCTCCGACAGTGGCGGCCGTGAGAGCATTCACATTGTTACTCACTGTCACTACAGGACACAGCACAACGCTCAGTCGCTGCCTGTTTATGGCCTTTGTAGCTGTCGGTCCGTGATTTTTTTTCTCAGCATGCCCACACAAAAAACTAATAAAGAGTTTATCATTTAGATTCACGTTTAACGTAGCACTATGCTCATGGAATAAACGAAATCGTTTATAATTCCATGAGCATGGTGCATTATCCTCCCTCGCTCAGAATGACGAGAACTTGACTAAGAGCGCCGCAGCTCTCGACATTCCCAAGCGAATTGAGATCCATGTCCATGCTGTGGAAAACCTAACTGGTGCTTTCATACCGCTGGACAGTTGTTTGTCCCTGGTCGATCTGGTGGCCTACTCCATCAGCAACATGGTGGGTGCGGGCGTGTTTGTCGTCGTTGGATCGGCTACCATCAACGCTGGCGGTGTTCCGGTGGTTGGGAGCTTCTTCCTCGCCATGCTGCTGTGTTCGTTCTCTGGTCTGGCCTACGCGGAATTTTCACGGAGCATCCCGACATCTGGATCTGCGTATGCGTATGCGGTGAACAACCTAGTTGTCGAGTCGTGCTCGCACTCAGGAACGTAAAGAACGGGAGTTCTGGTGGTCAGCCTTGCCGCCATGCGTAGCTGTTTAGTTTCATAGCGCTACGTGGCTCTTGCGAGACAAGGCTTCGAGAAGCTGTCAGCTTATTTCTTTGCGCAGATGACATGGTGGTGGATCATTTCTCTCAAAGAATGTAAAACGAAAATAAACAGCGCACAGTTTCTTTTGTTCTTCAAGTAGACACTTACACTGCAGGGGTAGGACGAGCGATCGCGTTGCATAGTATACCCCCTACACGTATTGCACTCTCGGGGAGTTCCCGGCGTTTTTGGTGGCGCACCTGCTTTCACTGTCCTGCTGCATTGGAGCTGGGATAGGCGCGCGGGCCTGTAGGGAAGCGAAAAAATTATAATACAAACCTGTCGTCACTATATATAAAGCACCAAAAATTCACTAATGACGCTTTATCTTTGGGGATGCACGACCGAGCAGGCTGACTCAGCTGCCACAATATAATGACATAATTTGCCTTGCATGCCTTGCTTGCAGCCAACTCCGTGCAAAATTAGGACGCCGGACGAGCTGTCTCATCTCTTTACCTCCTTGCAAGATAACCTACTACAATGTCATGTGGATGTGTTATAGTACACAGACCACATCGCAGCTCGACAAGTAGAGGCACCCCGCCCCTTTCTTGTTTGATACAGGAAGCAGATAGGTATGATTTTTTTTCGCGATAGCCCGCGCTGGGTATTTTCGATCTCTGCTGGAGACCGTGTTTGGCGGATCGTGGTGGCTTCTAGCGGATTTTCCAATTTTCGACGACCTGGTGAGTGTGAACCTCTTTGCGCCGCTTCTGGTTTTGATTCTCACCTGGCTTCAGCTTCGCGGTGCCCGAGAGTCAGCGTATTTCAGACGTTTTCATACTTTTGGTATTCTCATCCCAAGAAAATAACAGCGCAGCCATTTTTCATGGTGTCGAGAAAGCAAAAGTTAAAAAAGCAAAAATGAAGGCGCTCGCTACACTACTAATATATGGCTCTGCCCATTTTTATCACATGTATAAGTATAGATACGATTGATTGATATACGATGCCGCCACGTGGGGGGGGCGTCGATGCAGGCTTATCATTCGGCGCACTACCCCGCCCGAACTTGCGAATCTGAACTAATGACGATAATAAAGGCAGAGTCTACAACTTTTGGTGGTGCTGCTGCCGAACAGTGATTATAAGGCCCGTCGCTTTGGATTTGGTCGCTTCAATTCAGCAAATCGAAAATTAGCAAAAGCTAAAGCGCAGGCGCAGGGATTTATATTGGGCCAAAGAACTACATCAGGAGGATCCGATCTCACTGCATCAAGTAGACCTCCGCCGACGCAATAAATATTTCCGAAACTACAACGCAGGGACTTCAATCGTCTGCTCGTCTATGCGAATATGGGGCTCATGGCGCTGTTTCAAGGCCACGGCCGAAGCCAAATTTCCGGAAGGAACCAACTTGCCCCACCTTGTGAAAGCCCTCGCAAAAAACCCACCGCGGGCGCACCTCTGTGCGAGCCCCCTATCAGCAAGCGCCAGTCCCTGCCGGCGATATCGCATTCCGCGTGGCCAGTTAAGTTCTGAGGGGGCGGGCAGGCTAGTGCCGGCGCGGTGCGCCAAAAAGCCGAACCAGCGGCGCCGCTTTTCTAAAAGTTCCGGCCCCGGGCCCCCCGGGGGTTCTTGGGATTCTTGGAACAAACACGCACCCGCGGGACCCCTAAAAGGGGTTTTTTCCGGAACCCTCGTAGCATCGGGGGAAGCTTCCAAAAGTAGCGTTTTTGGCTACCCCTCCCGGAGGGTCCTCAGAAAGGGTCCCGCAGAAGAGAAAACTTTCGGGACCGGAAGCCCTCGGCCCGTATTTCCTTTGAGGCCCCCGGCATCCCGGCCTGCTCTCGGGCGAAGTTGGCAGAGGCCCAACAGCCTACCAGCCCTAGAGGTAGACAGGAGAAGGCGCACGCCGCCGGGGCCTGCCCCTGGTTTACAGCTTTACCAGCGCGCCCGCCCCTTCCAGTTCGTTTTTGCAGTATCACTGCAAAAACGGCCCTGGCCTCGAAAGCTTTACCCACCAAACACAACGGCAGCAATGCCTACCAATGGGGCTGCCGGCCACCGGCTTCGTGCAGTGGAGCTGTGTTGCATGTGGTTGCGCTCCGGAAGCTTGGCCCGTTGGGTGTTGCGCCCGCTTGCCATGCAAAAAACGGGAGGGCAATGTGCAGGCGCAAGCACCTGGTAGGTTTGGAACGGGCAAAACTTGAAGGGGGTGCCGGGGGCGTTGATGCTTCCAACGACGACGGGTCGATGAAGTGAAACAAGCAGTGTGGCCACTGGGTCGGCCACACATAATCTTTCAAGGAGGCTGCACGGGAGGTGCGGGGCAAAAAGCGCAGCGCCGTCGTGGATGTGACCCAGGGCCGGGTCTCCAACATCTTCTGCCACATCGAAGGCTTGGGGATCTCCCCTTCCAACTCCGTCCCACACTGGAAGGGCAAGGAGAGGCTGGAGGCCGCTCGGCCTTTCTTGGGGGGCGCGATTACCTCGAAAGCCAAGTCGTCAGGTCCAAAGATTCAAAAATAAAACGAATCCGTGGGCCACGACATCGGGAGTTCTGGAGTGAGGGCGCCTCCTTAACTAGCTATCTGAAGGATGGAAAAACAGGCGCGAGCGTTAGAAACAACTCACACATAAACAAGCCTGCCCGCGGTGAGATCGACACTCGTGGACCCTGAAATTTTTTTATTCACTTTGAGAAGATGCAGTTAGTATGGCCATAAACTACAACGCAGGGACTTCAATCGTCTGCTCGTCTATGCGAATATGGGGCTCATGGCGCTGTTTATTCTGCTCGGCCTGTGTATGGAACTGTCAGGATCGAAATCGTCAAAGTTGAAATGATTTGTCATGCATAAAATGGATGCCAGTTGTAACCCAGTTTCCAAGTGGCGCATGACAAATTTAGGTAGAACCGAAATCCAGTTTGTCATGCTGTTTGGGTAAGGGCGACGCTTTTTGTCATGCTACTTTGGCAGCTCCGTTTCTACCTCTCAACAGGCTTACAATCTGCCTCACGTGCCATCCCGGCAAGAGAGGCAATGCATGCCTTGCATTTTATGCATGACAAATCATTTCATGGTTTGGCGCAATGTAAGGATCGTTGGCGAACGTTAAACGCATGTTGGCGAAGTGAGGACTGTTTGCGAAAGTAAGGAAAAGTTGGCGTGGGTAGGATCTTCATGTGCCCGAGGATGATGGTGATGGCTTCGGTCCGCCTGACTCCACGACCTGGTGGCCGAACCATCTGCGGTGAGGTGCCCTTACAGGTTGTGTAGTGGTTTCGGTCGGTTTAGCATGACAAACCATTTCAACTTTGTCGATTTCAAACCTGACGCTTCCATACTGTGCGTCTCTGACTACGAGCGTCTCCACGACGAGGTGGCCGCAACTAGCTTGGGAAACGTTCTCACCGCCACGGGCCAGGTGTACTACTCCTTCATCGGGTTCGATTCGGTGTGCCTTCTTTCGCAGGAAGCTCAGGACGCCTCGCGCACTATCTATCCTGTTTGCAGCTCTTGTGTCGAGGACCTTTTTGTGTAAAATCACAGATGATGCATAGATACATCACAACCAGGCGTGCGGCAGACAGAATTTCAATTAGTTCCAGCAGATAGGGTAGAGTTAGAGTTAGGGCTAGCATTCGAGTTTTTGAGAGCTGGCGTTGAAAAGTATGGATTTGTAGAAGTAGATAATCGCGTCGCCGAGCCCCGCATTAAATCCTTGCCGCCGACTCGAAGTCACAGGTTGTGTCGAATATCTGTGCAGCAGATGCAGATCGCAATACTTGATGTTTTGAAAAGTCGCGACCTGTTTGTCGTGGGGGTAAAAATGCTTGTCGTGCTCCTGGTCAATGACAGTGATATGCGGCAAATACGCCAAGAGCCGAGTCCTGGCGTAGTCATCATCTGTGTTGCGCAGCCTGCCTGAACATCAGACAAGGCTTTCTCTAGTCATACAGCTCCGTTGGCACTTTTCCTCGGCCTGGCGTTGGTGTGCGTCCTGTATGCATTGGTCGGCCTGACGTTGGCTGGCATGCAGGCGATCTCCGAGATTTCGACAAGCGCCCCGCTGTCGGACGCGTTTCTGGCCCACAAGCTGTACGCTTTTTATCCGGTGATTACGCTGGCGGCGATGACCAACACGATAGCGACGACTTTTTGTGGGATCCTGGTGCAGCCCCGGCTGTGGATGCACGTGGCGGCTGATCACCTGCTGCCCGCCTCACTCGCGACAGTCGATCACGACACACACCTGCCCGTCGCGGGCACGCTGGCTTCGGGCCTTATCGCGTTGCTGGCGGCGGGCCTCTTCGAGGTGAATCTCCTTGCCGACGTCTGTTCTGCCGGGATGCTCGTTGCCTACTCGCTCCTCAACGTCGCGCTCCTCGTGGCCCGTTGGTGCGGGGTTCGCAGCGAGTATTTCAGGCATGGTGGAACAACGTCGAAAGCGCCGGCCCGGATGATCAGTGAACCGGTAGACGACCACCACGACTCGTCGCCATCGTCGTCAACTCGACCTCTCTCTGCAAAGGTAAAGGAATGTGGTCAAGAACGCCCGCCGTCAACATTTTCCAGCAGGAGCTCTCCGCTCGAGGAAGCACTGATACAGAAACTGGAAGAGCTCGGCTCTCAAAACTGCGTAGTGGCACTCTCACTGCTTGTCGCCGGGGCAGTGGCAGTGCCTTTCGCACTACCGGCGGCTTTGTTTTCTTCAAGGAATAATGATCCTGCAGCTACTCCGTCTACAACCGCAGATGAATATCTTCCCTCCCAGGACGCTGCAGTTGCGGCAGTTGGTGCTGCTGGCGCCAGCTTTACAATTGCCGCGGAAGAGTTTCTACTGGCTGGGGCCTTGAGCCTGCTAGTGGTCGTCTGTGGCATCTATCTGAAGCGGACCCAGCCTCAGATGTCTCTGTTTGAGCAAGTGTGCCCTGTTCTCGTTGCAGAAAAGGACAAGCTCGATCAGACGATAAAGAACAAAAACGCAAGCGACACACTCCAACCCAAGACACCTGACGAGACTAGAAGAGGCTCCACGTCTAGCTCTAGCACGTTGTCCCCGCATCTGTTAGTGCCGACCACTGCGGCCCTGCCTCCGCATTCAGGGACAATGGCGCAGCAAAAGGAAATCTGCGGCGATAGAAGAAGTCCCGCATGGCATGAAGGTGCCCTCGCACCACAGAAGGAGCCAGATACTTTTGGGATATTCTTCCCGTGGGTAACGCTGATTGGCCTGATGGCGAACTCCATGCTGCGGAAAATTGCCCTCGTCGCGCTCAATTTTTTAATATTCATGTTTTTACCGAATGAGATTGAGTTCGAGGGTGCGCGTGAGGATAATTTTCCATAGCATGAAGTTGTGCGTGATGCGCAGTCTCGGCGAATCGGCGCAGAACGGACTTGGACTTTGGTGCTATACATTGCAACAGCATCCGCATTTTTGACATCGTATGAGTAGGAACATCTGTATTCGCGTAGCAATATTTTCATGAAGCAAACCTGCACAAGGACGAGCAAGTTTTTCAGGAGATTGAGAGCTTGAACGACAAAGCTCAAGCTCTCATTCTTTTGAAAAGCTTGAACGACAGGCTCAAGCTCTCATTTTCTATGGCGCAAGGGCAGGCACTGGCGCGGGGAGGTTGCGAGTCGCGAAGCAAATATTGCATCCGTTTTGAGTAGTATGCACTAGCTGCACAGAGATATATTTATACACTGTACCGCCGCACCAACTGAGTGCGAGCATACCAAACAGTAAGGCCGGGGGGCAGGAGAGGGCATATCATGAGCCTACTTTTATATGTTCACCTTCACGCTCAGCTTCTTTGGTGGCCCCGAGCCGAGTGCAAGTATGTACACCAGGTGCGGGATGCTTTTGTACAGGATGGCTGCCTGTTTGGAGCGATACTCTACTTCTCTTATTATTTCACCGCCGCCAGCAGCAAGAGCAACACCGCAGGCGCCGGGTCAGGGTCCAGTCCGGGGACTAATAAAATGGGGAGCAGTAAATCCTCCACATCTTCCGGGCTCACGTCACCTCTGCTGTCTTGCTAAGGATAAGAAATGCTGGCATATGTTGTGAGCAGTACTTGAAAAGTTCTGTGACCACCACGCAGAACTAGCACGACCACTCCTACGTCAGATTGATCATCGTCGTGGAAGTATGAACGCGGTCTGGATAAAATGACTTTACTGACAGTTGTACTTGTAGTGTTGCTGGCGTGCCGACGTGTTTCGTAGACGAAGGCGACAAGAAGAAGAACAAGATGATGACAAGATCTTCCTTCCAATTCGCCATTCGTCGTAGAAAGCGGCTGCAACTTTTTACTACTACGCCAGAGTGACCATGAGGCCCAGGATGAGTACCTGTTTCCCACTTTTATGTTTCGCTCGTGTGTATCGATCTGTATCACGTGTTCAGTCTTGTTGTTAATTCATTGGTCATGGCCAAATCTTCCTAGTCCTCGGCTTCCTCTTATGATTCAATGCATAATTGATGATTTTGGATTTGGTTTTACCTTATACCCCATAATGATTTTTTCAACGAGAGCTGCAGCTGCAGCTGGGAAGTAGCCCTTGACTACGTGCTGTGTCTGAATGTGCGTTGTGTTAGTTTTGAAGTTTGGGTTGCATGTTGTCTCTCGACGAGTAGACGACCGAGTCGAAACCAAGACACACGAGGTTGCTGTGCAAAAAAGAAAAAAATGAACGACGACAACGACGAGGACGCAAAGAACTAGGTACAAGTAGAGTACTTATCGTGAAAATCACCAATGCAGCGTTTTCAGTTTACCAGAGGTCATGAGCGGCCAACATGGTTTCTTTTTCATTTTCTAGCTTCCGACGGCCCGGGGCGCGTGTAACTTTGGGTTTGCCCCCGGCACCGAATCAAGTGTTGCTGTTGGGAATTTCTTTGCCCAGTGACTGATGCAGTGTGTATCTGCTGCTCGTGCTCGGCGTACTACTTCTCTCGCAGACGAAATCAAGCGGCACCTCTTGAAACACAGCAAAGCATGCTTGTAGGTACTGAATGATCTACTTCATCACCAGCATGATATTAAACGTACTAGGCTAGCACATTGAAAGCGTAAAGAAGAAGATAAATAATCCGGTAGTTGCTGCAGCGGGGGGAGCGGCAGTGTGGCTAGATCGGGTACAAAACATGTCGGTCAGCGGAAGGTCAAATCTTGGTCACAGTTTTCGGCGTGGACGGCTATGGTGAAAGAGATGTTGTAGAAGCTGATCAAGTATGTCAACGGTGCGTGCCACAACTTCTGAGAATCGAATTAGGTTGATGTAACTGGCGGGCGGAAGGTCTTCACTGGGATGCCCTTCGAACCCGGCTCCCTATGACCTTTATTCAATGAAAATGGAAATGGATCAACATCCATGACCTCGAGGATCCCTATCATAGCTATTATATATGTCTGAAAATTATAATCTTAGTACTTGCTCGAGATCAATTGTTTTTTCACATCGATTGCCGTCGAACAAACTGTTTGTTACTAGTCAAGTTTTACGACGACGCGTAGACCACCACCACGTAGTTCTAGTTGTTGTGATGCCATCTTTGGTCGTTGTAGTTGAGCATTCCGCAGGCAAAGCCAAAGAGTATACTATCATTGGAATTGCGTCCATTAATCAAAATCATCATGATTTATCAAAAGAGAGGCGCGCCGTGAAATTCTAACAGGTTTTTCACTTTTTGTTTTACCCATTTTCGTTTGTTTAATTATCAACGTTTTTATTTAAGCTTGATCGTGCATCTGGTTTATCACGCGCACTGGCACAAGCGAAAGCGATTTCGTGATGTCAAGTCGACGAGCTGAGGTCGCGGCTCGACACGTTCGTTGTCACGGAAGTGAATGGGTGGAGATAGGACAGGCAGCACGACCCCGAATAAACTACCGGCGACATCTACTTGTCGCGAGGTTCTTTGCGTCGTCGTCAACTCGGGAAGCAGTTTTTACCAAAGCTGCTGCCCTCGTGGGTGATTTCCTGTCCTCGGGTAGAAAAAAGGGCTCATGTACTTTATCAGCGGGACGGCTTCTTTGCTTCACCCCGCCACTCATGATCAGCCGCAGCAGTTCACTTTTCGCTCCAGGTGCTACAACAGTGCCAGTACTACTGCGTCGGATGTCGACGACGTCTTCGTTCTTGAGCGATGGCTTGCCCGAGGTGCAGCAAGGACGCAGGCTATTGGAAAGCGGCAAGTATGAATTATGTGTAGCCCCCTTGAGCCGTGCGATGGATATTTTGCGTAACCTTCCCGAAGCTAGCATGGACGGTGACAGGTACCGACTTCATCTCTGGCTGGCACAAGCAATGGTTGCACAGAAACACTACCGCGATGCTGCAAAGCATCTTCACGCGGCGCATCACTTAGCAGGATCCTGGGCTGGGTCATCCGCAATGTCGACGGAGGACCGAGTGAAGAGAAGAATACGTAGCTCCTACTACACAGCAGCCCTTGAGCACGCCTCGTGCTTGATGTCATCTTCACGCGACAAAGCGATGAGTACTGACGTGGCTCATGGAGGGCACGGCGCCGTCGCTTCTTGTTCCTTGACAACTCTCGAAATAACTGGAGCGGCCGACATCGCCACGCGCGCCAAAGCTCAAGTTCCGCCTTCTTCTTTCGTTCAAGTCGAGGACGCGGATACGCTTAGCGAGGACCATTCGGGCAGACACAATAGGGTTGGGGTTGCCTCATCTTCTCTGGGACTCCTTGTCCGTTCCAACACAATGCGATTCCTGCCGCATTTCGTAGTTGAGTCCATCAACGCAGAAGATCGTCCATTCTTTTTGAAAAAGGCGCTTGTGAACTTCAAGGCAGCTCCTGCTGTCGGCGCCGGTCTGGTAGCTGCGTCTCGCGCCGCCCCAGGGTGCTCTTCCGAGGAAAATAACGAGGAGTTACCGTTTCCTTCTAAAGGTTCCAGTACCTCCGCCGGTGTGCAGGAGGATCGGGTGCAGGACCGAGGGGAGACATATCAGGTGGGAGGTACACCTACGCCCCCTAACACCTGTAGGTCTCAATCTCAGAGCGCAAGCGAGCAGACCGGAGACGCAATTTGCGATTTTTTGCGAGCCGACGCAGAAGCAATGCGGAGTGTGTACCTGGACCCTGCGACCGCTTGCGTCAACGTATTGCCTTTGCTACTCGACGCCGGGCACGCCGCCGACGGAGAGACCTTTCCTGGTGGCGGCGAAGGTGATCGGACCTGGTCGAACTACCTGCGCAGGGGAGTAGACACATCGCCTGCCGGGGGAGCTAGTACAGCCTGTAAAAACTCTGCTGCAGGAGCTTCGTCGTCCGTTGCGCCGTCGACGTGTGAGGACCATAACAGAAGCAGGAGAACGGAAAACGATTACGCTCCTGCATTCCATTGGTTATTGCTGACTGAGCATGACGACGAGTTTTCAAAAAGAGACGAGCATGGAGCTAGTACTTCTACTACACCCGAAAAATATGAATCCGAGCTGCAGCAGGTGGACCGATCAGCCCAATTGCCCCCACGGTTCCTGGAAGCAATGCAGCGCCAGACGGTGCTATGCGAAATTTTGGTCAACCAATTTTGCTCATTCAATTCCACACAGACCGACTTGGACGCGGCTCTCTCCGAGCACATTTCGCCCCTAATGAACCTGGCATCAAGTGCACTCTCCTCCACGTCCGCAGCCCCGTGTCACGAGACAAAGCTGGACGAAGCGTTTTTGCAACCGCACCAACGTGCGATTTTGCAGTTTTGCAAAGCGCGCTTGCTTGTCGCGGCTGCCAATGTTCTCGTCTTTCAGCACCAGGTAGTGTCAGCGGAGGGGCTACTGCGAACTGCGAAGAGTCTCAGCTCTCTAGATGACGAACAAGGCCAAACGCAAACAACGATAGGAAGTGAGAAAAAGGGCTCGGATCCTCGCAAGAGTCTTCTCTCCTCCGCCTCGCGGCGTTTTGTATGGCGTCGGGATTTGCTGCGAGCCTATGCGAACGTGCTGCGAAAGTGGGAGCGACGTGAGCGAGACGTGGTTTACTTGGAGCGGGAGGCGGATGCGATACCCATACGGCAGGAACTGCAACACGATTACAGTGTCGCTCGGTCCGGCGGAGCAGCTGCGGCATCGATGAATAGCGCAGTCAACGCGCCCACTGAGATTGAAGTCGAAGGCACTGGAACCAAGGAGAGTATTTGTATTGCTGATGTGCACGGAATACGCATGTGTCATCGCCTTAGACTAATTCCTTACGCGGCGTTGCCAAGCTTCACTTGGCCGCATTTAAGCGGCTGAGATTGATGGCACGAGGAAGATTAATTTGATAAATGCTCGGACTTCTTCTACATGGTTTGGAGTCGACATTCTCCGGCAACGGCGACGTCGGCGCCGCGATAAACATAAATTTACTCCCGTCGAGATCCACATGAAAAATACTGACGAGACATCTGGTGAGAGTGCTTCTTCTGTTGTACCTGGTTTCTGAGCTTGGCGAGAGCTACCTGTACCTGATTATTGAAAACCTCTAGCACAGGCTTCGGGATTCAGGCGCAGCTGCAATGTTTTTGTATTCCATTCTCTTTTTCGTGTCGGTTCGAGAGTAGATACAACATTTCTTGTCAAGAAGGCAAGCAGGGAGTGGAAGGAGCAGGTCTCCTCGATGAGACACAATGCATTCGCCCGGCCCTGTTAAATTACGATGCGGGATGAAGCGCAGCATGTGCATGGGAGCGATGAAGAAAAAGAACAAGTGGCGATCACTTCTGCTTTGCTTTTTAGTTTTGCACACAACGACAACGAACACATGGATCACGCACACGAACTCTGCGTCTGCTAAGCAGCAGCACGGCCTGAAAGTCTAGATGTATGCTACCGAATTATATGTTGCTGATCACTCCTCGACGGTACCCCTGCCGGAACGCAAGGTTGCGGCCAACAAGCAAGTAGAGTTGCTGTTGCGCAAGCCGCGACGTAGACGCGCGTCATCGCTTGAGTTGTTGCCGAAATTACATCGCGAGGACGTCGTCGGGGCAGGTTCTAGCTCTTTGTCCGAAGTTCCCGATCACCACCACAATGGTGGTGGACCAGCTGCAGCTGCTGCAGCTGCGGGAGTCACAGCCACTGAAGCCAAGACGAAGAAGAAGCGAGGGAGCAAGCCTCGGAGTAAAAGCTTCAACCGCAAGCAGCTGTTTCAGGCCATTTTTGAGTATGAGGAAAGTTTCGAGCTGCCGCCCGTTAGTGCGTACAATACACAGCTACATTTGCACCCCGAGAGCTCCTACGTGCCTGTCTCTGAGGATCCTGCGCAGCGGCTCGAGAGAGAGCCAAAGAACTGGCGGACAGCTGCGGGTGCCCAATCGCAATCTTCGATCGGTAGTACAATCACTGGCACCGCCGGTATCGGAGCTGGGCGGGTGGGGTCAGGGCTTCAGGGTACAACGCTTATCGAAACTGATTCTGTGGTTCCTGCAAGTGAAAGGTTCGCCGCCCAGTTGCACGAGATCGGGGTCGGATTCCAGCAACGAAAAAAAAACGGCGTGCCCGTTCCGTCGCGAAGCCAGTTACACACGGGCGACATCAGGTCGTCCAAATCACAGTCTCGAACGAGGAGCAGCCTGACAAGTCAGCAAGGACAAGACCCAAGCGGAGGAAGAGGACAGTCATCGTCGATTTTTATCATGCCTCATGGTATCAAAGTCGGGCAGGATAATTCTTCTACGTCAAGATCTAAATCACACCGAAACACGGCTGCCGGCTGTAAAACCAAAGCATCAGGAGCCTCGGCGAGGAGCGGAAAGAGCGTAGTGGGTATCTCGAAGGACCACGAGCGTCAATGTCAACGCGGTGAGGTGCATGATCCTGACGACGTTGCTGCTCCACCGTTTAATCCCCCTCTTGGAGGAGATGGTGGAGACGAGGCCGAACAAAAGCAAAGGGACAATCGAACGAAACTGAAGGATGCCGACGCGCAAATAAAGGGGAAGGGCAATACCTACAGGAGCGAGGTGGTGGCGACAGCTTCTACTATGAAATCTGCTCTCGGACTCGGTAGTTGTTCAACGCGCCCGGACGATGGTGGAAATGAATATGAAACACATCCGGTCCGCACGACCGGGGGACTGGTCATTGGTCAACACAACAAATTGGACGCGTCCGGCAGCAACCTTTCCCTCAGACCCAGGAGCCCCTTCTTGTTTGCTGCTGCGGACGAAGCAGGTAGTGGTGGGGATCATGCCGATGCGGATGCATCGTCCGGCGCGAATGCGAATTATAATCGAGGAGACGGAGTAGATCCACCTGCGGCGTACGAACTACAGCACGTCATTTCAGTCATAGCTGCTCGCGACCACCGCCACTCATCCGGTGCTCAGGTTATTGGGAAACAGAAAAAAAACCGAGCGCTTGGTGATTTTGACGAACTGCTGGGGGTCTCGCTTTACTTTGTGCGAGACTACTTCAAGAAGTTTCTAGAAGGCGAGCCGGAGCCTCCTACCCCTCTAGGCTCACGCCCGGGATCCGCGCACCAGAAAAGAGCTCTTGCCTCCGCTGCGATATCGAGCCTGGAGGAGGCAACACGTGTGAAGCACGCACGAGCGCAGCAGCCACCGCGCTTGCGCGACCTTGTCGAGAAACGCCGCGAACTGCGCGAAGGCAAAAAGTCACGCGGAGATCCGCCGGGTTTCGTCGCTCGCAAGTTCCTCACGCTCGAGAAGCATTGGATGGAATCTGCACTGCCTATGGTGTTGGGAGAAAAAGACAGGGCCGTAGCTCCGGACACTGGTGATCAGAGAAGCAGTCAGCATGACACTTCTACTGAGCTTGTTTCCACTGCTGGCAAACGCGGGAAGGATGATATAGTAGCGCAACCTCCCGGGCGGGGTGGGGCTGTACAACTACCTCTCGGGGGGACCACCGTCGAAAGCGCCAATACAACAGGGACAAGCAGCGCCAGCAGGCCGAGGTTTTTCTATGTGAGTGCGTCGTGGCATACCTCCTGTGAGCAGTTTTTGCGTCTCCTCGAGCAGCACGCCGAGAGCGAGAATTTCTTCGGACTTCGGTACTACGTAGATCTCCTCTGCGGCAAAGACTTCCTTCAAGCCGCCGCGGTCGACACCATCGAGAAAAATTTGCAGAAGTGCGAGGCATATTAAATGCAAAAGTGTCCTCTGGGTCTGGAAGGTTGCAACTTGTGATGCTGTCTGTGGAAGGTAAAAAAATCTGTGCTGCATGACTAGCAAGAGGAGTTCAGTTTGTGCTATGCGGAGTGGGCGTTTCTCATGCGGAATACGCATCGGAAGGCCTTTTAAAAATATGTGATGCTAGGCCATGCATTACAGGCATCACGGGTTATGCAAAATATGCTTGACAGACCTGGCAATCTTCCAGACCCAGACACTTTTGCACTTGATAAGGCACTGCTGCTTGTGCCGTGCGCCGACTGGAACCGGCACCCGTGGGTGCTCCTCGAGGTGTACACAGCTCTGCGTGCGGGGGTACCTATTGTGCCTCTTATTTTCGCAACGGATCTGCTCGCCGCAGCTGCCGCGCAAGACAGTACCACGAAGCGGACGTCGAAAGGCGCAGGTATCAATAATCAAAAGTTGAACTACAATATATCTAAGTATATCCTGATGTCTTTGTGCACGAGGAGCGATGGTGATTCAGATATTTAGAGGACTCTATGCACAACTTGGTACCCAAAACCAAACTTATGGGCTGGGCTTGTGCGTGTCGTAAAGCCAAAAAAAGGAAAGAGAAACAAATTACACGAGTTGTTGTGCTGCAGCGTTGGTGGGTCTCGCTGTGGCTGAACCTGAAGACGCTAGGAGTCATTAGTAGGAAACCGCGAACAAGCGATATGAAACGTCGGAAAATTATACTAAAAAGAAAAGGGCGTCGTCAATTATCATCATGCTCGCAAGATGAAATCAAAAGAACGTGGTCGCCCTACTAGATTGCAACATGTTGTATCTTGTATTCTAGTTGTAAAAATATGTGTATGATCATGTGTAACTTCCACCAGGGTCGTCTTCCAGCTCCAGCTTCTCCTTAGAGCCGCGAAAAACGAGTTTGCTAAGCCGCTGGGAAAACCAGATCGAGTCCATCGAAGTGGTGGGCGGTGAGCAGCAGTCTGTGCCCGGGTACGAGTCCGGAGTTGTGAAGCAGATGCAGAAGCTGGCCGAGGCGCATTTTCAAAACGGCAACCTGGAAAAGCTTGTGATCTTCTTGAAGAAGAAATTACGAAAGGTTGTATACGGAAAGCTGCTTCTAGGCATAACGAAAATGAGGCAAGCACAGGAACCACCAGTTGAGCTTTCAGATCAAGAGCTGGCGAGGGAGTGCGAAAAATGTCTGAAGGAGATGGGCGGCGGCGGCGGCGCTGGTAGTGCTACGGCAGGCGGGGCGGGCGGCGTGGCAGGCGCTCCAGGGTTGGCTAGCAATGAGGACGTGGCATTAGCCGAAGAACTAGCCCACTTTCACGGCATGGAGCAGATCTCAAAGTCGTGTTTTGCGGCCCGTGTGGGATCGAAGATAGCGTCTCTTCACGACGACCTCTCGCAATATGCGCTCGCTTTCGAAGACGTCGGCGGAGCTTTGTTCACCGGCGTGCAGCACGTGCAGCAGGAGAAAGACGACCAACAAATAAGCGCCGAGATAAATGTTGCCACGACGGAGGTCGTTGTAAACAAGACCGAGTCCTCGGTGGACGCGGACGACCACGACCAAATGGCGGACGGCACTACAGATGATCATTCGTCTGCTCTAAAAAAATCAGAAAATAAAGCATTGACGCGAGAGGAGCTAGAAATTCTAGATGCGTGTGCCGGGAACCGGCGTCATGATTTCTTGGAGCGCCAGCGCCGTCTTGGCTCTACCACGACGGAACAAGAAGGAACTGCCGACCTCGCGCCTATCACGGAGGAGTTGGACGACGAAGATGATGAAAAATCCGTCGTAGATGGAACACGACAACAAGGACCTCTCTTCGGAGAAAGAGAAACGGCGAGAGGAGCAGGAACCGGTAAGAACGCGAAACAAAACAACGACTCTTCACCCACCTCGGCTCCGCTATCACCAATGGCTTTGTTGGAAAAGCAATTGATGTGGAGTCCGCGCACTCCGTCGCGAAATTGGACAGAAGGTTTGGAGGCGCGGCGGCGGCTGGATGAAATGAGTGCGCTGAAGAAGCGACAGAAAAAAGCCGAGCGCATCGGCGAAGAGGAACTGGACGAGGCAAGACAGCAACAGAAACGGTACGTGAGTGCACTGTACGGCCGTGAGGATACCGAGGTCGAGCTGCAAACCGCAGCCGTGGGGCGAGTCCTGGAGCAAGAGAGACAGTCGCTCCCCACGCAAACGCTCAGCGACGGACAAGACACCTTGGCGGACTTTTTCTCGCCTGCCAAATTCCAGCGTCACCTGTCGCCCAACAGGCAACTCACCATGCACGACGCCCAGCACGGCCAAAATCCTCTGCTCGAGGCAACCTCCTCCACCATCGTGTTTCGACCGCCACAAGAATTATCCCAGCGCGGCCCGCTCGCGAACAACGCACTGCTTTGGCGCGGGAATCAGCAGAACGAAAAAATGTCGCCAAAGGCGATCGGGGAAGATCGCCTTGGAAAGAACTACGCAGGAGCCGCTGCTCAGAGGATATCAGACATTCCTCCTCCACCGACATTGATGAAACTGCCCTCTTCGACGTCTTCCTTGACGGGAACCACGCACGTCGAAAACCAGAAACGCAAGACATCGTCACAAGAATACGGAGAAGGAAAAGGTGCCACCGGCACGCAAGATGAACTTAGTGTCCTCAACTCTCGCTCGCCGGCGAAGCAAGCAAGAATTTCTTCGGAAAACGTGGTCGTGCAACTGCCCCTGGAGGTGGAGAGAGCACAGGGGGGAGCGGCACTACCTCCGTCCCCCTCGGCAGCCGAAAAAGACGACCGCGAAGGTGTCGTGCAGGACCACAGTACGCACGTGCGCGCCTCTTTCTTCGGTCCGACCTCGAAAAAGGTTTTTCAGAAGGGCAAGTTTGTGTCCGGCAAAAAGCCGGACCAGATCAAGCCGACAGGGGGCGAGGGCGGGCATCTGACAAGCCAGAACAAGCAATCGTCGCTTCACGAGGAGTTCATGCAGCGCTTCGGAGACAGCTTTTACATGACCCAAGGATCCCAGGGCTTCCGCCATTCCACCGCGTTTTCCAATCTGACTGCGGCCGACTCGCCACTGCTGACCGGGGGGCGCTTCGACGGCGAAGCATTCACGATGATGTTGTCGCCGTCCACAGGTGGCAAGCGACTAGATCGCGTTGTATCAGACAAAAACGCGGCCGCCCCCACTTCCAATACAAAATCCATGCAGGGGATTTTACGATTGATATATTCCATGTTCTTGATTGCAGCTCTGTTGCTCGAAGCAACTCGATGAACGAAATCGCTTTATAGTATTTGAACGAGACTCGAATAGCTTCGCCCGCTCGGTGTGACATCGCAAACTTGCGCTAGAAGGAGCATTCTTCACAAAGTTCACCCCCCGCTGCGGGACGCGCACGCTTTGCGTATCACCTGGGAACAACACTGCTGCGTCTCGCGCCGCATCCCCCCGCGGCCTAGTGGATGCCTTTTCAAAGCATGTCGAGCCGGAAACGCGGCTAGAGACTTCTTCGCAGTGCGTTTCTGGTTGGAAATCTAGCAAGCGACGCCGTCTCAGTGCGTTTCTAGCTGGAAACCCACCTAGCGACGCCGTCTCAGGGCGTGTCTAGCTAGAAAGCCAGCTAGCGACGCCGCCCCGGTGTGTGTCCAGCAGGGAATCCAGCTAGCAATGCCGTCTCAGCGCCTTTCTAGCTGAAAGGAAACACAGCCGGAAAGGCAGCGGCAGCGTGTTTCCGGCTAGAGATCCAGGCGGAAAGGCATCGCCAGCGCGTTCCCAGAACGAAATCCAGCGGGAGAGGCATCGCCAAAGCGCCCCCGGCTGGAAGAAATTCAGCCGGCCGCGTCTTTGCAGAGTATTTCTAGCGTGAAATGGAGCCGGGGACGCCTTTTCAGAGCATTCCATCCTAGCGGGAAACCCAGATGGAGGCGCGTTTTTTTCTAGCCGGGAGGAAATCCAGCAGGGAGGCAGTGCATTACTTAAAGAGGCACCCGCAAGCAACGCGCCTCCAGCTGGAAACCCTTCGAGGGCGCCTCTTCGAAGAGTATCCAGCTGGAGACGCCGCGGCAATGGAAATCCAGCTTGCTGGAAACGCCTTTTCGAGGGAAATCCAGATGGAAACGCATCGAGAAGGCTTTTTCAGCGCTTTTCCGCCCGACCTTTTCAAAGTGTTGGCAGCTGGATTTCTAGTAGAAGACGGCTTTCGATTTCTAGCTTGGGATCCAGCTGTGGGGAACACTTTGAAAAGGCATCCGCGGCGCATTGTTAGCTGGGATTCCAGGTCAAGGCGCCCCAAGGTGTTGCCAGGTGGATAGATTTGCGGGCGGAGATGCCTCGGGGCATTTCCAGCTGTCAAGAATCGCAAGGCAGCTGATTTCTCTTCGATTTTCCGGGGTTTCTTCCCGCGTTAGCAAAACTCTTCTGGCTACCCGGGGAAAGGTTTGCCTAGAAGGATA